ATTTCCACCCAAAGAGGGCGTTAGTGGTCCAACCAAATCAGCATGAACAACCTGGTATGGTTCTGTAGCTTTCCTACTAGACACCTTACCTTTCGCAGCCATTTTCACCTTGTTTGCTGCGCATGCTTTGCACTTCATGTGGTACCTGCAGGGTTTAATAGTCATACCTTCTACCAAGGCAGGCATTTTAGATACTGCCTCAAAATGCAAATGACCAAATTTGCGATGAAAATCGTGAATACATTCTGCATGCAAACTTTTGTTAGTACCTGCAATGCAACAAGTGTCATCCTGCACCACATCATCATAATACAAAACAAACAAATGATCAACATATTCTGCATGCAATACATAATCATTTTTCTTTGTGATGATGCACTTCTTGTTCTTGAAGGAAACGTCAATGTTCCGCTCATTCAGCTGTCCAACGCTGAGCAGATTATGTTTGGCGTCTGGCACGTAAAGCACATTCTGTATCGATAAGTCCAGACTGTGAAGAATAACAGTTCCGTAGCCTTTACTGGGAATAGTGTGGTCATCCGCCTGGTGAATCGCACCTTCCTGCGGTGTAAAAGACACAAACAGTTTCTTATCGTTGCACATGTGGTGGGTGGCCGCTGAATCAACAACGAAGAAAGATCTAGACGTCTTCTGGACCTCTGCAACCTTTGGAGTGAAGCGTGAAACCATAGCCTTGTGCTGCGTTGTCCTAGACACCGGACCTTTGCCTTTGCCTCGGCCTTTTCCGCGTGATGAGCTTTCGCTGCGCTGCTCTGTCTTGGCCCTGGGATGTCTGCATTCCCTCTTCATATGGCCTAGACGTCCACACGAGTAGCATTTCACTGCCTTCAAAGCTTTGGCGCCATCTGGTGGTTCCACTGCACTATGGGATGACGTCTGTGAAGACTCCCCCTTGCCCATGCAGCTAGCACCCCGGCGATCTGCTTCATTTAGAATCACGGCAGTAACAAAGTCCACTGTCAGCTGAGCAGTTGGTTGCACAGCAATCTGGGTTGCAACAGACTCCCAACCTGAACCCAAAGATTGTAGTATCATGAAAGAATACACAGCCTCTGGAAAGTTGAGTCCTCTCTGTTGCAGCTCATGTCTCAGATTTTGCATCTCCATGAGATGTAAACGCACATCTCCACCTTCAGCAAGAGCCATATTATGCAGCTTGTTAAAATAATACATAGTTGATCCAGCTTCTGTCCTTAAGTGAGCCTCTCTCAGAGCGTCCCAAATTTCTCTGGCTGAGGTCTTATCACGCAATAGACAGAGCTCTTCTGGGGATACTATCAATGTAAGAGTTCCCCTTGCTTTGGAATCCTTAGCTTCCCATGCATCTGTAACTGGAACTGGGGGGGTTTCTGTAATCACCTCAAACAGACCCTCTTTCCGCAGAATTGCCTCTGCATACTGAACCCAGTCGCTGTAATTTTTCTTGTTAAGCTTAGGAATCCCACAAGCATCCTGAAGGGCCATCATGACTCTGGCATTAGCCTTCAGCGTCATATGCTGCTTTAAATCTTGCTGCGTCACTGCTGCAGCTGCCTCATTACAAAGGCACACTTAAAAGTTACTTTCGATTTCCCCAGCATAGTGACTTGTGCCTGGGAGCCTTTTGCCTATTCCCGGCAAAACCGGCTTTAAAAGTTCAAAGTCCAGCCATAAAGCCATTAATTTGAAGCTGGCAGGCTGCCCGGAGCAGTAGCACATACCTCATCAATCACTTCTACGCGCAGAGCAGATTCCTTTCCGATCCGTTCTCCTGCATTCCGATCCTTTGCCGGCACTCCGATTCGACTCCTGGAGCCCATAACCACGTGTTGATTTAAAGCAGAGTCTGTCGTGGCCAGCGGAAGGATGAGAATACGTGCTGCATACTCTTTATTGCTTTATTTACAGTTCAAAGCTGGTATATTACAGAAAGACATCTTGCCTCTGCAAGAGCAGAAAATGCATCCTCTCTCCTCCGACTGCACGGAGAGAATCACACAGTGAAAAAACAGGAAACCAGTGTACGTCACATCCAGTCTCCCTTTCCCGTGAGAAACTCCAACAGTACAGACTGTGGAATGTAAACACCTGTCTCGTGACAGCAGATGCTGCACAGTGAAGGAAAGCAGAAACCAACAGTAGGTTGCTAGGAGACCCCCTCTTCCCCCTCACTGATTCCCCTATGCAATTCCCCTATGAAGAGGGACTGATCGTTAAACCACATTGGGAACTGTAGCTCTGCGACACTCAGCTCCCTTAATAAAACTATAGCTCTCAGAATTCATTGAGGGAAGCCATGATGGTTTAAAGCTGTGTCATGGTGCTTTAAATGTATGGTTAAAATGTGGCTCAAGCCCATTGCTTACAGTAAACCCACTGAAAGCTAAAGTCTTCAGCTGGCCATAACATTCAAGCCCATTGATTTCAATGGGTCTACTCTGTATGACTTATACTTTAAGTATTGCTCCAAGGCCGATATAATTGGGTGTGGGACCATGCTGTAGAGGATAATTATATTCCTGTTCTCTGCATTTTATAGTGTGTATGTGCGTGCTCCAGTAATATTATAATTTAGCTTTAACCTCTCATGAAGTAGTTCATTGCCGGCATTATCGCATATGGTTTGATTGTGTTTTTATGCTATGTTGCCAGTGTTCTTTTTGCCTGAAAAATGGGACTCTTAAGAAGATGGCAATGTGTTCAAGTTTCCCCTCATTCCAAGCAAGCATCCTGATGTCTCACCTACCTTACAAAGGCTACATGGACACCCCTACGCTTGACAGGTATTGCAAGGAACCATTCTGCATGTGAAAGCATAACAACCACCGTGATATGCCCACAATCATTTCAGGCTGCTTTCAATGCCGACAACAGCTAAGCACTTTGCTTTCCTTACAGTATAAGCCTATTTCTGTTCACTCAGAGGGAGGTCCCTTTGACTTCAGCAGGGGGTGGATACACTTCAGGCTTTAAAAATTTTGTTTTACTAGAACATTGTGCAAAAGGGACGGGTTTAGAATTAAAGAAATCTGAGCATGGGAATTGTTTCATGTGCCAGAAATGAATAGAGCCTATGATCCTCTTCCGGCTACCCCGAGTTTTCTTCATTTTTCGGTAGTACAGTGGTACCTCGGGTTACATACGCTTCAGGTTACATACAATTTAGGTTACAGACTCTGCTAACCCAGAAATAATACCTCGGGTTAAAAACTTTGCTTCAGGATGAGAACAGAAATCGTGCTCCGGTGGCATGGCAGCAGCGGGAGGCCCCATTAGCTAAAGTGGTGCTTCAGATTAAGAAGAGTTTCAGGTTAAGAATGGACCTCGAGAATGAATTAAGTATGTAACTAGAGGTACCACTGTATTACTTAAGGCAGAGACTCATTTTGTTGATGTCATTGTTAAACTACTCAAAGAGTCCAAAATTATTGCTTACCTCCTGCAAAGACTCGCACAGGTCAAGGATTTGGGCCACCCAGTGGGGAGCGGCTCTCTGGAAGCCAGGACACATTTTAGACTGCTCTTCAGCAGCCAAGGGAAATTAAGACTAGTGTTCTACCAAATGATCCTGCTCTACCTTCATTCCATCCTTGGTGTTTAGATAGTCAGGATGTACAAATTCCTGACCTGAGACACTAGCGAGTGAAACAGACCTGATTTCTTTCTCAACAAGTCAGAATGTTCATGGACATTCCATGACATCATGGCAAGTCAGCCAATAACTTGTGTGGATAGGCTTTTGGCCAACACTTCATAGTAGCTTTTTAACATAAGATATGATAACCATTAAAAAAAGAAAATGAACTGTAATCTGTTTTCAGAGGGAAGAAAAAAGCAATCTCTTTATATAAAACATGCTTTTTATACATAATTAGTTTGAACATTTTGCTCAGCAGGATTTCTTTCACTGAAAGAAAGTAACACTGAAAAAACCTCTAAGGTTGATACTTAAAAATAAAAGCTGTACGTCAAACCAAAACCACCAACAGAGACCCTGTATCCAAAAATGAAATAAGTGTCCCTTTTTCTTTCCTCGTTCTGGCTATAGTGAAACGATCATTTGTCAGATACATTGTTGTATTTCAGAAAGGGGTGTGTATGCATGTGTTGGGAAGTTAATGGAGTCACAAAGGCTACTGTAATGTTCCTTTAAGACAAGCATTTCTTGTCAGGGAAATTAAGAGATCAATAGCTCATAACTAGTCAAGAATGTCAAGGTACAGACATCTTGGCAGAAGGCATACCTACCCTTGATGTAATCTAGATCTGAATATGTGTGTCCGCGAAAAAGGACACACTAGATTTAGGAATTTCAGATGGAGAGGAAGACAGGGAGAATTTTGCGGACTTTGGAGTTCTGGAAAGCACTGGGAGTTGAGCTTTCTCTCAGGAGATCTGTTGTGAAATAGTAGAATTTGCTGCTGGGAGTGTTTGAGCCTAGGTGGACGTGTGTACTTATAAATAAACTTTAAGACACTTAGACACACCCTGAGTCTGCAATGATCCGTACATCCAAAAGAAGATGGCAGCCAGGAAACCTAAAAGAGCTGAACAGTGCTGATCAGTCATTTCAGAGGGGACCATGAGGACGGATTTATCTACTTGCAGGTCTGTTGGGAACAAATACTGTTACCTGGGACAGGAACTGTTTGCATAACAGCCTGCTTCCATTGATGCCTGTTCCCAACTGGACTGATACAACCACACAGAGCTGACACAACAAGATATTTTCATGGTAACAACTACTGCTTGGCTGACACAGCTGCTGCCAATCCATTATAAGGCTTTAGTGGTGCTTTAAATCAAGTTGTGCACATTTCTGACCATTGTGCCTGGGATCATGTAAACAACTTGTCCAGGTTATTCCACCTTACGAAAATGGAAGGTTTGCTTTGATCATTCAAACGCCACCCATTAACTTGAAAAGTCCCAGAGAAAGATCCAGAAGCAGAAATGAAGCACATCATCAACTCTTGAGTGGATGAAGTTAGTCCCAGTGATTATTCCTTGTCTGAGAGCTCCGTATTCTCCCAGTCTCCTTGTAAGAGGCTTGTCTTTGAAGCTGCAGATCGCTTAACATAAACCACTCTGTCGCCGCCTGGAATTAATTCGGTCCAGTTGCTTCGAAACAAAGCAAGTGGCCTTCCTGAAGGAAAAAATAATTTTGAGAGGGGGTGAGGGTGAGGGGTGGGAGAACAAATCAAGATCTGTAAAAGTTGCAACATGGGCTGAGGTAAAATGATAACACTGGAAATGTAAAAGCACTGCAGAAAGAGAAAACAAGATGTCCAATCTAAGATGTAAGGAATTCCTGCAACATCTCTCACAGCCTCTACTTTTACAAGCCAATGTCCATGTCGCATTCCCTGCAATCCTCTCCCATGGTGACTGGAACCTGTCCTCACCAAGGTGTGCTCAATATTGACTGTATAGATCACCACCATCAGTGACAAATCTCAAAGTGGCAGCTATCTATAGTTAGCATAGAATGCACCAGTTAGCTTGTTGAGTGGGGCAGCCTGATAGGACTATAGCTCTGAAAGCACTGAACTGGCTGTCAGTGAACTATTGGGACCAATTCAAGGTGTAAGTACTAACATAAAGGTATATAAAGGTAAAGGTACCCCTGACCATTAGGTCCAGTGTGGACAACTCTGGGGTTGTGGCGCTCATCCTGCTCTATAGGCCAAGGGAGTCGGTGTTTGTCCGCAGACAGCTTCTGGGTCATGTGGCCAGCATTCTGGCAAACCAGAGCAGCGCATGGAAACACCGTTTACCTTCCCGCCGGAAGCACGTGCTTTGACGTGCTTTCAAACTGCTAGGTGGGCAGGAGCTGGGACTGAACAACGGGAGCTCACCCCGTCGTGGGGATTCAAACTGCCGACCTTCCGATCAGCAAGCCCAACCATCTCAGACCCTACATTCAGCAGGCGTGGTCTTCTTGGTGGTGCTGAAAGCCTTCGCAGCAGTGTTTCCCTAGTTGTGGAATGCCCACCATGATGAAATACACTGTCTCCATCATTATTAACTTTCAAGAGTTTGAAAACACTCTTGTTTTCCCAGGCATTTGGTGGCTGAAGAATACTGTTACTGGCAACCTTGAGATCATTGGGTGGAAGCATTTTTTTATAGTGGATTTGCTTTAGAATGCCTTTTTTTTTTTTTTGGCTCCATTTCTGCTTTTAAATTGTATATATTGGTTGCCTTGGGCTCCTTGGGGGAGGAAGGGCTGGATATAAATTGAATCAATCAATATACTCAGGTGTTCGACTCCCAGGTAATACCCAACAGGTGAGCAGGGCTGTGCTGTGTTCTCAGTCTCCTAGCGTTCATGCACAGGGTGAACAACTGCAGGGAAGGATGTGCACTGAACGTGTGCAGAGGAGGGCAACCAAGATGATCAAGGGTCTGGAAACCAGGCCTTATGAGGAATGGTTGAAGGAGCTGGGTACGCTTAGCCTGGAAAAGAGGTAAATATCTTAACATGGAAGATGGAGCAAGCTTCCCCCCCCCCCTCCTGCTCTGGAGGCTAGAACCCCAACCAATGGCTTCAAGTTACAAGAAAGGAGATTTCAACTAAACATTTGAAAAAAATTTCGGACAGTAACAGCTGTTCAGAAATGGAATGGTCTCTCTTGGTAGGTAGTAGACTCTCTTTCCTTGGAGGTTTGTAAGCAGAGGTTGGGTGGCCATGGATTGCTTGAGCCGAGATTCCTGCATTGCAGAGGGTTGGACTAGATGACCCTTGCGGTCTCATTCAACTCTGATTCTATGCAAATACTTCCATAAGATCCAAAGCCCTGATTGTGCGAACTCCTTGCCCACGGCTATTTGTGCTGTATGCATGGAGGGGAATCCAAAAGGAAGAGCTAGTAGGGAAGGTTCATTGCCGAAGAATTGATGCTTTTGAATTATGGTGCTGGAGGAGACTCTTGAGAGTCCCATGGACTGCAAGAAAATCAAACCTATCCATTCTTAAGGAAATCAGCCCTGAGTGCCCACTGGAAGGACAGATCCTGAAGCTAAAGTTCCAATACTTTGGCCACCTCATGAGAAGAGAAGACTCCCTGGAAAAGACCCTGATGTTGGGAAAGATGGAGGGCACAAGGAGAAGGGGGTGACAGAGGACGAGATGGTTGGACAGTGTTCTCGAAGCTTCAAACATGAGTTTGACCAAACTGTGGGAGGCAGTGGAAGACAGGAGTGCCTGGCGTGCTCTGCTCCATGGGGTCATGAAGAGTCGGACACGACTAAATGACTAAACAACAACAAGAAGTAGGGGCACATAAAATTGGGAGTGGGGCATTCCACACTTCGGAGACTTGCAAACAGTATCTGTTCCCCCCTCTATCCTTAACTGCAGTGGCTAGTTTGCTTCAATCTGCATCCTTCATTATTCACATTAAGGGTAATAGCTTAGATGGCTGCAGAAGTGTCAGCTAAAACAGGATAATTGATGGTATAAGATATATCTGCCTGGTTGCACACGTACCCACTAGCTGCCTTCAATGAAAGGCTATAATCAGTGCTAATTACAGGGCATTTGGGAAAATTTGTTGGTCTGGGGATATAGGTAGATAAAAAGAATATCCTAAATATCATTGTTGTAATTAAAAGAGCAGTGCTCTTTCATTTTGAAATACCCCCGAGGCATTCAGACAAGAACCGATGCATAACGAGCAGATTACTTCGCCCTGTCACTGGTTGGAAGATATAGAAGCTGTTTAACGATGAAAATCCAGATCAAAAATAATTACGACAACAAATGGAAAGAGATGCAACTCTGGATTGGAGGTACGAGAAGAAAAAAATAGCCCAATATAAGCTTTAAAATGGAGTTATCTGTAGAGTCGCCCCTTTATGTTTCTAAATTATTTAGTATTTTATGGCTGCTGTAATGATCCACCGCTTAGCACTGTGTGAGCTGCTTTCATCATATCGACAAGGAAAAGCAGCCTGCAAATTAAAAAAATAAATAAAACAATGAGGACTGGAAGAGCTTTAATTTGAACAACTGCGCGAACACCGAGGAAGGTATAACAGGTAACTTAAAGGGAACAGCAAGGAAGCTTACCTGTATTTTAAGTGAATCTTGAATGTGTCACCTAGAACAGGTTACTGGATCCTGTGTTCTAGAATAACTATGGCATTTTTCTTTTTTCTTTTTCTTATTTTAAAAGAAGAAGAAGTTGGGGTGGGGGAGATGATTGGCGCTTGTTAGCAATATTATGTCACTTCCCCTCACCTGTCCACGTTGTCTGCAGAGTGATGAAGAAATGTTGGCACTGAGGATGGGAGCTGCAAATGGCGGCAGCTTCCTCTTCGTTGTGAACAGAGAGCATGCACCCCAAGTGGCGATAGGATGGCCAGCACTTGTAGTCCTCCGTATCCCTGCTGTGGAAGCCCTTTAAGGCAATGTAGTCTTGGAAAGGGGAAGAGACAAGGTGATACGATTATGTACGCAGCTGGAAACAAGAGAGATACCGGTATTTTGGATTTGGCAATCAGCGGTGCCTTTCTCGGTGCTCTTCCCTAGCAGATCAGCTGCGAATCTCATCTCAACAGAAAGGCAGCCCGGAACATACCGTTCTTCTCTTAGAGGACAATGCCAATCACCAAGCGACTCCACCCCACCCCACAGGCAAGGAATGTGAGTTGTGCTGGCACCCCACTGAACTGCTGTTCCCCCACTGAGATCCAACCATTATGTAAAGCCCGTATATTGTGTGAAATAATGTACCTTTCAATTGAGAAGGCTTTTTCTGCAGATAAAGTCCAGACTTGTATAAATGCAAAACTCTCTGAAAAGCTCTCAGGGTTTCATTTGTTCCGTATCGCAAATCACCTACAATTACAGAAGAGGAGAGGGGGAATGATTTAAAGAAGGAAGGCGATTAAGAGCAGCTCTTACTTAAAACGTTTTTTTTAAAAACACACAATTCCCATTAGAATGTACCTGTGGCATTCAAGATATCCTTCAAAATGGGTTGCAAAACGAAGGGTGCAGTATGTGGCAGGAGATAAGTGAAGAAATACCTGCAGATAGAATTTTAAGATTTTAAAATAGATGTATTTGTGTCAAAGATCTTCCATATGTAACTATTTCTACAGCACATGGCAATTAAGAGTCATATGTTGTTAAAATCCTACACGTTTTGAATCTCATCTCTCCCAATTTTGAAGGCTTGGTTTATGACCTGAAAGCAAACAAAAAAAAATTCCTAGGCTGGCCAGATGCACCTCTAATAGTTGCAGAGGGCGAGGCCCCTGCAAATATAATAGTTGCACTGAAGAGGCAATTACAGCAGATGCAGCTTGCATGGAAACCATTGAAGGTGCAGGATCACTGGCCTCTCCTGCGTCTGGCTACTGTAGTGGGACACGAACTAGCCTCTGGCAGAACAGAATCGGGTTGCCTAACTGATCAAATTTAGTCCTTGACTTAAGGTTCGCCTTCCCTTTGAATCTGCTGAAATCTGCTTTTCAGATTTACACTGCTTCTCAGGTGCTGGCCATATGGAGCTTCTGACTAGCACATGACCTCTTCCAGCAGCATTAGACAAAATTAGCCTCTTCCAATTGTACGCTGTCTGGGGAGATGGAGGCAGATACACAGTGTAGTAACACGGAAGCGCTATGGCAGGCCAAGGGAACTTCCATTAGGTCCACTAGGCTGTTGAGAATTCCGTTCCACCTTAAGGGACAGACGTGTGGAATTGTTGCATGTCACATGTCTGTTTACATTCCAGCACAGTATGCTGGGAACTTCCGCTTTGCTGTTTTGCTTTGGATATGAAAGAGATCAGACATGTTTCCTTTTGTCTTGATCTACGCTGAATAAACCTGCTTGTAAATATGCTCACATAGCCTCTCATGCCACTTTTGTTTGTGCAGCGTTTTCTCTGCTGAATAGCGTGCTCAGTCTTCTAAAGCCTGGGCTGCAGAGTTCGCCCGGCACACCGGCCAGTGGGCTGGAGCCAGCTGGCAGCCTGCCAATTGCCCCCGTTTCCTTGGGTGCATGCCAACATAGGCTTCCCCATGTGGCCTATGAGGCTGTTTTTGGCCAAGTCCTGCCCACCTGTCAAAGCTGGTTCAGATGCAGGTCAGCACACGAGGTGCAGAGTTTGGCATTGTGAAGCTCATCAATACCTTCTGACTGGGCTTGCTCCTCTAGAGCTGTTGCCAGGAGTGACTGTCCCTGCCTTCTACTTCCTCTAGGTTTCCCAAGCAGCCTCAAATGACATCAGAGCATCTGTAATCTCTGTTTTGCCCTATGCATCGTGTGTCCTTGGGAGGGGAGCTTGTTACAGTAGGACAGGCAAACTCCTGGGATTTTCCTGCAGCCTCTTTGCTCCCCCCCTTTCATCTGAGCTGCTGCCTGTCACAGGCTCCCCATGCTCACTAAAGCCTGTCGCTTCACCATTCAACCATTCCTCTCCCGCTTTTCCCCTTGACATCTCCTTAACGTCCCACCACCAAACCCTGGGCTCTGAGCTTTCCTCCTCTGTGGCTTCCCTGGCTGGTACCTCCCACCGTTCCTTGTCATCTAGCCAGTCCCTGACACCTGTCCAACAACCAACATCACGTGTGATGTTATGTGTGGGGCAGATGCAAGCATGACTCCTTGCTAAAAGTGGTTTTTGCAAATGCTGGTGCTCAACTGATGGTCAGCAGCTGCAAAGCCTGGTGCCTGCTGGCTTGGAAAGCCTCGAGTCCCTGAGCAGCAGGGAAGCATCCAGACCCTGATTACTGGACATTTGTGTTCTACAATAATAGATGGCTTTAGTGTAACTGGTATATTTATCTTAATCTGCTCCAATCATTCACTGGGTTGGGTAGTTTGGGGCTCAGCCTCTGCCTCTCCTGGCAAAATAAATGACCCACAAATGACCATATAATGTTTTGCTTTGAACTGATTCCTGGTTGCCCTTGAGACTGACCCAGAAACTCCAGCGGGTGCAGAATGCCTCGGCGAGACTCCTTACGGGGTCCTCGCTGCAGGATCACATTCACTCAGTGCTATACCAGCTGCACTGGCTCCCGGTGGAGTACAGGATCAGGTTCAAGGTGCTGGTTTTAACCTTTAAAGCCCTATACGGCCTAGGACCCTCGTACCTATGGGACCGCCTCTCCTGGTATGTCCCACAGAGGAACTTATGGTCTTCAAACAAAAACATCTTGAAGGTCCCAGGCCACAGAGAGGTTAGGCTGGCCTCAACTAGAGCCAGGGCTTTTTAGGCTGTGGCTCCGATCTGGTGGAACGCTCTGTCACAAGAGACTAGGGCCTGCAGGATTTGACATCTTTCCGCAGGGCCTGCAAGACAGAGCTGTTCCACCAGGCCTTTGGTCGAGGCGCAGTCTGACCCCCTCCTTTGGTAATCCTCATAGAACTCTAGCCTAATGTTTGCCATTAATTTGATTCTGAATTGATTTTAGAATGTATTGATTTTAGAATGTATTTCTATTAATTGAATGTGATTTTATGTAAACTGTGTTACTTTTACTGTTGTTAGCCGCTCTGAGCCCGCCTTCGGCTGGAGCGGGTGGGATATAAATTAATTACTATTATTATTATTAATTCCAGCCCCAGAAGAATGGAGCTCTGAAGCCTTCCTTTGTGCGCTGAGCTCCACCTACTTTAAACTTGGAACCTTATTGAGAGTGTGGCCTTTTATGCTCTTTTGTCTCACTCATTCTTATGAATGGACGTGGCATTTCTAGATTCCTCTGCCTGATGCAACCTCTGCATGTTGCTTCCTGGTAAAGGCAGTCATGGGAGAAAGAGGTTGTGAAGTCCTTAGGAATTCCCCATACACATTTGTTTGCAATTGGGTGGGAAGTTGGGGGATCCCTTGATGAGCACACGGAAACTTTGGTACATGTGGATATGGCTCTTTTGTTCGAGTCATGCTGTAGCGGTTAAATAATTATATTACACATGCAGTTAAATGCTATTAACCCTAACATTTTGTCTCCAAAAAGGAGTTGTCCAAAGTGGATTCTCAATAAAAAGAAGGCACAACTCACACAATCATTAAAACATAGCAGCACTGTGAAATTCAGGATGCTGGTTTTGGAGGGCATTTAAAAAAATAAATATATCACCCAACATACCGGTAAGCATTGAAGAGGTTCCTTTTCTCATTTATTCCTTCACACTTCCCCTGCACAGAACACCTGAGAGAGAAGCTTTTGGTGGGGAATTCCAGGGTGCAGTCCCCATCCCCTTCGCAGGACAACTCCTCAGTGCTCACGTCATCCAGGTCTGAGACTTTGAGGACCCCGTTCACCATGACAAACTGCCTGGGCTGGAAATCCAGGAGGGCCAGGGAACCCAGAGGAGACTTGGCCAAGTAATGGAGCAGCTCAGCCAGCTCCAGGCAAAGCTGAAAGAGAAGGTGAATACACTTTTATTGGCTGGGAGCATCCAAATAAATGGAAAAGGGGTGGCTAACATTATTTATTTCATAAAATCTATCTCCTTAGGGATGCGGGTGGCGCTGTGGGTTAAACCACAGGGCCTAGGACTTGCCAATCAGAAGGTCGGCGGTTCGAATCCCTGCCACGGGGTGAGCACCTGTTGCTCGGTCCCAGCTCCTGCCAACCTAGCAGTTCGAAAGCACCTCAAAGTGCAAGTAGATAAATAGGTACCACTCCAGTAGGAAGGTAAACGGCGTTTCCGTGCACTGCTCTGGTTCACCAGAAGCGGCTTAGTCATGCTGGCCACATGACCCGGAAGCTGTACGCCGGCTCCCTCGGCCAATAAAGCGAGATGAGCGCCACAACCCCAGAGTCGGTCACGACTGGACCTAATGGTCAGGGGTCCCTTTACCTTTATCTCCCTGGCCACATCAGGAAATCACTAAGTCCTGATCGAACACAGCAAAAACAACCAAACTCCCACTGACGATTATGTCCCTAGACACCCTTAAAGCCTTTGATTGTTTAGAATGGGAATTCCTGTTAGCAGTATTAACCAACATGGAATTTGGCCCCAACTTCCTACAAACCCTCAAACAATATTACTCCCAAGCTTCAGCAAAATGTAGGGTCAATGGTATGGACTCTAATACCATAGCAATACAAAGAGGCACAAAACAAGGGTGCCCACTCTTCCCCCTTTCTATTCATCCTGGCCCTTGAACCCCTAGCAATCCGAATCCTGGCAGCCCCTGACTTCAAGGGAGTGGTAATAAAAGGCAAAACCTATAAATCAGGGCTCTTCGCAGATGGCCTGATGGTCATGACACCAGACCCCACAAACACTGCAGCCAACTAAAGATACCCAACCACGCCCATCTCCCCAACCTTTCTCACCACCAAGAAAGATGTATGCATACCTCTCCTGGTATGCCCCGCGGAGGACCTTAAGGTCCACAAATGACAACATTTTGGAGATCCCAAGTCACAAGGTGATTAGATTGGTCTCAACTAGGGCCAGGGCCTTTTCAGTACTGGCCCCGACTTGGTGGAACGCTCTGTCACAAGAGACTAGGGCCCTGCGGGACTTGACATCTTTCTGCAGGGCCTGCAAGGCAGAGCTGTTACACCTGGCCTGTGGTTTGGACTCAGTCTGACCCTTATGTTTCCCTCCCCTTATGGTCTTGATCTATCGGCTACTTTTAAAATGAGGCTGCATTTTAACCTGTATTTTAAATTGGGTCCCCCCCCCATTATGTTCTTACTGTGATTTTATTGGTGTCAGCCACCTAGAACCCAGCTCTGACCGGGGAGGGCGGGGTATAAATAAAATTTATTATTATTGTTGTTGTTGTTGTTGTTGTTATTATTTGTGTATGTGTGTATATACATATACATATAACATAAATGAACAGAGAACCTACTCAAGTGACACTGGCATAAAACCCCACAAACGTATTAAATATTACCACCCCAACCCCCTCTCCCCCTCTTCTTCTTCCCCCATCTTATTCTGTATAATGTCTCTGCCCAAGATCCTGGAGAGCTGTTGCCAGTCAGTGTAGGTAATACTGAAGCTAAATGGACAAATAGTCCACACACTGCAGCTTCCTATAAGGAGTAAAAGGACACTTTTACTCTGGTCAGTGAGGGGAGGGTTGGTTTTATAGCAAATCTGGGTGAAGGTCATTTTCTTCGATTATAGTTTAAGGTCAAACAGCCGTTCCCAGCTCTCCTTGTTTTTGTTTTCTTACTTTAAATCTCTCCTCCCAGGGGGTCTGCAGAAGTTGAATCATCTCCAGGGGAACACCCAACTCCAAAACGGTGACCACCTTCATTTCAGGAACTAAGCTAGGATCATAGCACTGACCACGCAACTGTCAAAAGAGGAAATGCACAGATTGCTGTGTTACTATAGATGTAAATGCTGGAATCAGCTGGATCAAAGATAAGATCTGTGTGTGTTTTGCAGAACCGGGGAATTCAGATCTTTGCAGAGGGGTAGAGGGACACCCTCAACAGGTCTTAGGAGATTCCACAGTGGGAATATTCCTATGTGGTTGTGGTTTCAAGCATGCTGATAGTACTGGATAGGAAACCATAACATTAATTAGTCTGCATTTTGAAGTTGAATGTTTATACCGCCCAAAGAACAGTGCATTCCCATTGATGTTTATTTACCATTAACCTAGCCAAGAGTAATTTCAATTCCAGAGAGGTACCTTTTCCATGGCTTTTCCCTCCCCGCCCCCTAATGAGCTCTGTCAGGTCATTAACAATAATTGAACCAAGAAAGAGTTTACAGGATGCAGATGTAAGAGCTTCACTTATCTAAGGTATGTTTGTGATTAAACATTTCCCATTTTCCCCGCAAGCCTGCAGAGTTTCGCTGTCCCCACCCTTTCTTTTAGGCAAATACTATATCTCTTTGGGTGGAGGCTGGAGGAATACACAACCATTTAAGGCTGCAAGCCTAACCAAGTCTACTGGGAAGTGCACCTCACTGAGTTCAGTGGGGCTTATTCCCAGGTAAATGGGTTTAGGATTGCAGCTAGTGATCATCAACTGAGTTCCGTAAGCTGGCTAGGTTTGAAGAGTATAAAACAGGTGTTCCCAAACTGTGGTCCATGGACCACGAGTGGTGAGTGTCATTTGGTGGTGTGGTCAATGGTGCGTCTGTGAAGAACAGCAGCCGCTACGAATGGTGGTTGCAGCACATTAAATATTCCTCTTGATTTTTAATTGTGTTTCCATTGCTTCTTTTAACTTCTCATATTTCTTATTGTGTTTGATATTCTACAGAATTGGAACACAAGAAAATAAAAATCGTGGGAAATGCCATTCAAAATCATGCTGCACCTAACAAAACGCGTTACCAGTTGTCATTATAACAGGCAGAAAACCCATTAAAAGGTCCGCCAAGATCTTCAGCAATTTTCAAGTGGTGGTGGTGGTCTGGGAACCACTGTTTCAGAAGGATTTTCCCTCTGACAACTCCTGCAAATCCAAGAGAAGCCATTAAGTGTGCAGTTGAACAACATTATTGTTCAACTATTAGGAGTCAGGTAGCTTTGGTGATCTACTCCAATGCACACAGAGATCTGTTGCAGATCCAGATCTGCCTTCTACTTACCCTAGGAGAAAGAGGAAAGTGGCCCAGAAGAAAGGCAATCTAAGTCTAGACACTTCAAGACAGTAATTCATGGGAAGGTTTGTTCCTCTTTAATAAAGTACAAATTGGCGAAGAAACAACCAGGAAGTGGAGCACTAAGGAGGAACAAGGGAAGCGGCAGATCACAGGAGGCAACATAGTCTTCATAACCTCCATAAGCAATTATCACAGGCTTATCTCACTTAAAAGAGAGAACACACCCTTCAACAGCAGCTGAAGCCAGTATAGGTGCTTTGATGGGAGAAACACTACTTAACAACTCCAAAACTCAGCTGGCAGAAATACTTGGAATTACATCAGCTTAGACTGATCGCAATCGCTTTTGCTTAGAGCAGTGGTGGCCAAACCTGGTCCTCCAGCCACTTTGCGACTACAGTTCCCATCATCCCTGACCACTGGTCCTGTTAGCTAGGGATGATGGGAGTTGTAGTCCCAAAACAGCTGGCGAGCCAAGTTTGGCCGTGCCTGGCTTAGAGGAAAGCAAAAAACCCCACTTCTTCTAATTAAACACATTTTTTTTAAAAAAGTATACACTGCTTTGTTCTATATAAGATAAAACTATTTAGGATCCAGTTGCAATCAATTTAAAGGTGTAATGGTCAAAGAGTGTTGGACTGGGACCTGGGAGAAGCAGGGTTCGAATCGTCACTCAAGCCATGAAGCTCACTGGGTGACTTTGAGCCGGTCACCAACTCTTAGCCTAACCCAGTATTTCCCAAACTTTGGTCTCCAGCTGTTTTCAGACTACAGTTCCCATCATCCATGACTGCTGGTCTTGCTAGCTAGGGATGATGGGAGTTGTAGTCCAAAAAAACAGCTGGGGACCCAAGGTTGGGAAACACTGACCTAACCTACCTCATAGGATTGTTGTGAGGATGACATGAAATGGGGAGGAGAGTCATGTACACCACACTGAGACTCTTGGGAGACAAAATTGGTGTATGAATGAAATAAATATATAAATAAATAAATGCAGAAATAGTGCAACCCATTGCAGCAAAATATGATTGAACACATGTATTCAAGCTACAATCCTTGGAAGTAAGATGCACAGAACTTGGGATTTGCTGCCATGTAAATCTGCGAGTAAGCCCCATTGAACAGAATGGCAATTGCATCCGAGTAAACATGCCAAGGAATGTGCAGTTAAGTTTGAGGCCAGAACAGCGCCCAGTCCCATAACATTTCTTAGTGTGACAGTTCAAGTCCTGGGCCACGTGGACAATAAATAACAGTACAGTTAAGCATGCACAGATTGACGTTTCCTTCCCAGTGAGTTATCACAGGTCACCCACCGCAAGTGATATTACGGCGGAGTACGATTTCCACTTAGGCCCCTGCCACAATCTACTATTCGCTTCCTCAGAAGCAGTTTCCATTCTGCTCGGTGGGGCTTCCTCGCCGGAAAGTGCGCACAGGAAAGCAGCCTTAATCCCAGCGCAAACTGATTTCAGTGAAGCTTCATAGCATAGAATCATAAATTGGAAGGGACCCTGTGGGTCAACTAGTCCAACCCCCTGCGATGCGGGTTGCAATCCTAACAAGATAGGATCGCACCACAAAGGCGCGCACCGGGCTACTCCCCCAGATTATTCAATCCTGCGGAGTTCCCGATGAGGTCGGCCTTCCCCTGGCTGCCCCAGACCGGTGCTACGTGCCTTGACGACGCCGGGATGCTCCAAGCTCTGCAACAGAACCATCTCCTTGAGCAGCTTGTAAGCGGCCAGGCGGTAGCAGCCGCTCGGGTGCGCGTAGCGTTGCGCGCAGCGGCTCACGTCGCGGCCGACCGGGTGCACGGACTTCAGGGCGACCTCGTGGCCTCCTCCGCGGGGCAGGACAGCCCTCTGCACCAGCTTGGTGATCCCGGAGCCCACCAAGCGCACGCCCGTCGCGCCGCTCAGCTCCGCGCAACCCAACGCGCCCGCGGCGGGAGAAAAGGCGCAAGCAGCCCGGGCGGACGCGGCCAAGCGCCGCAAATCCCCCTCCCGCTGCTCCAGCTCCCGCATCAGGCTCGGGGGCATTGGGGAGTCCAGCAGCCGCCAGGGGCCCGAGACAAGGAGGGCCAAAGGGAGCAGCGCAGGGGCGGCCAGGAGCGCGAGGAGCACCCCGGACCTCGCCGGCAGAGCGGAGCCCGGGCAGCAGCGCATGACCCAACCTCCGAACAGGCGACCGTCCAGTGCCGCGTTTCGATTCTGCCTCGCGTGGGAAACCGGGTCAGGTTCCTCCCCAGAGGCGTGTCTGCTGCAGCAAGCCGCCGCCTAGCTCCCCTGGAGAGCCTCATTTCTCCAATCGGGAGGCGAAGAAAACAGAGGGATTCTCCTAGAATGGTAGAGTTGGAAGGGACCCCTGAGCATCATCTAGTCCAACCCCGCTGCAACGCAGGAATAGGCGGGGGGATCGAACCTCATCCCTCGGCGTTAACAGCATCACGCTTTAACCAAGCTAACTTCCTGTCCAGGCATCAGAATTTGGGCAGGGAATTTCAGGGCCAGCTTATTTTGGAGTGGGGCAAGGACTGCTGAAATCCGATAGGTGAGGCTCTGAAATCAGTGCGGGGAAGGGCTTAGTAGTTTAGTATCTGCTTGTATGGAGCTTCCTGGGTTCGATTCCAGGGGTCTCTAAGTAGGGCTGGGAATGTCTCCTGCCTGAAATCCTGGAGCCCCACTGCCAATGCAGAGCCTAATGGGCTAGTGGTCTCCTTCATAGAACATGCCACATGTGCACAGAAGAAGAAAAATGGAGCTGAATGATTCATTCACAATACTGTATACAGTAAACCATGGAAAGAAACCATTGTGTTCATAAGCATGGAATCACTAGGGTAAGTTCTTAAACTGTGGTCTGGGCTGCATTTCTGGATGCTTTCTGTGGTCTAGCTGAAAACAGAAAGGTTTCTTGGAATCTTTGATCACATGGCAAAGAGAGAGAGCAGATTGCATCTTCAGCAGTAAAAGTATCTGCAGTGGAAAGTTCCAGGAGTTCCGTTCAGCGCTTAAAAATGTAAAAGCCACTGTGATTAGAATGCCATAATTATATTTCTCAATCCATGTTTCTGTCCTTAAATTCAGTTCTCAACATTTCCACATGAATTTGCAATACAGTCATACCTCGGGTTACAGATGCTTCAGGTTGCGTTTTTTTGGGTTACAGACCCACTGAAACCCGGAAGTACCGGAATGGGTTACTTCCGGGTTTCCGCGGTTGCGCATGTGCAGAAGTGCCAAATTGCAAGCAGACTCAGCACTGCGGGTTGCGAACGTGCCTCCTGCACGGATCATGTTCGCAACCAGAGTGTCCACTGTAATAATAATAATAATAATCCACATGGGTTGTCAATTTTTAGATGTGGCATTGCACAGCGCCACTATCATCAGGAAGCCTGATGTACCCTCCCCTGTCCAAGCCTATCATTTAGGAGTAAGTAGATACTTTAATTTAAATCAAAAATCACTTTTCCTTGGTAAAGGTTCTTTGATCCCCTGCCCCGGGTTCCAATTTGCCTTATGGAGTTCTCAGCTCTAGTCCAGGCTTCCTCAAAGTCGGCCCTCCAGATTTTTTGAGACTACAATTCCCATCATCCCTGACCACTGGTCCTGCTACCTAGGGATCATGGGAGTTGTAGGCTAAAAACATCTGGAGGGCCGAGGTTGAGGAGGCCTGCTCTAGGCTTTAATACCTTGATCTTCTAACTACGTATCGGTATTTTGCTGCCACTATATAGACATGAATACCTTGGCCAAATATGAGACATGGTTTGAACAAACAGAACTTTATTATTATAGTAAAAAGCTGGCTATAACACATTCTTACATGTTTTGCTTTCCATAACAGTGCTTGGATATTTTGTAGTTTATAACTCTATTCCTCATCCAGACCATCATCCTAATCCTATCCTATCCTAAGCCCACAGCCTACTCCCTCCAAAACTCAACTCCCCTTTTCCTGTCCCCCCCCACCTGTTCTGTCACACTTTACCGTCAGCCAATCACTGGTCCTAAAGGATCTACATTGGCTCCCAGTACATTTCCAAGCGCAATCCAAAGTCCTGGTGCTGGCCTTTAAAGCCCTAAACAGCCTCTGCCCAGTGTACCTGAAGGAGTGTCTCCACCTCCATCATTCAGCCCTGACACTGAGGTCCACTTCCGAAGTCCTTCTGGCAGTTCCCTCACTGCAAAAAGTGAAGCTACAGGGAACCAGGCAGAGGGCCTTCTTGGCAGTGGCACCCTACCTGCAGAACGCCCTCCCATCAGATGCCAAACAGATAAACAACTATTTGACTTTTAGGAGACATCTGAAGGCAGCCCTGTTTAGGGAAGTTTTTTATGGCTGATGTTGCATTGTGTTTTTAATATTTTCTTGGGAGCCACCCAGGGTGGCTTGGGCAACCCAGTCAGATAGGCGGCATATAAATAATAAAATTATTATTATTATTATTATTATTATTATTATTATTACTCAGCATAGGACACACCCCACCGTCCCAGCCCTCTCTCACTGCTGCCGTGTACTGGACCTTACCTTACGTCTTACAAATATCTCCCTACAATCATAGACCTCTTAATAGGCAAACCTGTACAAGTCAATTATGATGACAAACACCGCAAAGCCCCCAACAGATAACCCTTTAGGCCAGGCATCCCCAACCTGCGGCCCTCCAGATGTTTTGGCCTACAACTCCCATGATCCCTAGCTAACAGGACCAGTGGTCAGGGATGATGGGAATTGTAGTTCAAAACATCTGGAGGGCCGAAGGTTGGGGATGCCTGCTTTAGGCAAACACACAAACACACCTCAACTATGATAATTGTTAAAAAGCTGCAGTCATAGGTATATCAGTGTATTTAAATCTGAATTGTCAAATTGTGTTATTGTTATTATGGTATTTGTTGTAGTGTCTTTTGCGGTTGTTGTGTGTATCAAAAAATGATTAAATAAATTTTTTTAAAACCCATCAACTATGATTGCAAAATGGCCCCAACTCCAAAATGAGCTCTCTCCAACCCGCCGGGAAATGGAACTTTTAAGCAGGTTTCAGTAGGAATTCAAGCTGCGAATGACAATATCCTGCTGCCGATTATTTAATCCCCTTCACAGCGAAGGTGGCGCCGTGGTCTCAGTCTGCATACTAAGCCATCTAATGGCTTCAGCGATGCTGTCTCCATAATTTTAAAGCTCTGAGGTGGGACCAGCTGGAATTCAAACCTCTGGAGAAATTTGGCCATCACCACTTTAGCCTCCATCTGTGATAAAAACAATGAATGAATGAATGAATGGTAAACTGGCTCTTGCCATTTTGACGCAGTTGAACACTATCTCCAGATAAGTGCAAATGCTTATTCTAGGCTTGTTCAAAATACAGGATTAAATTCAGCCATTAAATAAAGAAATAAAAATCTAGTGGACTAAGAAACCGAGAGCGCTGAAAAAAATTAATAGTTTGGATTTGTTTTTATTTGACTCATTTAAAAATAAAAATTACAGGCCCATAAGTGATACAGACTTTTAAAAAATCTATATATAATTTCCAACCATCATTCTGCTGCTGAGACCTTTATGGCCCTCACAAAGAACTATAGTCTACAGAACTATAACAAAGAACTATAGTCTAACAATCAAGTCCTCTTGGCAAGGAACTCTTAACTAATTATAGTTTCTTTGAGGGAAGCCGTTCATGTTTACAGTGATATGATAGCACTTTAATTGTGTGATGTGAACATGGCCTAAACCTCACTCTGAATGAAGCCTGAGTTCTGCCTTGCTGAGGCCCAGAGCCTGACCGCGAGATCTATATATTTTAAATAAATAAAATATTGGGGAACCGACAGCTGGGGAAGGCTGGGCTATGGGGCACCATCCCTGAAGCTATTACACACCCCACCCTGCTGTTCCACCAGTCCTTTTGCCCAGGCTCCTGGATCAGCAAGGTAGAATCACAGAATATTGTAGAGTTGGAAGGGACCCCGAGGGTCATCTAGTCCAGTGCTAAAGCAGATGGCCATCTAACCTCTGCTTAGAGACCTCCAAGATGGGCTTTTTAAAAGGACAGGTGCCACTTAAGAGGGGACTTGGAAATCCTAATGGGCACTGCCTTACCTGTGAAAATAGCTGCCCGATACAGGTATGACCTCCAAGGGAAAATGGGAAGTAGGTAAAGTATGGTCTAAAAAAATAATAGAGAGAGAGAAAATCATAGAATTGCAATGCAGGAATCTCAAGATAAGAGTTATTGAAATGGCTTTGCATAGACAGCGTCCTTAGCAATGGCTTTGTTGCAACCTTGAACTCACTCCACCTGCTTAGGAGTGTACCAGATCCACTCTTTCGGTACAACAATGGTACAGTCATACCTCGGGTTGAATGTGCTTCAGGTTGAGCACTTTCAGGTTGTGCTCTGTGGCAACCCAGAAGTAATGGAGCCCGTTACTTCCGGGTTTCGCTGCTCGCGCATGCACAGACGCTCAAAATGACGTCACGCACGGAAGCGGCAAAACGCGACCCGCACACGCACAGACGTGCCGTCGCGTCTTACGTTCTATTCAGGATGCAAACAGGGCTCCGGAACAGATCCCGTTTGAATCCCGAGGTACCACCGTAGTCATTTTTATAGCCTCCTTTTTCCATTTCTTCGCCCCCCCCCTTTCCCTTTTTTAAACATATTTTTTATTAAAGATGTCTTGGTTTACAAAAGTATGTGCAATGTCTTTTTCTTCAAGTTACACTTTCTACAGATCAGTTTCATTTGTTGACACATTAGTGTTACATTAGGAAGAAAAGGGGGAAAGAGGTGGAGGGGGGATGGTGAGTGAGGTGGGGTGGCAATGCTTCTACAGTGGTACTTCGGGTTACATACGCTTCAGGTTACAGATGCTTCAGGTTACAGACTCCACTAACCCAGAAATAGTACCTCGGGTTAAGAACTTTGCTTCAGGATGAGAACAGAAATCGTGCAGCGGCGGCGCAGCAGCAGCAGGAGGCCCCATTAGCTAAAGCGGTGCTTCAGGTTAAGAACAGTTTCAGGTTAAGAACGGACATCCAGAACGAATAAAGTTCTTAACCCGACGTACCACTGTATTCTACTTAGTGTATGTGTGGGGTTTTGTGTCAGCGTCGCTTGTGCAGGTTTTCTTTACTATTCACTTGTATTCCTACATTATATGTCTTGCCCAGGCAGTGTCTTGGGTTCCTGTGTGCTTAAAAGTAGCTTAACACAGAGACCGATTGATAATATTCTATGTTGTGAAAAGCTCCACATGTTAATTTCTGCAGACCAAGCTACCGTTAAAGTAAAAAAGCAGTCAATTTTTCTTCTGGGAACCAAGTTATCAAAGCAGCAGAATTGTGTGAATATTGACGCTTGCTGGTAATCCTCTGTATTAATAAATCCAGGAGGAAATGTCAAAAGATACCTTTCAATTTAGGAGTAAATTTAATGCCAACTGGCCACTTCAACTGCATGTTCCAAAGTCATTTGTATTCCCAATATGTACAGGCCATTCAAATGAGCTTCATGTTACAATTTGTTTTTACATTTTCCAGCTTGTCTCCTAAAATCCTAAGAATTACCAGTAAATGTCAACATTTACCAAGTTTCTAACATTGACTAGACAATATGCATTGTATTAGAGAGTTGTATCCAGCATAGCATTAAATACTGTGCCCTCTCAAAACAAGGATTTATAATTGTACCAACCAACTTTCCCTGCTTCTTCTCCCTCTGTGCATCCACTAAACCTAGTCCCACTGCAAAAAAAAGTGAAATTCCTTGAACTGACAGGATGCATTTGTTGGATACAGCCCAAAGCAAACAAATGAAAGAACGTTTAGCACAATTTCCCTAAAAATGCAGCAACAGAAACTTACATTGTTTGGTCTTTGCTAAACCGGTCAGGATTGAAGATAAAGGGGTCTTTGAAAAACCTTTTCATGCGTCCCATGACATATTGACTGAACTGGCAAGAGAGGAGACAGTCATTTGCACTTGTAAATGCAAAGCAAGCTGCAAAAACATTTGTCATTCACAGCAAGAGGCAGCTGCACATCACAACCTCATTTAATGAAATGATGTTATCACTTCCTGGCCGTTCCTCCACACACCCTGCAGTCACATCTACTACATTTATATCAGCATTAGCTGGAAATGTTTTTAAATTTAATTGAATCCCTAATACAAAATTGAACTCATGGTGCTGTTAGGCTGTTTGACACATGGCTGAAACAGTCACAGGTGTGTGTTGGAGAAAGCAGAAAGCAAATGTTTGGAGATAAAACACTGATATCTATGAATCTGAAAGAGAATTATTTAGATCTTGCATTCATCCTCCAATGGCATCTGAGCACCTCTAAACTAAAGCACCCACATGCAAGACTATTTATGTATTTTGTGTTTTCATTTTGTATTTTTATGCTGTAAACCACCCTGTGATCTTCAGATGAGGGGCGGTGTATTAATTAATTAATTAAGTAAAAATATTTACATATTTTTTGAAAATACTGTAAAATCCAAAATGCCCGGTGTCCAGTGGTGGAATGCATTAAAGAAATCACAGGTTATGAATTCGGAATGAATCTGATAAATATACTTTTAATTTTGTTGAAAACGTATGTTGACAATGTGGATATAGAAATGATTATTATACCCAATCAAGGAAAAGCATCTTGTTTGAGAACAAGCTTATTGAAAATGAGTGGGGGTTTTTATATTACTTTTCGGAACAAAAGGTTTGGTGAGGATTTGAGACCATATTCATTAGTATAAAGATATGTTTATGTGGTTGCCACCTAGCGGCCCAAAGGCAAAAGTGTTTCTTTATAAAATTTGTAATGTAGATGCTTAAGGCCTGTTATTTTTATTTTTTAGGAATGGTTCCAAGACGGAGGCTGGAGTGAAAACTTCATAACAGAAACTAAGAAATACAGCCGGTTATTGTTTCATCTTACTGGTGTAGCTGACATACATTATAATCATTTGATTTGATTCCACATATAATAATCTCTGTTGTAGAGGGAAGTTAGGTGCAGATGGGGCTTGTCAACCTGGGAAGGTAGCCCATCTAGGAGAAGGAAAACTCTGCTCCTAAACTTCCACTGCCTCGTGGGATATCTTAGGGAGAAGAAAAGGCTAAAGATTAAACCCTACACAAATCCGGAGGTGGTTTGATGGTGCCTTGTAGAAGAAGAAGAAGAGATTGGATTTGATACCCTGCCTTTCACTCCCTTTAAGGAGTCTCAAAGCAGCTAACAATCTCCTTTCCCTTCCTCCCCCACAACAAACACTCTGTGAGGCTGAGAGACTTCAGAGAAGTGTGACTCGCCCAAGGTCACCCAGCAGCTGCATGTGGAGGAGTGGGGAAGCGAACCTGGTTCACCAGATTACGAGTCCACCGCTCTTAACCACTACACCACGCTGGCTCTCTTGTGCACCTCCTTCCGGCAACTCCTGCAGCTAAGCTGATGCTGAACATATTTCTCTGCTATCCTTTGCAGCACATCAGTGAGGCTGAGAGGGGAGTCTTCTTGTCTGGGCAGCCCAGGACTTCCATGCACACTGCCCAGGCTTTGGCCCCGGGGAGGTCACTTTGGTGCTACTAACGCAGCGGTTTGGCTTCACCCCTCGAGGCACACTCCATTGTCTCGAGACAGATGAATGCCAACTGAAAACATCTGGATTTGGTAGGCATGTGGGCAAGGGCACAAGACTACACAAAGCACCCAGACAAACTTGCTTTCTGGCGCCTGGAATTCTTAGTCACCTCAGCCACCCCCTCTGGCTTCTGTGATTTCCACTGGACCACATAGTTTTAAGCATATCTTTGCCATCATAAGGGCTTGGAAGTTGCTTTTTTTTAGGTATAATGGGGGGGGGGGGAGTTCAAGCTGAGATTCTGAGCATGCTGAATTTTGCAACTGCTTCTACTAGACTTCTGCAGCTTCCTTGCGTTCTTCCCGCATAACTATGGCACATAACGCTGCCCCAGATTTACTTAAACAAAAATTAATGCAGACATGTCATCAGGGGATCTGGGTGGTTTGGTGCTAAAGGCCAATATTTTTGAGAGAACCATTCACCGCAGTCCATTCGACAGACTCACCATCAGACTTGTGTTTGCTGGAATTCTGACTCCTTCAAAGACGGTTTCCTTCCTTGTCCAGCGAGGAACAGCGGGAACCGGAGAGTACAAGCGCAAGGCTTCCTTGAGAACCTGGGATAATAACAACAGCTTGAGCCACAATTCCACAATGCTGGTAAAGGGACTTCTTTACTTATCAGCCACAGTGATTTGAGATATTGGAAGGGTGGGCTTTCAGCTGGAAACCATCACTTTTGAGTTTCGTCTCTAGCTCATGCTCAAACCTGCTTGGTGGTTTTCAGCAAATATATTTCCCTTAGCCTTAGTTCCCCACCAGTAAGAAAAGCCTCTTATAATTCTTGAGAACTGGAAAAAATGCCTTTTGCACGACCACAGCCACATCTGCATTTCAAACCAGGGTTTGTTTTTTTCAGCCTGAGCATAGCTCCAGCACCTCTCAGGTGGTGGGTACCATGGCGGGCTGGCTTCCTGACACTGCCCTGCTCCTTCTGCTGCCAGTTGCCAGGGCAGGAAAGGAGAAACAAATGGGATGGGAGACTGAGGATGGGGAGAGGTCAGTGCAAGTTAGAGCCTCCAGGGCACTGACCCTCAAGCCTGGGTGTGGCTCCTCCTCCTCAGGGAGGCCATGTGACAGCCCCGCTGTGGGCTTGTTGCCTTTGACCAGGAACTCACCTCTGGTTTGGAAAGTTACAGACAAATGTATTGAAAGTCTGGAATGAATGATTAACGGGAAGACAGGTAAACACCCTGCAAGCAATTCAGGATGAATGCTCACTGGCATAGAACCACCCTGAAAACAAATTGAAACGTATGCTCAATAAAAACCGAACTGCCCCATAAGCTTTGTTCAGACAAATCTGGATAAATGCTGAATAAACAGGTCGTCAGAAGGAGTCCATAATCTCACCAGTGACTGCTGAGCCAAAAGGGTTGAGAGCAGCGTTGGGTTACCTGTGCATTTGCTCTTTCTTCCTTTTCTTTTTTAAATACAATTTTTCATCGCATTTGTTCTCCAAGTGTACCTGAGATAAGTACTGGAGCTTCCCAAGATCTTCGTAGGCGATGTCTCTCTTCACACCAATGACGTCATCCACTTCAGCCTGAAGTCTACAAATCAGAAGATTTCATTGGCAACTGCTGGCCTACATGGGGCATTCATACAAATTCGTACATAGACTATGTAACGTCTTATGGCCATGCCTTAGGACCATATCTTTACCCACACATCTTGACATCTTTCCGCAGGGCCTGCAAGATAGAGCTGTTCCACCAGGCCTTTGGCCAAGGCACAGCCTGATCCCCTTCTTTGGTAATTCTTCACAGAACTCTAGCCCAATGGTTGCCATCAATTTGATTTGAACTGATTTTATAATGAATTGATTTTAGAATGCTGTATTATTTTACTGTTGTTAGCTGCTCTGAGCCCGGCTTCGGCTGGGGAAGGGCTTTCTTTTTTCTTTTCCTTCTCCCTCTGCGATGAGGCTACATTTTAATATTTTAATGTTTCAATATTTTAATGTGGTATTTTTTAATTTTGTTTTCAAGTTGTAATCATTTAACTTGTTTTTATTATTGTTTGTAAGCCGCTCTGAGCCCGGCCTTGGCTGGGGAGGGCGGGGTATAAATAAAAATTATTATTATTATTATTAATATAAATAAAATTTTACTACTATTACTATTATTAATATTATTATTATGCACCTGAACTTGGGTACTTGCCAATATTGTCAAGATCCCCAGACTTCACCTCTACATCCACAACTCTATATCCATGGTTTTCTCACATTACGCTTGTTCACGTGCACTGAGTGCTGGTCTGAATGGAAAAATTGTGTGAACTGGCCTCCAAAGTCTCAAATATTCTAAAAAGTGAAAAGCTACAACTTCCTAAAACTACCAGCATGGACAAGTGGAGAGACAAACAGTTCACCTACTTTGCAACTACCTCAGGGTTTCGTGACAGCTCCATTATGGTGAAACTTAACTGGGTAGTAGTGGTGTCGTGACCTGCAGGATAAAGAAGAAGAATTTGGATTTGATATCCTGCTTTATCACTACCCTAAGGAGTCTCAAAGCAGCTAACAATCTCCTTTCCCTTCCTTCCCCACAACAAACACTCTGTGAGGTGAGTGAGGCTGAGAGAAGTGTGACTGGCCCAAGGTCACCCAGCAGCTGCATGTGGAGGAGCGGGGACGCAAACCCGGTTCACCAGATTACAAATCCACCGCTCTTAACCTCTACACCATACTGGCTCTACACCACAGAACATGACAGAGTGTGGTTAGGAATCAAACTATAGATTGGAATTAGTCTTCTGATAAAAGATAGAAGCCCTGATTAACGTGGCTCATGCATAATGGCAGAAACTTAATTTCCAACAGAAACAAGCAGCAAAATATGAGATTAGGAAATATATTTTCTTTTTCCAAAAGCTGATTTCTGGAGATGGAACAGTGTCTCCTGGTGGAAGCTGAGTGATAGTTTAGCGTGCTGCTGTGTGAGCAGCTCAGGGGTGGTGGAGTGATGATGCTTACCTGACCTCCTGGCAGGTGAGCTGTTGCTGCTTACCTGGAAGAGATGGGACAAGGCCCTGGACACAGCAACACAGTGCAAATCCACCAGCAGGAGCACCATATTGGCTCCACTGGTGCTTTTGCAGCTTGCTGACCTCGTCGCCACCTCACCCCTCCCAGTAAGCAGCAACGACTCACCTGCTGGGAGGTTAGGTAAGCATCTCTGCACCAGCACATCTCCAATGCTGGCCAGCTTCCTCCACCAGCTAATAAAACCGACTTTCAGTCCATCTGGTAAAAAGCTAAACTTGAGTGAGAGGTGAATTTGAAAGCAGCACAGGCCTCAACACATGAATGCAATTCGCCAAGGTTGGAAGCAATGCAAAGTTTCAAAGTTGCTTCTTACAAACTTGTCAGGCACAACAGCTACTGACTCTGGATAGTAATAGGTATTATTATTATTATTATTATTATTCACGTCAAGATATGAATCCAGTTGGTACAGTTAGCCCCAGAAAAAAAAATCTGTGTGTGGATATTAATCTCAATACTATTTTTATCTGTGTTGGTTATACATGCCAGAAGTCTGTTCTGGGTGGCTGATCTTCTTGATTATATCTAAAGAACAACAGACCTACAAACCTGCAACGAAGAAGGTGACAAAATTGTCCAACATCAGTTCATCATTGCAGCCCTCTTCCTGTGCTGTAATGGAAAACAAAGAGCAAAAGCTGACATAACTTTCTGGACAGAAGTGTAAATTCTGGACTGTTCTAACAATAGCAAGAAGTTGGCGGGAAGGTATTGGACCTAGTCCTGGTTTTTCATAGCTAGTTCTCTCAAAGTTAGCTTATTGCTTTATGCTGCTTATGAGTCTACCTGGAGACTTCCATCAATTTAGGATGAAGCAGCCAGATGATCACCTGTAACACATTTTGGTGATATCTGTTTATGGTGGTTTCCCTAACAAGAAAGCCAAACTCGGTTCTTTAGAATTAAACGTCATTGCTTCTTGTACTACTAGCTGCAGTACAGATGGGGAGAAAATACCCCCCCCCCTTTGCATATGAACATCTAAGGGAAATTACAAGGAAGGCTGCATACTCTGTTACTAGTAGTAGTAGTAGTAAGGTAAAGGTAAAGGGACCCCTGACCGTTAGGTCCAGTCGTGGCCGACTCTGGGGTTGCGGAGCTCATCTCGCTTTATTGGCCGAGGGAGCCGGTGTCCAGCTTCCGGGTCATGTGGCCAGCATGACTAAGCCACTTCTGGCGAACCAGAGCAGCGCACGGAAACAACGTTTACCTTCCCGCAGGAGCGGTACCTATTTATCTACTTGCACTTTGACGTGCTTTCAAACTGCTAGGTTGGCAGGAGCAGGGACCGAGCAACGGGAGCTCACCCCATCGCAGGGATTCGAACCGCCGACCTTCTGATCGGCAAGTCCTAGGCTCTGTGGTTTAACCCACAGCGCCACCCGCGTCCCACAGTAGTAGTAGTAGTAGTAGTAATAGTGACTAATTAAGATGTTTTTGCAGCTAGCATGTTTGGCTGAAACGAAGGGCTGTAAACCACTTTGTGCGGCTAAAGATGACCTTGTGGGGTCCACATGGAGACACTCATGTGTGGTAAGTACAAAAGATCATAGTCTACCTGCACCCTTCAGTATCTGAGTGAGAATATCCAATGGGATGTCTTCTCCATCTTGCATGTCCTTACGCCTCTGTTCAATACACTCCTTCCCAGTACGACGTAGCAGCCTTATGCTCTCCTGAACACCTTTCACTTCTTTTCTGTTCCATGGCATGTACTATAAAACAGACAACAGGTTTGAATTGCCCATTATATATTTGCTGGCTTAATAATAGTGGGGTATTTGGTTTTTCTCTTTGCAAGCTTCCTTGAGGACTGGCTTGGCTGAAAAGAAGCCCAGAATTTGTATACCGCTCAAACTCCTTTGGGTAGGAGAGGATATATATTGATTGCAATTTATCCCTCCAGGCACCCACATGTGTGGGTTAAACAGAGTTTCAGAATCCCATCCTTGGCGGCAAAATGAAAAGCATAGGAATCAGACTGTAAAACCTTGTTTTGAGCAAGTCCAGCTATGAAGTAAGCTGGCTTCCCCCTTCTTACCCCACTTAAGAAAGAATCAGTCAACAATTTGCACAGTAAGTTTAAAAATAAGATTTACTTGCTTTATAATCATGCATTGGTTCACAGCAAAGGCAGCTATGCAGCTAAAATACTTATATTTAACAGTATAACCAGCTTCACAAGCATCTATTTGTTGGAAAATATTGGATTGTATTTATGTCAAAATATTTCTGAAAAATTGAATATATATATATATTAAACTGCAGCAGGCAGAGACATGTCTGCATCCAATGATGGTGGAAGGGGAGGGCAGGAAGTAATATATGCTCCTTCCTCTCCGGGAGAGGAGAGGAAATGAAATCACACAGAGTCCTCTCTACCAACAGTATTTGTATGGTCTGAACACTGCCTATCAGCAATACAGCTCTGTGGACTTAAACCCTTCTCATGCTAGTTAGCAAGAATATGCATAACCCTACATTAGAGGCTGGGGATTGTCCAGCTGTCCACAAATTTCTATACACTATTTCTATACACTCCAGGCTCCTCTGATTCTGACTGCAGCGAAATGGCTGCACAGAATGTGCAGAGCCCCAGAACTGATGTCCTTGGGATCTGCAATACTGCACCAGAGAATGTGTTTGCCAGCTCAGTCAGGGAGATGGTTGGGCTGTGGGGTGGATTGTATACCAGCAAGATCCTATTCTGTCTCTGCCTCCCAACACCAAATACCAGGGGTCAGCAACCTAAGGCCCATGGGCCGGTAGTGGCCCACAAGGCTTGTCTAACCGGCCCATGGCGACCCCTGCTGCCCCCGCCACCTGCTCTTACTGGCATGGTGCAGTGCGGGGACCGACATCCGGGTTGATGGGGCCTGTGCGCATGTGCATGGGCACTCCTCTGACCCAGATGTGCGCTGGAAATAGTGTGTGCGCACGCGTGCGGGACGGAGAAGCGCGCATGCGCACACCCTATTTCCAGTGCACATGTGGGTAGGAGGAGCGCCGGAAATAGCGTGCACATGTGCACAGGTGCTCCTCTGATTCGGAAGAGTGCGCATGCGCACACGCTCCGGCCCATTCTCCGACGGACGGAGCGTCGACCGGCCCATCCTCGGATAAGGTTGCTGACCTCTGCCAAATACAAACCTCACATCCAATTGCCAGATGCACTGGCCTCCTGGTGAGAATGATGGAATATTTGTGGACCACTGCCACACCACATCCTTGTCCCTCCAACAAAAACAACATTATTTCATTTATACCCCGCCCATCTAGCTGGGTTGCCCAAGCCACTCTGTGCGGCTTCCAAGACATAAAAGCATAATAAAACATCAAACATTAATAGTAACCATCTGATCCAGTATAAGAGTCACAATAACTTTAAAATAAACAACTTACATCAAACAAAGCAACATTCAACAATCCATCTGAATCTAATAGTAAACAGTAAAATTAAACACCAGCAAATAATAATTAAACAGTTCGACCACAATAAAGAATTAGCAATCTATAATCAATAGAAGTAACAGCACAGCAAATCACAATGCATAAAATACCGCAAAACATACAAAACCATGTAAAAGGATCAAATTGAGAAACAAAGAAGCACAACTTGTAAAACTATTTTTTAAAAATATCCCTGAACTCCTCTCTTCCCAGCTGCTGTTCTCAAAGTCAAAGTCTGGGAGAGGCTAGGTGGGGCAAGGTGGGAGTGTTGGTGGAAGTGTTGTTGCCTGAGGAAGAACAGAAAGTCTCTCTCCCCTCACAAGGGGTGCTGAACTGAATATACAGGCTTGCAAAGCCCCCTGCCCCTTGGCCCAGTCCCTCAGTTAGTAGTGTCCCTGGATGGGAACCATTGCCTAGTCTTACAAAAAAAAATCTAACCAATTTAATCCAGGTTGAGCATTCTGATGTGGATGGGGCAATCATCCACCATACACACCGAATACTATTAGTCACAGGTGCTATTGAAATCACTGGAATAATAACTTTTAATATTTATTTCAGTGGGCCCTAAGTTAACATTTTGAAAAGTATCCTTTGAAAATCTTTAGAATACGAAGCAGGGAAAGACCCTAGCTTATGGCACAGCAAATGCTTTACATACATAAAGTCCCAGTTTCAATCTCTGGCAGCTCCAGGTATGGCTAGAAAAGACTTCTTTCTGAAACCCTGAAGAACTGCTGCCCATCAACCCAGACAATATTGAACTAAATGGACTTAAACACAGCTTCCTCTGTTCCTAGCCCAATATTTTTGCCTCTCTCTTTCTTTCTTCACTTTTCCCATTCATCATGTAAAGGATAAAAATTAAAGGATGGATAAGGGAAAAAAAAACAAACAAACAGGAGAGCTCAATATCACATTATCACCCAGCAAGCATCCTACTCTCCAGTCTTTAAAATTCCTTCCCTGGGCAACGAATAGTCTGAATCCAAATTCTTGTCCGTGCTCTCTGAAGACAAGACAGTCCCAGTTACAAACATTCCTGCAAGACAGGCGTAATTCTAGGATTTTGGAGACCCCCTGAATCTTTGCACAGGGCAAGTTCACACGGAAATAAATAAATGTCTGCACTCACCTCGAAAAAAGGAATGCGGGATTTGGATAGTCCTTGTAGGGTCATGTATATGGCACGTGGAAAAGGCGTCTGGTCATCATAGACAGTGTTCAGTTCTAAGCCAAAAGCCACCTGATAACATTCAGAAAAATAAGAAGGTTGGTCAAAAGTCTGAGGGTCTGGGAAGGAGCTGCTGTAGAAACCCTTCTATTGACATGTTGATGCACAGGGGTGGCTGGTGCAGTGGCAGTGCCTTATAGTCACCCTTGTGACTCTGGGGGCGCTGCCACTTACACGACGACAACAGCAACAACAACTTATTATTATTTAAACCCCACCCACCTGGCTGAGTTTCCCCAGCCACTCTGGATGGCTCCCAACAGATTAAAAAAAAGAATAAAACATCAAACCTTAAAAACTTCCCTAAACTTCAGGTGACTGACAGTTATGGATCCTGCCCACTGATTGGATACCGTTCCCTACCCCTACTTGAACTTCTTCCTTGGGAGCCATTTGCAGGAATCATTTCCGTTCCCGTGGGGGGGCTTACAAAGCAGTGCCGTAGCTGTCTGTAACATGTTATGCAGCAACCGTTGAGAGGGCCTTCTTGGTGGTGGCACCCCAGTTAGGGAACTCCCTCCTCTTTGCAGTGCAGCTGGTGCCAACCTTAATTAGTTTTCAGTGCCAACTATGCTTGTTTGTTCAGGTGTTTATCGAGCTTTCAGGCCGGAGCAAGTTTGTTTAACTATTGTTTTACTGTTTGTTAAGATTGGCCACGTCCACAAATATCTTTGGGTTCAATAACTTGAGACCATAGTTCACATGGTTGTTTTATTAAGTAGCAGTTGCAACAAACACTAGTTTTCTGCTGGAGGAGCCGTCTCAGCTAGCCACTTTCCACTCCCTCACACCATTCTCCAGGGATTTTCTCCAAACTCCTCTCCCAATGTCTCCTGCAAGGAAATTCCTTCAAATTACTACAGTTACTACACATACAATTTAATTAAGACACTGTTATACTGCTGTAACAGTAGTGGCTTCCTTTGTCAAGTGAGTCCTGAGAGTAGTTGGAATTCCTAGAATCCGTAACAAATTACAGTTCCCAAGATTATTTGGAGGAAGCCATGACTTTTAAAGTAGACTTTTAATATGTACGGTGTGGATGTGGCAATTGTGTATTTTTGTGTTTTGTTTTGTGTGTTCTATTTTAAAACTCCTTATGTACTTTGTTCTGGCATTGTTGCAATGAAGAGCACGCAAGACATTTTGAATTAATAAAATAAATTAAAAGAACCATGAACTAGTCTGTTTTTTTTGTAATTATGGTAAGATGAACATGGCAATTTCAAAAATACAGAACGGTTGTTCTGTGTTTGGTAAGTAATTTAAGTTCTTTTATTTACAAAGGGTTTAATAATAATCTGTATGACGTTAGTATTGTACTTTAATTTGACAAAACCTGATAAATTTTTGTCATGATCTGTGCTTTAACAATAAAAAGAAAAATGGGAAATAAAGAGGAATTCTCTGTGGTGGAGCTGAACTCAGCAGGCATAACATTTAAAAAAGATGGGGTGAGGAATGTAGGCACTTCAAGAACAACCTATATAATGAATTCTTGGCATATAGGGCATCAAATGACTCCGCACCTAGCAGTCACCTTATGATCCTCAAGAGAAGGTATAAAGCACTATTAAAGGAAAAGAAGCGTGCGGCAGAAAGAAATGATTGGAAGAACCTTCTAAAAGCTGCAGAAAATAGAAATCCCTCCTCCTTTTGGCACCAAATTTCCAGATACCTGGGTAGACCGTTGTCAAGGATAGAACCCCAAATTTCAGCTGACACCTGGGAAAGCTTCTTCTCCGTTTTATATGCAGCTCACGCAGCTAGCGGAGGAAGGTTAGATTTGGCCCCTTGCCAGAGTGGGATCTTGTTACCTGCTCTGAAGTGGAAACACTTATAGGCCAATTTGAGGCGGGCAAGGCACCCGGAGACGATCTTATTTCCATAGATGTTATTAAAGCCAATAAGGATTGGTGGTGTCCACCCCTAGCAGCTCTTTTTACTTATATAAACAAAACAGCACAATTTCCTCCAAGCTGGAACTCTGCACTGATTGTGTTAATTCACAAGAAAGGGCCGCGCACAGACCCGGCCAATTTTAGACCAATTAGCCTGCTAAATGTTATCGGGAAGATCTATTCAAGATTTCTACTTAACAAATTAACGACCTGGATGGAAAGCAACAATATCATCGCAGAGGAACAGGCGGGTTTCCGCCCGGAAGATCAACAACAGACCAAATCTTAATCCTAAATCACTTGGCCACCAAGTACGCTGGCAATGGCCTAAAAGCCCTCCACGTCGCCTTTATAGACTTTAAGCAGGCCTTTGATCTAATTCCCAGGAACCAGCTATGGACAAAATTGGCAGCGACATCTATCGACCGCCGCCTTCTCTTGCTGATTATTAATTTGCATACAAATACCCTCTTGAGGATTAGGATAGATAGTAAGGGGCTAGTCTCCAACCCGGTTGCCACCACTAGGGGGGTAAGACAGGGCTGTTTGCTTGCCCCTGCTCTGTTTAACTTCTATATAAATTCGCTAGTGGTGCATATGGCAAATGCTGATTTCCATCCACCAAAACTGGCAGGACGAGCCTTGAATGTCCTACTGTATGCGGACGATGCCGCCCTATTAGCTACCTCCCCATCGGATTAAGGAGGATGCTTCGAGCTCTTCATGAATATGAGACCCAACACGAGCTCCAATTAAATTATGCCAAGACCAAAATAATGGTCTTTGCTGCTCGACCGAAACCTAATTTATGGTCAATTAATGGTATTCCTTTAGAGCAGGTCAGTTGCTTCAAGTACCTGGGTCAGGTTGTAAGATCAAATAGGTCCTTCCTGGCGCACAGAGAATACATAGCCTCGAACGCATCCAAAGCAGCCCTGATGATTAGAACCCTGTACTCCAAGAAACAGGCACAAACTGTCAATGTTGCCTTACGTCTCTTTAAAATGAAAGTCCTCCCTCTTCTGCTGGTGGGCATTGCCTTGGGCTCACGTAGGGATTTTGAAAAATTGGAATCTATCCAAACCCAATTCCTCAGGGCCATACTCAGGATCCCCCCCTCTGTGGCAGGTGCGATCATGAGGCTGGAAACCGGTTGTCAAGCCTTTAGGTATGTGGCCCTGAAAGCGAAGTTATGGCTATGGCTCAAGCTCTGTTTCAGACCGGTGGGTTTGGCCCCCTTGATTCTGAGGGATAACTTTAAATCTCCATGGGAAGGGGAGATAGTGGAGGAAGTGCAGAAGTGTGGGTTGTCCTCCTTTATATAGAGTCCATGACGTATAGTCACGCACAGGCGGTGATCGCGCAAAGATTAAGGGATATTGCCAGACAGGAGGACATAGCCCGTGTGAAACCTGGGTTGTTTCTGGGGGGAGCAGCTGTATCGGGCTGCCCCAGCTCGCTACCTGGCGGATATCCACTACGTGGAATACCGCAGACTATTTACTGCGGCTAGGCTGAATGTTCTTGACTCGGCGGTCCTGAAGGGAAGATATGGAGGAGTCCCATATGACCAGAGATTATGCCACTGTGCATTGGGTGAGGTAGAATCCACAGAGCACATTTTATTGAGCTGTCCCTTCTACAATGATTTAAGACAGTATCTTATAACTCCATACTTACCCCAGCTCAGTTCCCGACAAAGAGGAAAGCAGACAGCATATCTGCTAAATAAGTCTTCTGGGAAAACAACCTTGTCAGTGGCTAAATTTCTTTTCCTGGCACTCAAGTGTCGGAAACGTATAATTGAATGCTTTGACGTGGGTTATCTGTGAGAGATCTAGTACTGTGGCTCTACCTTACTTATGTACCTTATGTAACTTATGATGTTATAGTTTATAATTATTGTGTAATGTTTTAATTCTGACTATCGGTCGAATAAAGAAAATTGATTGATTGATTGAAAAAGATGGGGAAATCTGTGGCCCGGTTGATGTTGTTGGACTCCAACTCCCATCTGCCCCAGCCAGCAGAGCAAAATCAGGGATGATGGGAGTTGGAGTCCAAGAACAGGAAATCAATCTAGCATGTACCTTTGCAATGATGTCCAGGGTCACTCGACTCAGCAGGCTCAGCATATCGACTTCAGTTTTTCCATCAGCTTTTCCCTCCAGCTGCTCCATAAGCTTGTCGGCTTGGTCGTTGAAGGTTCCCATCAAGCGAGTGAGGTAACTGTCCAATTTATTATTATTATTATTATTATTATTATTGGAAAGTGTGAGAACGGAAGTCAGTCTTATCTCTTCCGCTGTATTGTACTTTTGTACTTTACTTTTCTCTCTCTCTCTTGGAGAAGATGTGAGAGGACGCCATGACTGCTTTGTCCTGTATACCGTATTTTTTGCACCATAACACTCACTTTTTTCCTCCTAAAAAGTAAGGGGAAATGTCTGTGCGTGTTATAGAGCGAAAAATACGGTATATTGCTTAATAAATTACTTGGAATGCACACACCTAAGCTCCACATCGTTTCTGCTATACTCTGCTGATTGAGTGTGCACATATCTCAAGATATGTGTCACTGATGCGCACCAGGACTGAAGATTTATGAACGTCCTGGGCTGCGCTTCATCAGGAAGACGCCCAGAGAGAGCGTTTGCTCTCCCACGCGTGTTCTGACAATTATTATTATTATTACTATTACTACTACTACTACTTATCCACCCTTCACCTGAAGGTCCCAGGGCAGGTTACAACAATTAAGCATCCATTAAAAATAGTCAAAAACAAATTACAATCACAATAATAACTGTGGGTCCTAAAATATACATCTCAAGTTTCAAAGGCCAGGGTCAATGCATATTTCTTCAGCATATGACAAACCTTTTCTACCAAGCTGCAATCTCTCGCTCACACACAAACAGCAACAATTAGGCTCAAAGCAACAATTCCAGGTTTTTGAAGCCAACTGCAGATGAGGAAGGAAGAGTTACCCCTCAGTGGTGACCCTGGTGCAATTAGACTTGGGGGGAGGACAGCCTTCCAATGTCCAGGTGTGTTGGCAATCCATGCACTAATATCAATGCAAAGGAACCTGCTGGCTTTGGCGATGGTTTGCTAAGGCTACACTTCACACTCACCATGCAGAATGGCATCCCATGGAATTATTACATGTTGAGGTTCTCTTTTTCTGCCAATATATTTCACTGATGGAGAGTGAGGTTGGAAACTGAACAGCACGATATGTCTAGCCTTTCATGGACTAAACTCATTTTTTTCTTCAATGGATACACACACACACACTCACAGCAAATAGAGTAAAGCTGCTCTGAAAAAGGATTTAAATTTGCTATATTTGTTCATAATACAGTTTGATTTTTTTTAAAAAAAGAAAAGCTAATGAATATGCAGATCAATTCACAAGTCTAACAGTTGTGCAGCTTTGGAAAGTGTTCGCAGAGCTGCAATTAAGGCAGTGGCTGTTGCTTGCCAGAATGAGACATCTAGGACTTTCCCAACACACCACCATCACCAACAACAATCCAGTTTTTTTGTGCTGGGAGGTTGTCCCTAACCTGAATTTCTTATATTAATGAGATATAAGATCATGCACAATAATCCTTCAGAGCAGTTTCTTGCACCTCTAATTAAGAATTTCTTTTAGAAAATCCATAGGAACATTTGAAGCCATTTTATCCAGTCATACCTCTGGTCCATATGGCTCAGCACTGTCTACACTGAATGGCAGTGACTCTCAGTGCTGGAATCTACACACATATTAAAAACGCTGGGAAAATGCTTTTTCTAAAAACGTTTTGGAAAATACGTTGAATTTGGCATAGCTCACTTTCGCCATCTAGTGTCACATTTGTATATTGCACTTCGCAACACATTTAGAACAGCTGTGTTTTGCAGCTGTGTAGCTGAGTCCCAAGGGAGTCTTTTCCAGCCCTACCTGGAGAGACTGAATCCAGGACCTTCTGTGCACAAAGTACATGAAGAAGGCCCCAAATTCAGTCTCTGGTTCCTCTTGGGAGGGTGGGAACGACTCTTATCTGAAGCACTGGAGAACTGCGGCAAGCCACTGTAGATGAATGCTGAGCAAGATGGACCACTGGTCATAGCATCAGGCAGCTGCCTATGTTCTCTGCCTTACCTTCGACTGAAAGCCACATCCATAATTCTCCGCTGTTTGTACCAGCGGGCATGGTCGAGGTCACTTACTAAGCCATTCCCCAAAAATCTGCGGGAAATGAAGAAAAACATTACACCCAGCATGGACTAGTTCAGATGTCATATTCTAATCTAGTGTGGAGAATCAGGAATGTGCCACAGACTTCCATGGAGTTCTTTCTTCATTTTTTGTTTCCCACCTTTGTTTGCCATGATATTGGAACTTGACAAAATACACACTAATGCGTTTGAAGCTGGTTTTGCAAAACCAGGCTTTGGAATAAATTCTGGTCATTGTTTGCCTGATTCAGAAGTCGTGGTAAAAAGTGGTTAGAAGAAACCAGAAAAAGGAAGAGATTGGCGTACATGAAGGAAGAAAGAAGGGAGGACATGATTCTAACAGCATGTTTCCAATATTTCAAACCTTGTTTTGAAGGATTACCAGAACTGAGCCTTAGATGTGTGAACATAAACTCTTATTTTGTCAACTCCCCCTCTTTAATTTTCACATGTCTGCCTTTTCTTAATATGGTACAATTTGGCATTTTAAATAAATGCTACCCACTAAATTTTCATTGCTAAATATTCCTCCTAACCTCATGATTCTCCAGACAGGGATCCAAAATACAGTGGAACCTCGGTTTTCAAAGGTAATCCGTTCCGGAAGACCATTCGACTTCCGAAATGTTCAAAAACCAAGGTGCAAAGGACGGTCTGCCAATTCAATAGAGGAAATTGTGAAAAACAACAGATACACACAGTGGAAGCTGTTTGACTTCCGAAGCGTGTTTGAAAACGGAAGCATTTACTTCTGGGTTTTCGGCGTTCGAAAACCGAAACGTTCGGCAACAGAGGCGCCTGAAAACCGAGGTACCACTGTAAGTCCAAGTCTGTCCACATCTCTGCCAGGCATGCACAACTTGTGACCTACCCAGCCTTTCTCAATCTTGAGTCCCCAGATGTTGTTGTACTACAACTCCCGTCATCCCTGACCACTGGTCCTGGTAGCTAGGGATGATTGGGGTAGCTAGGGATGAGGCTGCAACCCAACCACTGATTGTGACATGCAAGGTGCCAGACATCCTTACTTTATGCAGCCTCCAGGCAGGCAAAAAGAACAGGGAGTTTATCAAGGCTCTGGCAAACCCCCATAGAAAGCTCTTGGGCTACATATAATTTAGTGGGTCACAAATTGAGGCTGGTCTTATGCACAGTGTGCAGCTAGGTCTGCAAACACTCTCCATGGAACATCTTTAAAAGTCGCCGTCTGCAGGGGAGGAAAGAGGCAGTGGATTCTCCACTCACTTTTTACCCAGCTGCAAAAGTCACCTCTCTGGAATCACAGGTTACCAGAAGCCAGGCAGGTGGGGGAAAGTTTATGTATCCACCCTTAAACTGCAGCATAAATATTTTCCAGTTGTTAACCTTTGAGCCACATTGTGGATTTACTGGTGTACCTAGTAAACCATTCTGTTCTGAGCCGCTTTGGGACTCTTCTTGCTTATGCTATGGATTGCATGGAGTATTCAGGAAGACTTCCACAGCTAACTAGGTAAAAGGCTATAGGCATTCTTCAGGGTGCACATGTCTACTACATGAATAGCACTTCCAAACTTGTGAGCTTGTGAACCCAGAGTCTTCTTTTCAGTCTGCACTGCCAGATGACAGCATGCTGGTCCTAGCACTGTATGCTCCACAGCTATCTAGGATGAATGTGTTTGTATCTGTCCAGGGGATCATTCAGTGAATATGGAACCCTGAAATGGAATTTAAACTTCACTTGTGAAATACAGAGTTTACTTTTCAAGGCTTTCCTATATGGAAAAGTTTGGACAGTAGCAACAGAAAATCATGGCTTCTAAGCCAGGAGAGGCATCGTAAAAAAGAAAGAAAAAAAGCTAGTTATGTGTGGAGGACTCCCTGGTCCTGAATGGGGTAATTGTGCCCCTGAAGGACCAGGTGCGCAGCCTGGGAGTCATTTTGGACTCACAGCTGTCCATGGAGGCGTAGGTCAATTTTGTATCCAGGGCAGCTGTCTACCAGCTCCATCTGGTACACAGGCTGAGACCCTACCTGCCTGCGGACTGTCTCACCAGAGTGGTGCATTCGCTACTTATCTCCCGCTTGGAGATAACTGCAATACGCTCTACGTGGGGCTACCTTTGAAGATGACCTGGAAACTGCAATTAATCCAGAATGTGGCAGCTAGACTGGTGACTGGGAGTGGCCGCCGAAACCAAATAACAATCAGTCCTGAAAGACCTACATTGACTCCCAGTATGTGTCGGAGCAGAATTCAAAGTGTTGGTGCTGACCTTGAAAGCCTCAAAGGGCCTGAAGGAGCATTTCCACCCCCATTGTTCAGCCCAGACACTGAGGTCCAGCTCTGATGGTCTTCTGGTGGTTCCCTCACTGTGAGAAGTGATGTTACAGGGAACCAGGCAGAGGGCCTTTTTGGCAGTGGCGCCTGCCCTGTGGAACACCCTCCAATTAGATGTCAAGGAAATAAACAACTATCTGACTTTTAGAAGACATCTGAAGGCAGCCCTGTTTAGGGAAGTTTTTAATGTTTGATGTTTTATTGTGTTTTTAATATTCGGTTGGGAGCTGCCCAGAGTGACTGTGGAAATCCAGCCAGAACGGTAGGGTATAAATAATAATAATAATAATAATAATAATAATAATAATAATTATTATTACCTGGGTTGCACGCTGGTTCTTATACTATACTGATTTTGTATATGTATAAAATACGTTTATTTCAAAAGAGCATAAGAAGAATGGTGCTGGATAAGACTAAAGGCCCAACAGGTCCAATATTATGTTTTCACAACCAAATACAGCTGAAAAGTCAGCAAGAAGGACCTGAATGTAGCAGCTCTCTCCCCATTTGTGACTTCTAGCAACTTGTGTTCAGAGTTGTGTTTCTTCAGACACCGGAAGAAGAACACAGCTCTCATGGCCAACAGCCATTCATATCTTTGTCTTCCATAAATTTATACATCTGTCCAGTAGAACCCAACAAATTTGCTGGAAATTGGCTGTCATTTCGTCATACTTATTGATTGTAACTTACTTTTATATTAACTCACCTTTCTCCAAATATATTACAAGAACGTTCATATTCTTGGTCTTTTGGGTACTGTGGTGACAACAGGCACTCCTAAAATTAAATCCTTTGGTCAGTTTTCTGAAATTCGGTTAATCTCATTACTAAGAATATCAATTGCTAAATTTAGGAGAACTGATTTCTAACATCAGTGTGCTGGGCTCAAAACTGAGGATGGGGCAGGTGGGTACCTTCCTTCTGCCTTTAAAAACAGGGGGTCCAACTGAGGGTAGTTATTTCTAATACTTTGCTTAAATTTGGCGGATCTTTTGCACAGGACTTTGCTTGGCAGGTGGGTCAGCCCCACATGGTAGGGGAAGCAACTTGGAGACATGCTTGATCTGGTACCAGACATGGAACCCACAGAGGACAAACAAGACACCTCACAGGTCAAGGACCTTGAGGAGCAGGCAGGGTCCCCTGAAACCAATCCTGAGGATCCACTGGAGGGACCATCTGGGACCTGCTGAAGAACCTCTAGGGCTGACAGAGAAGGAGGTGGAGTCACCACCACCGCTTGTCCTTGAGAACCCCGGTGCCAAAAAAGGTCCAGGTCTGAGAGCAAGAACATAGTATACACGTATGAACCCAGAGTTGTCATGATGAAGCTATCCCTGGAACTCCTTCAGGACCAGCATCTGTGGTTAGAAGACCAGTATGGATAAGCCCTTCCTCTTGAGCCTTCCAGTTGTTAGAAACAAGACAAGTCTCTGGTTCCTTAGGCCTAATGGTGGTGGTGGAAGGCAACCATCTCCTTTATGACCTTGTTGAACTTCCTGTGACTATAGGCTGTTCCATGACCTTATCACAGATTATGTTGGGACCTGGACCAGTTTTCTGTGCTTGACCTTGGTGTCCTCCAGATGTTCAGGACATGCTGGCTGGGGCTGATGGGAACTGTAGTCCAAAACATTTGGAGGACACAAAGCTGGGGAAGGCCATTTTAGAGGGAGGGAGTCTAAGGAAAAAGTGAGAGCTATGGGATTTATTGGAAACGCCAAAGGTACTAGAAGCCTAGCGGTGATGTAGTGTCTATCAGAGCAGCTTACGCTTTGGAACTGTCTCACCTGCGGTCAGCCTGCACATGTGCACAAATAAACCATAGGTCTCAAAATTCAAGTGAATCTCCAGTAACCATTCAAAGGGAATAAAAGCCCTAGATAAACTATTGCCCCTCTGAAGTTGTAGAATTGTGACAGTACCTTCACTCCTTCGGGGCTTAATACTAAGACCACAGCTTTGTGAAGTACATTAAAACGCACGACTGGTCCATATTCTTCAGCCCTATGAAGAGAAAGTCACCCAAAGTATTTAAAAAGGAAAGGGAAAGCTTGCCAGAGATAAGCAACCAGCAAGTTATATGGAATGTTGCAGTCATGTTTAGAAAAACTGGAACAAAAAAATATGCTTTTGTTGCCAAGATTGTGCAAAGTTTCTCTTGTGAATAAGTTGTTCCTTCTGGACAATACATGCCACCATCATGTGGAATAAGAGGAGGCCCTACTGTGTGAGTGGGGGTGGAGATTTGACCTTTGGAGATTCCAGAGCAGTGCTGAATTTCAACAATTTCAGAGGGTGGATAGTCCACTAACACCATCTGCTAAGAAGAATATTGAAATAATGCCCTCCACCCTCAAATGGGGACAAATATAAGATTGGACCCTATCCCTGGTACAGTCATACCTCGGGTTGAAGTAGCTTCGGGATAAGTATTTTCGGGTTGCACGCTGCAGCGACCCAGAAGTAACGGAGCGTGTTACTTCCAGGTTTCGCTGCTCATGCATGTGAGGACGGTCAAAATGACGTCACGCGCATGCGCAGAAGCGGCAAAATGCGACCTGCGCATGCGCGGATGCAGGTTGCATTTGCTTCTGGATGCGAACGGGGCTCTGAAACAGATCCCGTTCGCATCCAGAGGTACCACTGTATATGGAAAATATTTCATATCTGAAGTCATTCATGGACTGGAAGTAGAAATTTTCAACTTTGCCCTTGCTGTAGAAAACTCTTGTAAATTACTAACAAGCAAAATAAACTTTCAAGGACGTAGTTGATGATTTCTAGATTTTATACCCACCTTCCCTTTACTCAAGAGAGTTAATGGAAATGTACATATTGGGTTGGGTTCGTGCTACATAGGAGTTGTGTAGATGGCTGCACATTCCTTTCTTAATTCCCCATCCCTCCAATTTTATGGCAAACCATAGGGCACTCTAGGAAAACCTTGTTTTGCACAAACTGGGACTACAGCACTGACATTTCCTATTCACTTTCCCATTCTGCAAGTAGTGACATATTTCCCCTAACATGCCCAGCTGGGGAAAAGGTTCTTGGCTACATAGATTGTTGGTCTGAATTTGCATTGAAGCTCATAGCCCAGGGGTAGGCAACCTAAGGCCCAGGGGCCAGATGCAGCCCAATCGCCTTCTCAATCCGGCCCACGGACGGTCCGGGAATCACCGTGTTTTTACATGCGTAGAATGTGTCCTGTTATTTAAAATGCATCTCTAGGTTATTTGTTGGGCCTGCCTGGTGTTTTTACACGAGTAGAATGTGTGCTTTTATTTAAAATGCATCTCTGGGTTATTTGTGGGGCATAGGAATTCGTTCATTAGTTTTTTTCAGAATACAGTCTGGCCCACGGCTGAAAAAGGTTGCTGACCCCTGTACATAGCTTCTTATACCAAGCTCTCTGAAAAATTGAAAGTAACTTACCACTGCAGAAAGAGATCACCCAATGGCTCCTGGTTTTTAACCGTTTTCCAAATGAGTGGCCCATGTCCAAGCAAAAAGCTGCAATTTTTTTTAAAAAAGAAACAGGATGTTATGAAACTATATGAAGAACATCGTACAGTATTTTGCACTGAAATCAAATCAGGAGTGCCTATGTGATTTCACACACCTTATTGGTGGGGGGAAGTGGGGGGAAGATGGCGCCGGGTCAAGCCTCAACTGAGTCTCTGCTGCGTGAGTAGGAGCTCTAATGATCAAATTACCCTGATAAAAAGGCTCAACCTATGAAAATATCTGCCAACTTTTATCAGTAAAAGACTCCGGGAGCTGTCGGGTGGACTTTTAAACCTCCCCTCCCTTTTAAAACTACTTAAATCAACTTCGAACCACCTCCCTTGAAAAGCCCATAAAGCTGTGGGTTGGATAAAATAGCCCCATTTATTTCTGAGTACGAAGATGGTACTTACAAGACAATGTTGCAAAGAACTGGGGATTTCACCTTTACAACCTGTAACAACTCCCACAAATAAAAAACAGGCCAAAATTTCAACCTACTTCCATCCCAAGGCTGATGAAGCAAATAATCCAGGAAACCTCCATTCTCATGAGTGGTCTATTGACCACACCTGGAATGGAAGGGAGAAAAAAACTAACGTCGGAGGTGAGGGAGTGGACCTGGCAACAGAACTAAAACAAGCTGAGCTAGCCAAAGAGGGACCTGAAGCAAGTTTAGAACAGGAGCTATTCCTGGAAAACCTAGAAGCCATGTCAAACGAGCCTCCCCTCCCTATCAGGAGAGAATTTAAGGTGCCCTTCCCCGACTGAGCCGACTGAGACAGACAAATGGCCAAACAGCTTAAGGGTACCGTACCCGGACAACCTTATTTTCTACTTGTCAGGGATGTTCGAAGAGTTACTCAAAACTCATTTCACACAGATAAGCAAAGAACTTGAGCCAATTAAAAATTTCCTTTCGGAAAGCTTGAACCTGCTTACCACCCTAACTGAATTGATTAAGAACCATGAGGTCGCTTTCCCTCACATGACATCTGGGACTAGGACTAATGGAGGTGAAACTAAGCCGGGACTCGATTACAAAAAAACAAACAGAAACAATTCAGTGCAGGAGGGAGGGTCGCTTGCTCCCAAGAAACTGACCTTAAAGAGAAAATGCTCAACACAAAAAATGAAGAAGACCAAAAACATCAAACTGAGAGGCTGTGATGGCCTGGGAATCCGATTCAGAGGCTGAACCGGAGGAATCCCAGCCTGCACGGGAGTCCCCACCTCCAGGGCCGGCTGAGCTGGGGCAGGGCCTTGATTCTGAAGCGCCTCCACCTGTGCCGGATCCTCAGGAGCAAGCACCAGGTGAATCCACTGTGGCTCCAGAGGTGGTTGAGGACACAGTGCCTACAGGTGAGTCTCCCCCTGGGCCCAGTAACCTTCCAGCCTCTCCTGAACTGCAGAGGCTCAGGGCAGAGAGGTGAAGGGAACTGGTTTCTCCCAGGAGGAGTGCTCACCTTAAGGCCAGGAGAGGCGGGTCTCCTGGGGGCCGGGACCGCCCCTGGCCTCAGAGAAGATAAAGGCCAGTCAGCCCGGTCCCAGGTTGCGGGAGCAATGTCGTTGAAGAGCTGTTTCGGCCAGCATCCGGTCCTGTTCCCCCAGAGTTCCTGTCCTTGCCCGGCTTCTCGCTGTGGACCCCGCTTCGCCCGTGGAGGACTGTCTGCTGACCCTCAACTCAGGTCCTGGACCTTGCCCCACGGTAATCTCCCCCCTGGACCAGCACAGAGGCCAAAAAGGAGCGCCGACCTGCCGGACTAAAAAAATGAATTTCCAGAAGCTTTTTAAGGTGCTGGAGAATATAACAAGAACTCTGCTTCTACAACCCAAAAGAAAATCACAAACTCATGCATGCCAACAAAGCACTCTGAGGAAAAGCCCCACGCCCCAGCAGATCACACACCGCCCTCTAGTGGGGAAATAGGAAAACCAAAGGAAATTTCAGCTCCCAAGCAACCAACCCTTCTCTTGACATCGCAAATAAATCCTGTGTACCCTAATATAACAAAAAAGGATCAAGATAAAACAACACAGACTTGTTGGAAGCTAACGTTAAATAATCACAAACTTGCCTTCACAATACTTCCCACAAATAGAGGACACCCATCATATGCTCAAAGAAAAGTAAATATTTCCGAAAAAATCGGAATAGTCACCAGGGGCCTTGTGACAGCAGAAAATATCATCAACGTAAAATTCCTCCCTCATGATATGGCCCAAAATAGGGCTATAGTGACTTTTAAGGACGGGCTCTCAACTAAACAGACCCTTTCAAATAAAGACAATTTCCTGAGAGCTGGCTTGCTTGTGCACCGTTTCTTCGAAAACATCGAAGACCCTTTACCACTTCTAGGAGCACATAGGCCAGCCAGAACAAAAACCAAAATCAGCACTGCAGAATCCAACAGCGCCGGAAACGGTAAACTGCTCTACCCAGAGGCTGGCAATCTTAAACAATCTGGCAGGCTGTACAAAACCCCGCCCTCACCAAATAAGCTAGAAAAGGATTTCTCCTCAAAGGATGAACAACTCCTAACAACCTACCTTGAGCAGATCCTACTTTCCCAGGATGCACTTATTGAAAGACTTTCGACCATAAGGAAGTCACTTCCACCTCTAGCCCCGCCTCCTCCCATGGAATTTAATTACATCAATTGCAAATCAAAGCCTTTAACCAATGAAGAATGGACAACTTGTCGACATCTGTGTCCAGAAGAAACGGGCTCTCCTACACCCCCTCCAATAGCCCAATCCAAATAGCAACAAGTAGAGCTAGTGGTGCCAGCGCCGGGAATTGGCTCAATCTTCATGGACTGCCTGGGAATCCTAGAAGCTATTCATGCAGAGGAATGAAATAAGGTTACTGATAACAAACTATCCGGGAGCAAAGGTCCTGCTGGTGGGTGACCTAAATGCAAGGTTAGGTCCTGATGACCCCAGTTTAGAAACCAGATACAGGCAAAAAATAGGGTACCCTGACGACTTTGGCCCGGAGGCTTTACAACTACCAAGGCAGTCAAAGGATCAACATTCAAATTTTGCTGAAGCCTGCCTCCTCAAACTCTCTAGGCAGCTAAATCTTCATATCCTAAATGGTTGCACCAGGGGCGACATCCCCGGGGAATATACATTCATGTCTGGGGTAAGATCCAGCACAATTGATTATATGTTGGCGGACAGCAAATTGCTAACAAAAATAGTGAATTTAAAAGTGCTCCCATTCATAGAGGGGGACCATTTCCCTTTGCACCTCCAGGTGTCTCTGTTAAATGAGTCACCCTTCCTGAGAACAGTATACCCTGCAGAGATCACCGCATTAGAGTGACTTGGTTGCTGAGTCAAATGGACCCCTGCACTTGATTCCAAACTGAAGAAGATTCTAACCTCTGAAAAACTCTGTATAATTTTAACTGGCTTTGGGAATAATCCTAGGCCTGAGGACCCAGTTTCCAAGTATGAGAGCCTGCTCCAACAATTGAAACCCTATCTTTTTAATACCACAGAGAAAAGGCCAGCTAAGCCAATAACATCAAATAAAGCCTGGTTTGATTACACGATTGGAATGTAATAATGGGGGGATACAATCTATTTCAGAGAAACAGACCAGACAAGAAAGGAGGAGGTGTGGCGTTATATGTCAGGGATGTGTATACCTGTGAAGAGATCCAAGATTTAGAACCTCAAAGCCAAAGTGAGAGCATTTGGGTCAAAATTAAGGGAGAGAAGAATAACAGTGACCTCATTGTGGGAGTTTACTATAGATCCCCAAGCCAAACGGAGGACATAGATGATGCCTTCCTGGAACAGATGGCCAAGCATGCAAAAGGAAGGGAGATAGTAGTAATGGGGGACTTCAATTACCCGGATATTTGTTGGATGTCAAACTCAGCCAAGAGCATAAGGTCAAACAGATTCCTCACTGGCCTTGCAGACAACTTCATTGTCCAGAAAGTGGGAGAAGCAACAAGAGGAACAGCCATTTTAGATCTGGTCCTAACCAATGTTGATGACCTGGTTAGTGGGGTAGAAGTGGAAGGATCATTAGGCGCGAGTGATCATGCTCTTCTGAAGTTTACTATACAGTGGAAAGGAGCAGCCAAGCATACTAGGACTCAATTTCTTGACTTTAAGAAAGCCGACTTCATAAAACTTAGGGAAGTGCTGGGTGAGATCCCATGGACAGTAATACTAAAAGGAAAGGGAGTTCATGATGGCTGGGAGTTTGTTAAGAGGGAGATACTAAAAGCACAACGTCAGGCAATACCAATGAGACGGAAACATGGAAGGTGCCTAAAGAAGCCAGGGTGGCTATCTAAAGAACTTTTAACTGAGTTAATATTAAAAAAAGTATGTGTACAAAAAATGGAAAATGGGTAAAACCACCAAAGAGGAATTCAAACAAATAGCCAGCACGTGTAGACACAAAGTCAGAAAAGCTAAAGCACAGAATGAACTCAGGCTTGCTAGAGAGGTTAAAAGCAACAAAAAAGGCTTTTATGGGTATGTTCGTAGCAAAAGGAAGAACAAAGAAACAGTGGGGTCACTCAGAGCAGAAGATGGTGAAATGCAAACAGGGGACACAGAAAGGGCTGAACTCCTCAATGCCTTCTTTGCCTCAGTCTTCTCCGATAAAGAAAACAATGCCCGACCTGAAGAATTTGGAGCAAATGATTCAGCAAAGGAAACACAGCCCAGAATAACTAAGGAGATAGTACAAGAATACTTGGCTAGTTTAGATGTATTCAAGTCTCCAGGGCCAGATGAACTGCATCCAAGAGTATTAAAAGAACTGGCAGATGTGATCTCAGAACCACTGGCAGTCATCTTTGAGAATTCCTGGAGAACAGGCGAAGTCCCGGCAGACTGGAGGAGGGCAAATGTTGTCCCTATTTTCAAAAAGGGGAAAGAGAGGACCCAAATAATTACCGCCCAGTCAGTCTGACATCAATACCAGGGAAGATTCTGGAGCAGATCATTAAGCAAACGGTCTGTGAACACCTAGAAAGGAATGCTGTGATCACCAATAGTCAGCATGGATTTCTGAAAAATAAGTCATGTCAGACTAACCTGATCTCGTTTTTGACAGAATTACAAGCCTGGTAGATGAAGGGAACGCAGTGGATGTAGCCTACCTTGATTTCAGCAAGGCATTTGACAAGGTGCCCCATGATATTCTTGTAAAGAAGCTGGTAAAATGCGGCCTTGACTATGCTACCACTCAGTGGATTTGTAACTGGCTGACTGACCGAACCCAAAGGGTGCTCATCAATGGTTCCTCTTCATCCTGGAGAAGAGTGACTAGTGGGGTGCCACAGGGTTCTGTCTTGGGCCCGGTCTTATTCAACATCTTTATCAACGACTTGGATGATGGACTCAAGGGCATCCTGATCAAATTTGCAGATGACACCAAACTGGGAGGTGTGGCTAACACCCCAGAGGACAGGATCACACTTCAAAACGACCTTGACAGATTAGAGAACTGGGCCAAAACAAACAAGATGAATTTTAACAGGGAGAAATGTAAAGTATTGCACTTGGGCAAAAAAAATGAGAGGCACAAATACAAGATGGGTGACACCTGGCTTGAGAGCAGTACATGTGAAAAGGATCTAGGAGTCTTGGTTGACCACAAACTTGACATGAGCCAACAGTGACACAGCAGCTAAAAAAGCCAATGCAATTCTGGGCTGCATCAATAGGAGTATAGCATCTAGATCAAGGGAAGTAATAGTGCCACTGTATTCTGCTCTGGTCAGACCTCACCTGGAGTACTGTGTCCAGTTCTGGGCACCACAGTTCAAGAAGGACACTGACAAACTGGAACGTGTCCAGAGGAGGGCAACCAAAATGGTCAAAGGCCTGGAAACGATGCCTTATGAGGAACGGCTAAGGGAGCTGGGCATGTTTAGCCTGGAGAAGAGGAGGTTAAGGGGTGATATGATAGCCATGTTCAAATATATAAAAGGATGTCACATAGAGGAGGAGAAAGGTTGTTTTCTGCTGCTCCAGAGAAGCGGACACGGAGCAATGGATCCAAACTACAAGAAAGAAGATTCCACCTAAACATTAGGAAGAACTTCCTGACAGTAAGAGCTGTTCGACAGTGGAATTTGCTGCTAAGGAGTGTGGTGGAGTCTCCTTCTTTAAGCAGAGGCTTGACAACCATATGTCAGGAGTGCTCTGATGGTGTTTCCTGCTTGGCAGGGGGTTGGACTCGATGGCCCTTGTGGTCTCTTCCAACTCTATGATTCTATGATTCTATGATTCTCACAAATTCCCCCTAGCCTGTGGGTCTCATTCTTCCAATCTTTGTATGAGGACGCTGAACCTCCACTATTATAATATAGAACAACTGGCTAAATGGCCGCCTGTTTCAGTAACTGAAGTGAAATCATATATAAACCAACTGAAAACGGCCAAAGCCCCAGGCATTACGCCAGAAATGATAAAAGCACAGGCGGATTGGTGGGCACCTTTCTTAGCCACCCTCTTCACCTACATAGATGACACTGGCCACATCCCAAGGGAATGGAGAACAGCCATAATAGTTCCGATCTATAAAAAGGGCAACAGAGGGGACCCAGCGAATTATGGGCCAATTAGCCTATTAAGTGTGATCAGTAAACTCTACGCAAAGCACCTCCTTAATAAGTTTACAGAATGGCTAGAGAATGAAGATATCCTCGCAATAGAACAAGTGGGCTTCAGACCTGGAAGGTCCATGACAGATCACTGCCTAACGCTACAACATCTCATCAACAAATACAAATCAGGAGGGCAGGCCTCACTATACGCTGCCTTCGTTGACCTAAAAGCAGCCTTTGATACAGTCTCCAGGACAGACTACAGGGTACCAATACAGATAAAAGGCTCCTGCTCTTAATTCAGGCACTGCACGCAAACACGGCTCTTAGAGTCAGGTGCAGCCGCGTAGGACACCTAACGGACCCTATTAAAACCTTCAAAGGAGTCAGGCAAAGGTGCCTATTGGCCCCTCTATTATTTAATTTCTATCTAAGTAACTTAGTATCTGCACTCAATGACTCAGAACTCCACCTGCCGAAGCTTGCAAATCGGCATATTTCGGTCCTGCTATATGCCGATGATGCAGTAATTCTATCTAGAACCCCCATTGGTCTTAAAAGAGCACTAAGAAAGCTCGCAGCATACTGTGAATCTGAATGTCTCAAAATCAACTATCAAAAGACCAAGATACTTGCTTTTGGGGGGAAACCAAAGCTTAGAAGCTGGGAAGTCCAAGGCCATAAATTAGAACAAGTAACAAACTACAAGTATCTACAAATGGTGGTACAGGCCTCAGGAACCAACAAACTACACATAAACTCCATCGGGAGCTCAGCGGGGGGGAAAAGCAAATTGTATTCTTAAATTCTTCAGAGCACAAGGGGGCTTCTTCGTCCCCGCAGCTCTAAAATTATACAAGGCCAAAATTTTGGCACAACTCCTGTATGGTTCCTTTTTGGGTCCGCCTTCCTCTGCTTTCTCCCCCCTTGAGAGAGTTCAATCTAGACTTCTTAGAGCTCTCCTCCAAGTCCCCAGATGTGTCTCAAACTCATGGGTGAGATTGGAAACGGGGATGATGAGAGTGGAGGCTAGCATTTGATTAACATCAATTTACAAATGGCTGACATTGAATCTGCTCCCCCCAAGGGATAGCCCCACTGATCCTCTGCGATCAATTCCAGTCAGGCTGGCAGACTGCAGTTCTGAACACCCTCCAGAAGCTGGGTTTTGCCCCTCAAGCCCTTCTAAGTCTGGGCTTGGGCCAGGCAAAAGCCACGGTCAGGCAAAGAATATTAGATACCGAGAGACAACAGGACTGCGCAAGGTGCCCCGACTATAAAATTGGAGAAATTGAGAGATATACCGGCAGCATACCTCTTCTTTCTTGTATCTAGAAATGCAAGAAGGGCCTTTACACTCGCCAGAAGCATGGCTCTTCCATCGCCGGTCCTGGATGGAGCCTTTAGTAAAGTCTCCTATGCCCAGAGACTTTGCACCTATCCACTGGGAGAGATAGGAAGCCCAGAACACTTGTTCTTTAAATGTCCCTTTTACGAAGAGGCACGTAGTAAGTTCATTGATCCCCTACTGGTGAGGCTCGCCGACCTCCCGCAAAAGCAAAAATTTGACCTTTTGCTGTTAGGCAAAGATAAGAAGAAGACCTGGATGGTCGCCAGATTCTGTGCACAGATCTGTAGGCGCAGACCATCGCCCAACTCAAAATAGTCCGGCATGAAAATCCCCAAACTCGGTTCCATGGGTGACTCTGAGTCAACTCCCTGGGATAGTTTATTGTTGCACATTGTTTCTAAATTCATTGTTGTACATTGTTTTAATTGCCTGTTTTAACCATATTTGCACATCAGTTTCTAATGCTGTGAGTGTCATCTATTTCAGAGGCTTCTACTCTACAGCCTCTTATAGTTGTTTTAACTGCGAGTCTTTTAGTTCTTATGCTCTTACAGTTGTTTTAACTGCATGTTTTTATTTGTTTTTAGTTCTTATCTGCTTTAATTCTCAGTTTTTATCCATCCATTATCCGTGTTTAATCTTGTATTTTATTCAGATGTTTTATCCTATGCTTGTTTCTTTGTCCTTATTTGCTCCAACATTTATCAGTTTAAAAAAATCCTAACTGCTATTTTATTTATATGTTGTTGTTTTTTATCCTGGTCTGTGACCGTAATAAAGTTCATTCATTCACACGAATCTCCAAGGAACATGCATTACCCATCCCAGAAATAACAGCCCATGACCCATCCCACTGCGACAAAGGGGACACCGTAAACTTGCATGCCTGTTCATTTTTAAAATTATTACAGTGGTGCCTCGCAAGACGAAAAGAATCCGTTCTGTGAGTCTCTTCGTCTTGCGGTTTTTTCGTCTTGCGAAGCAAGCCCATTAGCGGCTTAGCGGATTAGCGCTATTAGCGGCTTAGCGGGCTTAGCGGATCAGCTGATAAGCGGCTTAGCGGCTTAGCGAATCAGCTGATTAGCGGCTTAGCGGATCAGCTGATAAGCGGCTTAGCAGATCAGCTGATGAGCGGCTTAGCGGATCAGCTGATAAGCGGCTTAGCGGATCAGCTGTTAAGCGGCTTAGCGGCTTAGGATCAGCTGATAAGCGGCTTAGCGGCTTGGGGAAAAGGGGGGGGGAGGAAAAAAACCCTGCAGGAACTCGCAAGACATTTTCGTCTTGCGAAGCAAGCCCATAGGAAATTCGTTTTGCGAAGCACCTCCAAAACGGAAAACCCTTTCGTCTAGCGGGTTTTCCGTCTTGCGAGGCATTCGTCTTGCGGGGCACCACTGTATTCCAGATACTACAACCAGCCACACCAGGGTCAGGATGTTCTGCCACCTGAGGCGAAAAGCCCACCACCACCTCCTTCCTCCTGTGCAGGAATGCCCTGCCAGCCCTGCCCCCTCCTCCTGTCAAAGTCTGGCCACAAAACACACAAGACACACATTTGTACATTGCGATTCGGAGGTCCAAGAGAATTAGCAGCCCCCTCCCTGTGGCATCTCCCATTAAGTATCACAACCCCACCAGCCTCTTACCTCACCCTTGGGGCGCCAGGGATATGATCATACTTCATGTGGATTGATTTTATGTAGCAGCAATAAAGGCCAAAAGCCAGAAGGGCCACCGCGAGCAAAATGCGCAGCAAGCCCCAGATCACCTCTGGCACATCCATGACAGCCAGGAGCTCAAGCCACAAAGCTGCAATGCCAAGCCTCCAAAGTTTAAATGACTCTGCCTTGGAGTCCTGGAGTTGTTGCTTTGGCAATAAATCCCTTTACAGTTTGGGAGGAGCCAGGCTGGGATGCAGTAGGAGGAACCTTTACTTAAACATACAGTCCCTGCAATCAGATTGAGTCAGAAGGACCAAATGATGGTCCATTCGGAAGACCAAAGGATTTAATTTTAGGAGTTGGCACAATGCCAAAGCACCCAGTCAGAACATAGAATCGTAGAATTCGAAGGGATCCTGAGGGTCATTGAGTCCAATCCCACTGCAATGCAGGAATCTCAGCTAAAGCATCCATGACAGATGGCCCTCCAGCCGCTGCTTAGAAACCTCCAAGGAGTTAGACTCTTCCACTGCCGAACAGCTCTTACTGTCAGAAAGTTTTCCCCCGAATATTTAGTCAAAATATCCTTTCTTGTAACTTGAAGCCATTGGTTCAAGTCCCACCCTCCAGAGTAGGGTTGCCATACACCTGGGAAATCTTGGACATGTCTTTTTCGGGGGGGAGGACCAACATGTCCAACTGGAACTGTCAGGGTTGGGTAGGTATGGGTTTTTTGTTTGGCTGCAGCTGCTGCCAGCTCGAGCCGGCGAAAGAGGCACACGGGCATGGCAGGGCCTCTTCCCCCAGCTCAGGCTGGCAGCAGCTCAGGCTGTTCCCTTTCTTGCTCTTCAAGACATAGCAACCCTACTTCAGTGCAGGAGAAAAGAAGCTTCTCCCCTCTTCCATGTGACAGCCCTTGAGATATTTGAAGATGGCAGTCGTATCTCCTATCAGTCTGCTCTTATCCAGGCTAAACATACCCAGCTCCTTCAACCATTCCTCATAAGGCTTGGCTTCCAGACCTCTGATCATCTAGGTCACCTTCCCTGCCTCCCCATGCGCAGTAGCCCCAGCTGAGGAGGAGGAGGAGGGGAGTGCGGAGGACAGTGAGGAAAGGGTGAGAGCAGCCCCGAGTGCCTGCCTTGATTGGGAGCAGGTCCAAAGGAACTTATCTCCCCAGCCCAACCTCCCAAAGCAGGAGGGGAAATCCGCAACCAGGAATCTCCCTTTCTTTCCCTGCTAGAAGAAGAAGAATTGGTTCTTGGAGACACTGGAGTGTTTTTTTTAGGGGGGGGGAGTCTGCACCACCGCCCTCTTCCCCCTGGGGGGAAAGGAAGGAAGGAAGGAAGGAAGGGAGGAAGGAAGGAAGATACAGGAAGCTGGAAAATGTGTCAAACAGGCCAATGAGGACTGAGTATCCACATCTAGTCCAGTATCCTGTCTTGCAGGAGCCAACCAGATGCCCATGGGATTCCCGCAAACAGGATCTGACCACAACAGCTCTCTTCGCATCTGTGGCTCTTAGCAACTGGTAGCCAACGAGGCATAATGCTTCCAACAGTAAAAGTAGGACATAGCCATAATGGCTAGCAGCCACTGATGACCTTATCCTCCATGATATTGCCTAGTCCTCATTTATAGCAATGCAAGTTGATGGCTGTCACTACCCCTTGTGGGAGTAAATGCCATAAAAACGCTTATGTTTTCTTCATTCCCTTTTCCTGTACAAAGGTGGGTCACTAAGAAATGATTAACTAGATGCAACGCAACCTCAACGGAAGGCAATCACAGTAATTGAGAATTAGAACAATACAGCTCAAAGGTCAAGCATAAAAGTCATTCTTCCCCATCCCATAAGTTTGCAATAGGATACAGCTACAAAGATAGGTGTGTGCTGTCTAACACGGATGAAGAAAACTCTGGTGATTCAGTATGGTGTTTCCTTTCAAGTCTTCTTTTAACACAGCTGAGAGTAATAGCAAAAAGGAGTCAGCCTTTAAATAAAGATGGGAAGTCACAGTGCAGAATTGCTAAGCCCAGACATACTTGTTCAGTATTACTATGGTTGTTACTTTTATCTACTATTTATTATGGAAAGTGGTCTGTCTGTCTGTTCTCTACGAGTTCAGCCTCCGCTTGAGATACTGCTGTCTAACGTGGCACAAGGATTCCCAAGGTGGGAGCAGCAGTCTTTGCAGACACCTGGACACCGGGTGCCATTTTGAATCAAGATGGCAGGCAGAAACGTGGCCTTGGTGTGACTTTGCCTGATTTGGGGCCTGAAGGGCCCAAACTCACAATTTATACTATCCATTTTAAAATCAAAATACGTTTTGGTTTCTACGAATTCCTGAGCAGCGCTGGGCACTCACTGCAGATTCCAGAATAAAGTATGATTTACTTCTGCCTTGATTATTGGATACAGGAGAGATGGAGAGTCAGTGGATCTCTAGATGTTGTTAGATTGCAGTTCCTATTATATGTGACCATTGGCCATAGTGGTTGGGGCATATGGGAGTTGGAGTCCAACAGCAAGAGGACCACATTCCTGACCTTCATTTCATTTAATTTGTATACTACCTTTCTAAATTTCTATACACAGGGCAGTTAATAAATAGCTTGGACCTATTGATTTCAACCTTGTTCTTTTCCTCTCTGGCATGGTTTAAAAAGCCATAATACATATTGGGGTATTTTGCATGGCGTGTTAAGGGAGGGACAGTACCTCTGATGGGGAACACATCGTGCTCCTTCTGAGGTAGTTTGTCCACCTTTGGTCTCCACCTTGCACTTGGCTCTCACCTGTGGCTTCTAGAAGCTGTCGGCATGCAACAGCAACCACACCCTGGAACAGCTTCAACTGGACAGCTAAACCAGGTGAGGGTAGCCAATAGGCCTTAAACCCTTGGTGAGTTAGGGACTTCCCCTGCATGTGAAGAGAGGCTCTGGCAGATTGAGAGGATGAGACCAACAGTGGGTCTAACAGTTAAGGAGGTGGTTTCTGCACATGCTGCAGAGGGAAATGAGGGGCAGATGGGGCTTGGCAACCTGGGAAGGTAGCCCATCTAGGAGAAGGAAAACTCTGGTCTCAAACCTCTCCTGTGTTGCAGGATATCTTTGGGAGAGGAGAAGGTCAATGAGTAAACCCAACACAAATCCAGAGTGGAGTCTTTAAGACAGTTGGGTGGCACCTTGTACACCTCCTTCCTGGCAACTCCTGCAGCCAAGCTGGTGCCAAGCGTATTGCTCTGCTTCCCTTTGGATCACATCAGTGAGGCCAAGAGGGAGGTCATCTGAGCAGCCCAGGAACTCCACACAAACTGCCGAGGCTTGCACCTCAGGGAAGTCACTTCAGCGACATCTTGAGACAGATGGATGTCTACAGCAAACGAAGATGAATAGAATCCCAAGAAAGAACCTGTCACTTAGCTTGTTCAGTTAAAGAAGGTTCCATTGATGGAAGTTGTACCAATACGGGTATTCACTTATCATTTGAAATATTTGTTCTAAATTACTACATCGAGTCGGGGAACTTCATGTTGAGGACAACACAAGGCACCAGAAGTGAAATGCATTGCGTGAAGTTACCATGAAATATTTGAGGGCTCCACATCTTTTATCTCTCTCACCTAAGGCAGCTGAGGAATGGAAGAGGGAGATGTTTGAGTACAGTGAGAAGGGAGAACACTGACATATGCACTCCTTGATTTCTCCCAGTACCCCCCCCCCCTGCCCTCCACAGCACTGCAAATGCCCCTCTGTACTAGCAGACAGAGAACGTTGGTTGCAGCCCAATATTATAGATCTGGGTGTTTCCACAGTTGCCTTTTCTTTCTTTTGCGTTTCATTCACTGCTTTTTAAAGAGTACCCAACACCATACCGTTATCCATTGTTTTCATTTTTCCATTTTTCATTTAATTAAAAGTAACTGCATAACATTTTAAAAATCTCTACATGATACAGTATACAGTATTAAAAAACAAACAAACAAGCAAACAAAAATACTACCTAAACCCCAATAAAATAGCAATATATAAAAACCAGTAAGAGCAAATAAAAACAAGACAAAGCAAAAAACCACATAGACAGAGTCCACTTTTATGGGTAAAGGAAAGCGTGGGCAAAAAGCTAAATCTTTACAAGACATCTGAAACAAGTGATGGTGGCTGCTTCATATATGTCAAAGGGGAGGTCAGTGTCATAGCTATTGGGGGGGGCAGGCCAGGTTTTTTGCACTGGGTGAAGCCTCCAGAGGCATGGCATTGAGCATGGGTAGGCAAACTAAGGCCTGGGGGCCGGATCCAGCCCAATCACCTTCTAAATCCGGTCCGCGGACAGTCAACATGTTTTTACATGAGTAGAATATGTCCTTTTATTTAAAATGCATCTCTGGGTTATTTGTGGGGCATAAGAATTTGTTCATTCGCCCCCCCCCAAAATAGTCTGGCCCCCCACGAGGTCTGAGGGACAGTGGACCGGCCCCCTGCTGAAAAAGTTTGCTGACCCCTGGCACTGAGGCTCCCAGCCTGTGTGCATGCAAATGCACATGGGTTTGTGGGTGCCAGACTGGGTCTTTGACTGGGTCTTTGAAATAAAGCCTATAGATTTCAGAACTCTTTTATTATTTTTTCTTTTGCTATCGGTATATATCGAGATTAAAAGTAATTTCACACACACAAACACACTTTCAATGCGGCCCCACAGAAATTCTGAAACGCATTTCGCGATGTAGCACATTCAGTCATACTGATGGCGTAGTTTCAGTCTGCAGTCTATACCATCGTAAGGCCTCAGGGTGCCAGCATCCCGAACCCTGAAGCTCTGTGGCTGAACCAGCTGGAATTCAAACCTCTGCAGCAATTTGGCCATGACTACTTTGGCCTCCATCTGTTACAAAAATAAAACAGTGAGTGGGTACTAAGCATATGGACAAAGAGGACATAAGAGTGCCAGCTGTAGACAAAGGGCACATACTCCAGCTAGTATATTGATAGTGTGGTGGGTGGGTGCCAGCACAAAATGGCTGTCATAGGCAACAGAAAAAGCAGGTGCCAGTACTCCACACCAGTGATTGCTGTAACAAACAGAAAACCAATCCCGGGCTGGATCTACAATGACCTGTTTAACGTTATTAGAACGATATTATATATGTCGTTCTGAAACGTCACAGGGCATACTTGTTCATTAAAGCATTTTTTACCTTGTTTGTCCCCGCCCGCCCACCCGTCAAAACGCTGTCTCCCTGCTGCTGGTTGCTCTGCATCACCCTCTGCTGTCACATTTAAATAACACATTATGAACGTTAAAGGGATGTGGGTGGTGCTGTGGTCTAAAGGCAGCCCTGTTTAGGGAAGCTTTTAATGTTTAATAGACTATTGTATTTTAATATTTTGTTGGAAGCCGCACAGAGTGGCTGGGGAAACCCAGCCAGATGGGTGGGGTATAAATAATAAATTATTGTTATTATTATTCCATACCCCTTCCTTAACGTTAAAAACCATGAATATAGATCCGTCCCTGGTGTGGGATGTCTTGGACTCTGTGCAGTTGGAAAATCTGCTGCTATAAACCCTTGTTATACCATACCCTACCATTTCTGTTATAAATTTAACACAGCCCCCCATATGCTGCAGACACTGGACAGATTGCATCAAAGGCCTTAAATGCCCCTTTAAGAGTAATTGTCTTGCTTACCATTGCAAACTTCTGTCCGATACAGGAACGAGGACCCAAGGAAAATGGGAAATAGCAATAGTAATGCCTAAAATAATAATAAAAAAAGAAAGTGGCTTAAAGTGGTTTTGTTGACATGTCCTGCGTAGGTGTTGGGATTCCTGTGTCTTTAATAGCAGCTTGGACTGCAGAGATTAGGACGGAAAGATACTTATTTGTATGCTATAAAGTGTTCCTTGTGCTAATTTCTCCAGATCTAGGTGCTGTTGAAGACTTCAGAGAAGCCTCAACTTTTTATATCTGCTCACTTTGCAACTTTAATAAGAGTTGCACTAACTGGTATCTCTTAAGATATTGTGAAACTCATGGAGATGTCAGAAACATCTGACATTTAAATCTAAATATTAAAGCCAATGAGGCACTGTCAGTAAATGCACACATGCCATACAAGTACAGGACATTGAAAGAAGCCTTAGGTCATGAACATTTCTGACATTTTCTACCAGGCCTCCTAAAATCCTAAGAATTACCAGTAAATGCCAACATTCACCAGGTTCCCAGTATTTACAATGATATGCATTATCATTTATTGAATATATTAATAGACGGCTCTTTGCCAAACCCACAGGGCAATTTGCAATGCAGATAACATTAAAGCAAACAAAAAAATCTCCAAAAAAAGCTAATTCTTAGGGTTTTAGGAGGCCTGGTAGGAAATTTCAGAAATGTTCATGACGTAAGGCTTCTTTCAATGACCTGTACAGTGATCAGTAAGCCCTCCTTGCAGATCTCAAAGACTGGGCTGGCTGCTGCTAGCCTAGCTCTCACATAATACTAAGCCATGGTTTGTTTAACAAATCATGAGTTGATCATGAGTTGTTCTGCAGACAAACAAACCTTGGTTTGGTTAGTCTTCCAGCTGCTCTTGCCTTGAGCCTTTGTAGCTTGATAAGTATGTGAGGTGGGTTCACGCTTAATGCAAAGCAGCAGTTAAAACAAATTAAGATTTGTAAGCCAACAACAAACCATTGCTTTAAATCTGGGTTTCTTAGTAGTAAACACACCATGGTAAAAATAAACAATATAGCACATTCACCTTGGCTGGTCACTCTTAAAACGGTCAGGGTCAAAGACAAGTGGATCATGGAAAAATTTTTCCAGACGTCCCATGACATAGGTGCAGAACTGCAAAGAGGAGAGTCACACTTCAAAAAGAGGCAAATGCATAGCTGATTGTAATGTTTTCATTACATCCTGACATATTTCCCCAGGCATTCATCTTTTACGCAAGCCCATACTGCTCAAATCACATCCATGGCATTTGCTGGATGCGTTTTCTCTTTGTTGAATCCTGGCAAAGACCCATTCATGCAGCTGGGAAAGCCTGCCAGAGCAAAAATGTCATCAATTGTTTCCCGAAAGTGCAGGTAGTGGGTGTTCGTTGTATCACGACAGGGACGCTATTTCACAAAACAAGGGTAGCCACAGGGAAAGGCCTGCTCCGAGTTACTGTGGAAAAGGTTTCCGAGATCTTTGAAACATCATAGAATTATAGAGTTGGAAGAGACAATGAGGGTCATCCAGTCCAACCCACTGTGATGCAGGAATCTTTTGCCCAATGTGGGGTTAAAACCCATGATTATGAGATTAAGAGCCCCATGCTCTAACTTGCAGGTGAAGCTTTCTAGCAGACCACAGTGACTACAGTTAACACCCAACAAGTGCAATACTACCAAAACAGTTATTGCCTGTCCATCACCTTTCCACCGAGATATGACATGCATATATCCTAAGAATAAAATGGAACAACCAGTGTTGCTCTTTTAATACAGAGAAGGTATCAGTGATGCCATTAGACAGGTTTGGTATTGAAGTCCATTGCATTTGAGATAACCACTCATGGCCATATCCATTCAACAGACTCACAATCAGGGAGGTGTTTTCTGGAATTCTGATTCCTTCAATGACGTTTTCCTTTCCCGACAAGCGCAGAGTGGCTGCAGCCGGTGGATACAACCGCAAGACTTCTTTGAGAACCTGAGAAGTTGAAAATTGATTTATATATTTATAAGACATACTTGTTGATCGCCATTTTGTTTTGTCTTGTTTGGAAGTAGTTTACAAAACTTAAAATAATAAAAATTTGGCCAGACCCAGTGTGTATTTACCAGGGTTTGCCAAACTTGGGTCTCCAGCTGTTTTTGGACTACAGTTTCCATCATCCCTAACCACTGGTTCTGCTAGTGAGGGATGATGGGAAACTGATTTAAACCATGTGCTAGACCTTGTTAATCATTTACGGTAATTAAGTCAAGCGTAAAAGCAGGTAATTTCCTTTTGAGTGTTAGCCTGGGGATGGGCCATTTAGATGACACAAAGGATGAAGGGCAAATCTCATTTCCAGGTGTGTGGGTTTGGTCCCTCCCTCAACAGAGGGTTTAGTTTAAAAGACAATGCCAGTATTTTAGGGGAAGTTAGAGTTTAGAATGGCAGTAAGGAGTAAAGGAGCAGAGTTCATAAGTGGTGTGCTGGTGAGAGAGTCAAATCAGCATGCTGATGTCCATTTTGAATCCAATGTTGTGGCTATGGCAGAAGCCAGAATCTCTTGGAATGTAATGCTGGAAATCCCTCCATGGTAGACTCAGGTTGTATATTTGTGTAAATAAACCATATATCATAATGACGCCACAGTTTCCGCTGTGCCTCATTGTCCAAAAGGAAACATAGACACTGGGTCAAAGAACGCCTGTAACCCTTGGAATCTCACACTGATCAACCGAGCTAGGAGTGGTGTGGAACAATATATGCATCTCAACTTTACATCTCAGTCACACCTTAAATGTGGCTTGGTAGCAAATTGGCAACCAGTGTAGCTCCTTGAACAAAGGTGTAACATGCTTGTGATAGGCCACTCCATTCAGCAACCTAACTGCCCAATTCTGCGCCAGATCCCAGGCTAGCCTCAAGGGAAGCCCCACATAGCCACGTTGAAAATTTTGGCTAATGAGACGTATCACATTGTGTTAACGTTGCTGCTCAGATTTCACACAACAGTTACAAGTTCTTATAAGATTTCTCTGCAAGAATCCTGGAACATGTTCCTTACCATATCTGAGACATCTTTTGCTTAGAAAGATACCAAGAACTAGGCTTTAAGTTTCATTTGGAAACCAATGTGTTATTCTTTCCAGCTGCCCTAAGGCATAGCAAGGGTTATCTGTGGCTTTGTTATTCACGTGTACCTGTGATAAGTATTTGAGATTCCCAAGATCTTCATAGACAATGTCTCTGTTCATACCAATGACCTTGTCTACTTCCTCCCGAAGCCTAAGAAGGAAAAACAGGAGAAGCTTTAGTCAAATAATGACCACTGATCATTTCTGCTAAAAGGTAAGATTTCTGTATTTGAAAAGATCAGGATTTATTGTCCTTATATTGGCAAAATGGTCAGTGGTTCCACTGTGAATGGACTGATGGACTGAGGTCCAAGGGACTACACTTAAGGTGAAGACACGGCTTACATTTGTAGAGTGGTATAGTCATTTTGGAAGAGCACTTAGCAGATTCAGTAAAAACATACGTTTCACTCCCCGCTTGCAAGAGTTTAACTGGGGAAAGAATGGTTGTCAGATAGATAGACAGACAGATAGTCTAAAAATGAACTGGACCACTGCATAATATTGGCTACATCTTTTAAAAGAGACTGCTCATATTTTCTTGCAACTGATATTATCGGCAGCTGTTCCTTTCTTACAAGGAAAATAGCAATCTGGAGGAATAAACATTCATATAATCACGTGAATCAGATGGGCAAATGGTAACTGTGCTTTAAAAGATAAAGAACTACACAACTTTTAGAAGACACCTGAAGGCAGCCCTGCATCGGGAAGTTTTTAATGTTTGACATCTTATTATTTTTTTATATTTTGCTGGAAGCAGCCAAGAGTGGCTGGGGATGATGATTGTACTGTTTTGAGTATGCAAGGTCTTAGGGGTCATTTTTGTACAAATGGTCCTGACCATCTTTTGGTACAGTGGTACCCTCAGGATAAGTACTTAATTCGTTCTGGAGGTCCATTCTTAACCTGAAACTGTTCTTAACCCGAGGTACCACTTTAGCTAATGGGGCCTCCAGCCGCCGCCGCTGCACAATTTCTGTCCTCATCCTGAAGCAAAGTTCTTAACCCAAGGTACTATTTCTGGGTTAGCGGAGTCTGTAACCTGAAGCGTCTGTAACCCAAGTACCACTGTACTTGCTCATATGGATAAAAGTTAGCATGGATAAAACCAAGCAATCCCAGATGCAAAGTCAATAGCCATTCTCAAGCCTGTACAGGCTGTGATTAATTGCAGATGACGATAACCATGACCTGGTTCATACATTCCAGGTGTCCATATGGACAAGTATTTAAACATGGCCAGGACTGTTCCTATGTACAAAACAACAACAACAACAACAACAACAACATGGTGTGAACTATTCTCCTCTCCACAGCCCCACAAGTCAGAAACCTTTAAAAAAATAAAAACAAGACATTGCAATCTGCTGAAACTATAATCACAGACAAGTTAAGGAAACAATGAAAAGGAAACGAAGCAGACAAGGCTGTTTACCTACTTTGCAACAATCTCAGGGTGCCGCCCCAACTCCATTATGGTGAATGACAACAGATTAGCAGTGGTTTCATGACCTGCAGGATAGAGAATCTAATTGGGTAGGGCAGGGAGATAGGAATAAAACTAAACATCACAATTTCAGAAACTTGAGTAGTTTGGTGTGGAAGTGTTCCTCGCTATTTACCTCTCAAGTCAGCTATGTTCTGGCTATGTTGTAGTTGGAATAAAATGCTACTCTTTTGTTAAGAGCTTAGTGCACTCTTTGAAGCAACTCTGCTTCTCATTTAAGCAATAAGGCAGGCGGCAGCATTGATGGTGGGGGTGGCTCTCCAGCTGTGGCCACCACCCATCCCACCATGGGCGCACACGTTCACTTAGCAAATAAATGCAAAGAGTTTTGATTCCTGCTCATCAGCTGATGAGCAGGGATTAAACCCTGCTGCCTTGCCTGCATGATCCTGTTCCTTGCTAGGAACAAGGTGCACAGCCAAGGCAGGATATAATAACTCTGTCCTCCCAACCATCAGGTTATGTCACCAGTTAGGACAACTCATGGAGAGATGGGCGCTGTCTGGGCAAAATGGCTGCACAGGCCAAATTAGACCACTTGGTGTGTCAATATTGGCCTGTAGACTGAAGGTTCCCCATCTAGGGAAACTAGCTGCTCAATATAATCCAGCTAGTTCAACTGGGCCCAAGTGAATGTTTTATGAACTGCTTTGAGTGTGATCTGTCTGAAAAAGCAGCCCACAAATACAGGGCCCACACTGCAGATGAAAAGGCAACTAATCGGCATATACATTGGTTGGACATGTAAAAAGCCCATTTCTGCCTGCAGAACTTCCTCGGTCCATTGGGGGGGTGATTGTATATTTAATTTCAAAAAGCAAAACATCTGCCAACCTGCAAAGAAGAAGTTGACAAAATTGTCCAGCAAATTTTCTTCGTCATAGTTCCCTTCCTGATCTGTCGAGACAGACAATAAAGCACAAGGTTGAGACACCTCTTTGAAGGTGGGCAAATTCCAAGACATTCCAAAAATACAATATAGATATTATGTAGATGGGGAAATGTGACCTCAATAGTCAAGCAAACATCACAGGAACAAAACAAAACAAAAAAAACACACCAAAAAAACCCAACAACCCACCCACAGCTCATCAGAAATACCAGAATTATGCAATAAATAGTCCTGCTTATTAAGAACCAGTATATTGAAGATCAAACCTATCCATTCTTAAGGAAATCAGCCTTGAGTGCTCACTGGAAGGACAGATCCTGAAGCTGGGACTCCAATACTTTGGCCACCCCATGAGAAGAGAAGACTCCCTGGAAAAGACCCTGGTGTTGGGAAAGATGGAGGGCACAAGGAGAAGGGGACGACAGAGGGCGAGATGGTTGGACAGTGTTCTCGAAGCTACCAGCATGAGTCTGACCAAACTGCAGGAGGCAGTGGAAGACAGGAGTGCCTGGCGTGCTCTGGTCCATGGGGTCACGAAGAGTCGGACACGACTAAATGGCTACAACAACAAACAACAACAACATCTGGATCCCAATACCCTAGGGGCTACAGCAAAGCAACCCCAGAGCATTTCATAATTGGAACTGCTTAAGAGTATATTACCTTGCATTTTCAGTATCTGAGTGAGAATATCCAATGGGATCTCTTCTCCATTCTTCATGGCCTTCTGCCTCTGGTCAATGCACTCCTTCCCAGTATTTCGCAGCAACCTTACGCTTTCCTGAATCTCTTTAACTACTTTCCTGTTCCATGGCAAATACTGCACAAATAATAGGCATTGTTATATGAGAATGCCAGCATAAAACGTAAACGCAGCACAGGAAGAGTTCAGGGATTTTATTTACATTAATAGAAAAATAAATTACATGGTTTTGTATGTATTTTGGCATTTTATGCATGGTGCCTTGCTGCTATTTTTCTTGATTATAGTTTAGTAATGATTTATTGTAAGTGTTAAGATTGAATTTCTGGTTAATTATTATTTGCTGGTGTTCAGTTTGGTTGTTTACTATTATGGGATTATTGAATATTACTTTGATATAAGTTGCTTATTTTCAAAGTTATGTTTTTATTATGACTTCTTTGTATTGGATCAGCTTGTTAGAAGGTGTGTGATCTCTGTTGAATGTTTTGATGCCTTTTCAGCTTGTAAACTGCCTTGTGTATAGCAATATAGAAAGGGGGTTTACAAATTAAAAGTGAAATGAAAAGTTAAGAAGCAAAAGGAAGGTTTCATAGTGACATCGCCCAAGATACTAGGGTCCCAATGTCACGGTCCTCATTTTGAGACTCCTGGAACTTACAACCACTCCTGCAAAAGAAGTCCAATCTCAGAATTTCACATTACCCCCTCCCCCCCATTCTGAATTAGCTTGGGAGGCAATAACTTCAGCATCGGACAGGGAGAGTGTTTGAGAAAAGCCTGCACTGACCTCAAAAAAAGGAATGCGGGAAGTGCTCAGTCCTTTTGTAACCATAAGTATAGCATGAGGAAAAGGAGTCTGGTCATCTTGCAGGGTCTTCAATTCTAGGCCAAAAGCCACCTGATGAACATTAAGAAAAATCAGAAGATTTGTCAAAGTTCTGAGTGTTACTTATAGCTGTCAGTTCTCTTTCATGCCAACTGAGGCCGTTATATTCCCTGATCTTGTAGAAGAGACAGGTGGTTCCATTTGCTAAGAGGAGAGCCTCCAAAGTTCAGGTTTTGAGCAATAATCACCTAAACAATCTCGGGCCCGGATATCCGAAGGATTCTCAGCCCTTTCCTCTTGCATTCCTTCATTAAACTTAAGCTTTGCACTTTGTGTTTGGCTGTGGCCCAGTGTGTTGGCATCTGTGTTAAGAGGCGGCCCCTGCTCCTTAATGGAAATGAGAAATTCATCCGGCGAGTACCTTTGCAATGATGTCCAACGTCACGCATCTCAGCAGGCTCATCACATCCACTCCATTTGCTCCAGTGCCTTTTTTCTCCAACACCTCCATAAGCTCTTCTGCTACATCATTAAAAGTTCCCATCATCCCCATCAAGTAACTGGACAATCAAAAAGTGATACAAATGTCAATGAAACAAAAATATAATCGCAAGCTGGAGCCATCCATTGTGAACAAAATGCAGGCACAAGTTTCCCCCAAGAATGCACATCCACATACCTTCCTACACACACACACACACACACACACACACACACACGTATAACACTCAGGAGTACAAGCACACACATGTTAACACACTGTGCATTCTGTACAAAACAGATCTAGTGAAGGCAATGAGAAGGAGGATATCCCTTAGCCCTCCCATCCACCCAAAGAACCCATAGAAGAGGGCCAAAGGGCCATCTAGTCCGACCACCTGCAAGGCAGGAATCTCAGCTAAAGCATCCATGACAGATGGCCATCCAACCTCTGCTTAAAAACCCCTAAGGAAGGAGAGTCCACCACCTCTCGTGAGAGTCTGTTCCACTGCTTAACAGGTCTTACTGTTAGAAAGTTCTTCCTGATGTTTAGTTGGAATCGCCTTTCTTGTAACTTAAAGCCATTGGTTAGGGTCTTACCCTCCAGAGCAGGAGAATATATATACCGAGAGCAGTGCCCAATTTACGTATAAGCTAAACAAGCTATAGCTTAGGACCCCACTCTCTTGGGGGCCCCAAAAAAAATTAAAGGGGAAAAAACTGGATGTACATTTCCAAAATATAAGATAAAAAACAAATAAAATAAAACCTACATACAGCAACAGTGTTTTGTGTTGTGTAGGTTTCTATTTTGTTATTTGCAAATGGCTTTGGATACCTATTAGGTCCATAAATTACCACATAGCATATATTCAACACACAAAAAACAGCGACAATTTGTTGTTGACAAAGGACAGCTAGACATATAAAGGGCCCCATTACCTCCAGTAGATTAGGGCCTCAGCAAACCTACATCCAGCCCTGACTGAAACACACATTCCTGAGCCTTTTCCCTGCCATTGATTTGTAGCTCATAGAGTTTTTCACAAGGGGGGTGGGAAGGGGAAGAAAATGACACTCCTCCATCGTCCTGAAACCATCCTACACTGTGCAATTAATTGCTAACGATCCTGACACTGAAACTAGTAAATGTGAGCACTTGAGAGATTTAGGGGCAGGGAAAGGAGAGAAGGTCTGGTGAGCCAGAAAGCGAAATTGTATCCTAATTCTTTCCTCTTGCCTGAAACTTCCCAATATAGCAGGGGGAAAGAGAACCTCTAATATCTCCCTCCAGTCATAATAAACTGAGGGGTGCTCAGGCAACTCAATTCCCTCCTCCTTTTTCACCATTCAGCACTCAATATATTTCATAGAATTATGGAATTGTAGAGTTGGAGTCATCTAGTCAACCCCCTGCAATGCAGGAAATGCAACACAGGAAATGCATTTAATTGTTCCTATCAACTCACTGGTACTTAATAAGCCATTTATTGGTTTATTTGTTTCTCACTTAACAAAGTAATATCATTATCAAGGGAGTCATATGTTACATGCAGAATGTGCTACCTTTGTTTCGGTTGGCCCTCTCGCTTCCAGACTATAGCTATGAGTCCATCTGTGTTTGGCATTATAGGGAATTATGGTCACTTAATTTTAGGAAGCGTTTCAGACAGGGACTGTACAGTGGGTCCTGAGACAAGCCTTCCGGGTTCAAGCTTCATACATGGAAACAAACAGAGAGACGATCAAGCAGAGACACAAAGGCTGCAAACAGAACGGCACAATCCATACCGCCTAAAGAGTTTAGAAGGCCCTCAGCACTTTCAGAAGAATTACGACAGCACTATCAACACATAGAGGCATGGACACAGAGGGTACTTTATTACAGTGTACATTTTGGAACTCCATTCCGTTACGGATTAGACAGGTGCCGCCCATATTGGCTAAAAGGGCATTTTAATGTGATATTTTTTCCCTCTCAGTGCAGATTTGAAGTTGTTTTAACTGCTTTTATACATCAAATTGTTGTAATTGCTTTTATGGTTAATTTGCTTTGAAATATTTGTTTGGACGCAATTCATAAATGGAATGAAATAAATGAAGCTTATGAGGGGAGAATGTTCCAGGGAACCACGCTGCCAAGAGCATAGCTGTCAACGTTTCCCATTTTTTTAAGGGAAATTCCCTTATTCCAAATAGGATTCCTTGCAAGAAAAGGGAAAAGAAAAGGGAAAAGTCGACAGCTATGGCTAAGAGGCTGCTCTTTCATAAAACTCTGCTATAACTCTTGCACATTTGCATGACACAGCATCAACTGAAATGATTTATCTCTGGAAAACATGCATTGGGGCTGTTTTTTCCTCTGACAGTCACTTGCGATAGATAGCCCTCAGGCTTTCAGCCATTTGCGATAGATAGCCCTCGGGCTTTCAGTTACACCAACTTTAGAATGAAATTAATCCTGATCCACATAGTACATTCTACCCTTATTTTACACAAGTCAACAAACACAGTTTTTGGAGTGCCACCGTGACCACCTGCTGCTTTCCCCCCTCAGAACTGGCCCACCCTGCACTGGGTTTGGATCCTAACCAGCATAATTACAAGGATGTAACAAAAAAAGTCTCTGGACATTGTCACAAGGAACAAAGGAACACTGAACAGAAGGGAAGATTTGCTTCTCACAGTAAACCCGTTCAGAATGGTCTGTACGTTTAGCAAGACAGACTGAGGCCAACGGAATCTCCTGAAGAGAAACAGGCAGCCTATTTCAAACAATTGTTTTTGCCTCACGTTGGCTTGAAGGCCGGGTCCATGATTCTCCTCTGGTTGTGCCAATGGTTGTAGTCAGGAACAGCTGACAAGCCCTGCCCTAGAAATCTGAAAAAGGCAGCAACAGAAAAATAGCATTATTTTACGCCTGGTTCAGAGGTCATGGTTCTCTTTCTCTCCCCCCTCTGGGAATGCTCTAGTTTGCTTCTAAAGGCCATGGGGTTGTTTGTTTGTTTAACCTGGTTCTTTTTTTAAACATTTTTTTTATACATTTCACTGATACAGTCATTTCGACATTTCAAAACTTGACTTCCTTCCCCCTCTTTCTGCGGTTCCTTAAATTTTTGATATCTGCTGCATATCCAAATTACAGTGGTACCTCGGGTTAAGTACTTAATTCATTCCGGAGGTCCGTTCTTAACCTGAAACTGTTCTTAACCTGAAGCACCACTTTAGCTAATGGGGTTTCCTCCTGCCGCTGCGCCGTGATGGCACGATTTCTGTTCTCATCCTGGAGCAAAGGTCTTAACCCGAGGTACTATTTCTGGGTTAGCGGAGTCTGTAACCTGAAGCGTATGTAACCCGAGGTACCACTGTAACTGAATTTGCTCATTTATTCATCTTCTTTAAATACATGCTCTTATGAAACTGCATGTTATTGCAATAATCCTGCCAAAGTCTTTATTTGTTTGCAATTTATCTGTAAATATTCAATAAACCATTTCCATTCTTTTATAAAAAGTTTGTTATCTTGATTTCTTATTCTTCCGGTAAGTTTTGCCATTTCTGCATATTCCATAAGTTTTTGTACCCATTCTTCCTTTGCTGGGTCTTTTTTAAAACTTGGTTCTGATAGCTATTCAAGGTGTGTGTGAGGATGATAAACATGCCACAGGCTCATGCTGGCTTGCCTTCCCAATTCCTAGTAATTTTTATTGCAGCCTAATACAGTATCTGAATTAAGCAAGAGTGTTTCATGTTAACCTCGTGCTAGTAGCTTTGACTCACTTTCTGAAAACAGATAGCCTTGGCTGATTATTGGATTGTTCTACCCCATATGTTAAGGGACGCGGGTGGCGCTGTGGATTAAACCACAGAGCCTAGGACTTGCTGATCAGAAGGTTGGCGGTTCGAATCCCCGTGACGGGGTGAGCTCCCGTTGCTCGGTCCCTGTTCCTGCCAACCTAGCAGTTCAAAAGCACGTCAAAGTGCAAGTAGATAAATAAGTACTGCTCCGGTGGGAAGGTAAACGGCGTTTCCGTGCGCTGCTCTGGTTCGCCAGAAGCGGCTTAGTCATGCTGGCCACATGACCCAGAAGCTGGACGCCGGCTCCCTCGGCCAATAAAGCCGCAACCCCAGAGTTGGTCATGACTGGACCTAATGGTCAGGGGTCCCTTTACCTTTACCTTTACCCCATATGTTACTTACCTTACGCCATACATATCATGAAGACCACGGTATACCATGGGGTCCTTTGGGTATTCTGGTGATGTCAAGTACACCTAAGATGAAATCTGTTCAGTCAATGTTCCAGTACGTACCTTTAATGTTATATAAAGTACTATCACACATACAAAAATAAATGGGAAAAGAGCTATAGATTTTCAAGGGAATATTTTAAAAAAGAAACATTTCGTGTCAAGAATGCTAGCCTCCGGTAAGCTTCAGTTTGGGACAGGGTTGATGCAATCCCATCTAGATTAGCTTTAAAGTGGCCAAGATGTGGCTCTCCAGAGCTTGTTGGACTCCAGTTCCCATTAGCACCAGCCAGCATGGCATTGTTTTCTCAGATACTACCATTTCAGAGAGAGGAATACACTTCCTATTTAGGTTACATGCAATATTATTGTATTGTACAGGTAGCAACCATTTTAGGCATGGGCAACTGGCATTCAACCGTTATGAATGGGTCCTTTTGGACCCGGAAGAGGGAGGAATGGGGACGGAATGAGACAGGCTTCTGTGTGCTCGGCCAATGCACATTTTGACCTGGAACACAACCCCCCGCGGAAATAGGGGATTTGCTTGTATTTCATTGGGAAACACTTGCCTGCAAGCGCTCCAATTGGAGAACAGCCTTTACCAAAGTTATCATGGGCTTTGAAGACACTCGAACTCAGGATGCAAGGGAGAAACGCGCTAATCAACTCCCACCCGGAAACCAATGTCCCTACTGTGGAAGGACGTGTGGATCCAGAATTGGCCTCCACAGTCACTTACAGACTCATTGTTAAAACCGTGTTTATGGAAGACAATCTTACTCAGCTACGAGTGATCGCCAAAGATTGCATTGCATTAAAATACAAAATATTGTAGTTATTTTTACGATAGTGAGGGCCTAAACTGGAAGCTCTTTCGCTGAACTTAGTCAAAACATACCTATTCCTCTGCTGTGGAGACGTACTTGTAGATTGTTCTACAAGTTTAAAACAGAAATTGTACACAGTTCTGACTAGCTGATGTCCCCCCACTCAACTCAAAAGAGCCAGCCACCCCTAGAATAATTTTGAATTGGATAAAAATGTTACTTTAAAAAATGAAAACACAATTAAAAGGGAAGAATGCATAAATGTTCGTGCTGTGCTTTAAAAACATATTTATTTATTTTTTTGCCTTTTTGAAAATAACAGTGGACAGCCTGACTGAAGCATGTGAGGAACGGACAATTCCAATACCCAAAATAGCATTTGAGTTGCTCATTTACACACCTGCCATTTCAGTTGTGAAATTGAGCTCCATTTTCTCTTTTTATACTATGTTCGCTTTCAGTCTTGGGAGAGATAATGTTTCATAGCGTACCTTTACTCCTTCAGGGGCTGATACTAATAATGCAACTTTGTGAAAGGCATTTAAACGCAGGACTGGTCCATATTCCTCAGCCCTATTAAGACAAAAAGTGACCATTGAATTATAACCCAGGGATGCGCTCCTGCTGCCGTCACCACCAGAGGAGAAAGGAGAAGCAGCTGCTGCAGCTTCCAAGTTCTAGCGAGATTGTGCAACAGGGGCTTCTTGCAAGAACCCAGGAGCCTCAGCTGTGCAACTCCAGTAAGAGAGGCTTTGGCTGGGGCAACAAGGGAATGTGGACATTGGGCAGTGGGCAGCTCATGCCTTCCCCTTTCACCTCAGACAGCAAAACTGAACAGTCCGTGGTCCACCCCTGAGCGTGTGAGTTGTCAGACTATGTGCTACATGGTGTCTTATATGGTTTACCATGTACTTACGTATCTGTGCACAGCCAAGATGCAGACCCGCAAGCACTAATGAGAGGTTTAGCTTTTAACTAAAGGCTCAGGGGAGGGCCCTGAATAGCAATTCTAGTGCATCTTTAAAAAGCACCCCCAAAAGCAAACAGGAAATTGGAAACTAAAAAAGAGGGACTGGAAAAATAAATCAGCCAGCAGTCTTAACTACATTGGTCTAGTAAATGCAGTGCACAGCCTCTCATTTCGAGCTGTCTGAATACGCAAAATAACTTACCACTGCTTAAAGAGATCGTAATAATTTTCCTGCTTTTTAATCATTCCCCATACGAGTGGCAGGTGACCAAAGAAAAAGCTGCAACATTAAGAAAAGTCAGGCATGACTTGATGAAAACCTTAGGGGCTCCTTACAGGAGTCGAACACCAAGGTCAAAGTAAGCAGGAATTCCTATGCAACCTCAACAACCAATTTCACAATACAATGCATGTCTTATAACAAGGAACATAATGACCCAAGGGAAGCTATATACACACTGAGAAAGCCACAGTAAAGATATGTATCCCCAGGGGCCATCAAAACATCCACAAAAGAACATGTATCCCCAGAAACTATCAGAGACTCAAAATGCATGCACACAGGGGAGGGGGGGGAATGAGGATGATATGTTTTTGATAAATTGTTATGTTGAAATTTCCAATAAAAACTATTTTTTTAAAAATTGCATAATAAGGGCACTCTTGTTGACCATTGCCACGCTGGTTGGGACTGACAGCAGCCAATGTCCAATAACATATGAAAATTGGAAATTGCTTAGGAAACACTCATTGGTGTTGTTGTTTTTTTTATGCCCATTTAAATGCACTGTTTCTGGAAGTTGTACAACTTTCAATTGTGATGCAACACGAGAAAGAAAAAGGAGCCCTAAGAGCACAGGTAGAAACCGGTATGATCATTTTAACGCAGCCACACAACTGCAGACCACCTGCCCGCGGACCCCAATTGGGAAACTTCTCTTAGCAGCCCTCCTCCCACCGAGCACCTCCTCCGGCCGGTCACTTACCTCGCCCTGGGGGGGCCGGGGATGTGGTCGTATTTCATGTGGACTGATTTGATGTAGCAGCAATAAAACACAAAGACAGCGAGGAGGGCCACGAGCAGAGGGTGCAGCAAGCCCCAGATCACCGCTAGAGCCCCCATGGCAGCCGGGCGGTTCCGAGAGCAGCCGCCTCAATACCGCCGCCTGATGCCCTCGCTCCTCTTTTGCTTTGGCAAGGAGAAGAGCCCTTTTGATGTGGGAGGGCGCACGCTGGAGTAGGAGGGTCCTTTGCGTAAAGAGGCCGCCCTAAATCACGAGCGGAAATTCTAAACGAGTTGCAGGACCGAATTCTCCATTCAGCAGTTTCCCGGGGCGTGGGGTTGGAAGCTCATCCTTCCTTCCACCTTGGCAACCGCCCTGTGGAACGCCCTCCCACCAGATGTCAAAGAGAAGAACAACTACCAGACTTTTAGAAGACATCTGAAGGAAGCCCTGTTTAGGGAAGCTTTTAATGTTTAACAGACCACTGTATTTTAATACTTTGTTGGAAGCCTCCCAGAGTGGCTGGGGAAACCCAGCCAGATGGGCGGAGTATAAATAATAAATTTTGATGATAATGATGATGACTCTCAGTCCCAGTTCAGTCCGATGTGAGGACCACTTGCACAAAACTGACCGGGTTTTTCTTTCTTTCCTAGGGAAAACCGTTATGGATGCTTGGGAATGCGCCTCTCCAGCTGAGTTAGCAATTGCGCGCGGGCTGTATCTTTAAAGGGAAAGGCTTTTTGCACACTGGCTCCTCCCAGTCTAAAGGCCTTTCCTTGCCTGACAGAGGCGGACGTTGGCTTCGCTCCTGCCGAAGCTGAGTTCTCGGCCGCCATGGAGGCGCTGGGGGTGATCTGGGGTTTGCTGCGCCTCTTGCTGGCCGTGTCCCTCCTGGCGTTTGGCCTCTACTGCTGCTACATAAAATCTATCCATATGAAATACGATTACATCCCCAGCGCCCCGAGAGCGAGGTAAGAAGCGGGAGCGTCGACAAGTTTCCTTTCCCGATTCTATCCAGGGAAGCAGGATAAACTACAGAGCAGCAGTCAGCGGTCTGGATCCCCCCCCCCCCATGCTGGCTGGGGTTAATGAGACTTTTAGCCCCAAATATCTGGAGGGTAGTAAGCTTCCAAGGGTAGTTTCTTCCCAGTACAATCCGTGCGTTTTTACGCAGAAGGATGTCCCCTGCTATGTTCCAGGGGACTTTCCGCGCATGCCTATGTTTGCTCAAAAGTAAGCAAACTTCAATGGGGTTTACTCCCTCGTAAGTGGCGGGTTTAGGATTTGGAGGTTCAACCTCCCCCACTCCACCGCCCCTTCCAAGCAAACTGTTTATGATGCATCTTGGTCAGGCGCTATCCAGTTCAGTTTCCTTTGGCTTCTTTGCTTTTGGCAAAGATCCAGGCTGGAGCAAATTCATGTCGCACAGTTGAAGTCGGTTTGGTATTCTACTTGCTCAAAGAACCCCCTCCCCAAATCAGACCCCCCCCCCGGTTTTTTTCATCGATAAGGAAGGCCATGGGGGAAATGGACCGGATTGTTTGCAACATCTACAACCTCCCCGCAATCAGTTTGCAGTGGATACTCAATAAATAGCAGGTGTTGTCCAAGCTTTTTGCAGACTTTGTGCAAATAAATTCCGAGGAACATTAAAAAAAAAAGTCGTCCGGTTTGTTTGTTTGTTTGTTTAAGCAGCAGCAGCAGATCAGCTTGAATTGTGGAACTTGCATTTGTTAGTATGTGTTTGAATCATGTCGGAAATTAGTGGCAGTCTGGTAGTATTCCACCTGTCTCTTCTGGGATAGAAGCAAGAGCTGTGCCAAGAGACTCCTGCTGTTTCAGATTTAGATCTTATTGCATGAACAATGTTGAGCTTTAAATAATGTTTTATATCCCGCCTCCGCCCCCCCATACAAGTACAGTCTACTGTGGAGGGGACCACATTGTAGTAGAGAGGAGTTTATGGCAATCTTGCAATGCAGTCCACTGTTGATGTACCAGGTAACAGGTGGGGCCAAGGCTGGCCTAGACTTGAAGCCAAAACCCACCCACCCCCAAAGCAAAACACCCTGCAGAATGCCGAGAAACTAAAATTGCACCCCCTCAGATTCCTTCCCAGCTTGTGGAAGTCCAGGCAGTTTCACAAAGAAGCTTTGTCTGCAGTTCCACACCCCTTGCAGTTAGACCCATGCTTCTAGATATTAATAAGAACTCAAGATACCGTATGTTTTGCTCTATAAGACTCACTTTTTCCCTCCTAAAAAATAAGGGGAAATGTGTGTGCATCTTATGGAGCGAATGCAGGCTGCGTAGCTATTCCAGAAGCCAGAACAGCAAGAGGGATTGCTGCTTTCACTGCGCAGCGATCCCTCTTGCTGTTCTGGCTTCTGAGATTCAGAATATTTTTTTTCTTGTTTTCCTCCTCCAAAAACTAGGTGCGTCTTGTGATCTGGTGTGTCTTATACGGTAGTTTTTAAACCTTACATATGAAGCAAGAGCTGGGTTAGAATGAGCATAGACACCACAGCTGGCAACTGTCTTTTGTTTCTTGGGCAGTGGGCAGTGTGGTGCAGTGGTTAGAGTATTAGACTGAAGCTCTGTAGATGGAACTGGGCAAGTCACACACTCTCTCAGCCTAACCTTCATCTCTGGGTTGCCGTGAGGCTAAAATGGAGAAGAGAGAAAACATGCAGCACCATCTTGAGCTCCTTGGGATATTACTACTATTGCTGTTATTATTTATTAAATTGGTATAGCGCCCTTCATCTGAAGATCACAACATAAAAATACAAAACGAGAACATGAAATGCACATTAAAAATAAAAAGCAAACCAATAACCCTCCTCCCACAAATACATTTAAAGGGACATAGAATGATGGGATAAATCAGGGATTGCCAAGCTTGGCACCTCCTTTGGTGCCCCTGGGTTGAACCATAATTCCCCGATTCCCAGCTTCCATTTTTTTTATTTTTAAAGTTTTAGAATGTTCGGAACCTGAGATAGGAGGCAAGGCCAACATTCTCATTTTTTCCCCTACTCATCTCTTGGTGTTTTATCCTCCCTTTGGAATAATTTGCTGCCCCAAGAAGAATTCCTGTGTAACCCCAGTATTTGAGAGAAGGAAAGGTCTAGGTGTGGTCTGGGCAGGGGGGAGCAAGGGAGTGGGAATTTCCACAGGCAGCTCCATCAAAGTCAAGTCCAACAGCTTGGATCTCTTCTGAGTCTTGATGTTGTAAGTGGTTCTTAACACGCTGGAATTTTCCAGACATATGCCTCTTCTGCAAGACGGGATCCACAAGTTTGCCCTGTTCAGCTGGCAGATAATGGGGGGCGGGGGGGGCGGAAGGAACTGCCATAGTCTATGTACTGTTCTCATTCCACCCTTAAAATTAGCAAGACTGTGTGTAAATCTGGAGAGGAGTCATTGGCTGGTGATAGAATTTGTGTATTGTATGTCAAATCACACCAACCTAGCAGTTTGAAAGCACATCCAAGTGCAAGTAGATAAATAGGTACCACTCCAGCGCGAAGGTATATGGCGCTTCCGTGTACTGCTCTGGTATCGCCAGAAGTGACTTAGTCATGTTGGCCACATGACCCGAAAAAACTGTCTGTGGACAAACGTCGACTCCCTCGGCCAGTAAAGCGAGATGAGCGCCGCAACCCTAGAGTCGTTCACGACTAGATTTAATTGTCGGGGTCCTTTACCCTTTTTTTAATGTCAAATCACACAGCTCTGCCCTACTCCAACTCCCTGGTCCTGAATGGGGTAACTGTGTCCCTGAAGGACCAGGTGCGCAGCCTGGGAGTCATTTTGGACTCACAGCTGTCCATGGAGGAGCAGGTCAATTCTGAATCCAGGGCAGCTGTCTACCAGCTCCACCTGGTACACAGGCTGAGACCCTACCTGCCCGCGGACTGTCTCGCCAGAGTGGTGCATGCTCTAGTTATCTCCTGCTTGGACTACTGCAATGCGCCCTATGTGGGGCTACCTTTGAAGGTGACCTTGAAACTGCAATTAATTCAGAATGCGGCAGCTAGACTGGTGACTGGGAGTGGCCGCCGAGACCACATAACACCGATCCTGAGAGATCTGCATTGGCTCCCAGTACGTTTCCGAGCACAATTCAAAGTGTTGGTGGTGACCTTTAAAGTCCAAGACGGCCTTGGTCCAGTATCCCTGAAGGAGCGTCTCCACCCCCATCGTTCAGCCCAGACACTGAGATCCAGCTCCGAGGGCCTTCGGGTGGTTCTCTCATTGCGAGAAGTGAGTTTACAGGGAACCAGACAGAGGGCCTTCTTGGTAGTGGCGCCTGTCCTGTGGAACGCCCTCCCATCAGATGTCAAGGAAATAAGCAGCTATCTTATCTTTAAAAGACATCTGAAGGCAGCCCTGTTTAGGGAAGTTTTAAATATTAAATATTTAACTTTAACACTCGATTGTGAGCCACCCAGAGTGGCTGGGGATACTCAGGCAGATGGGCGGGGTATAAATAATAATAATAATAATAATAATAATAATAATAATAATATATTATCATCATCATCATCTTGCTGGCTGTGGAGCCACCCTTGACAATGATTAAAGGGGCAGGATCCATGTCCTCCTTTTCACCTGACTGCATCTTCCATGTATGTGTGTGCCTTACATGCCTTAAATTCTGCCTTTACCATTTTTTGCAGCTTTTTCTTAGGCCACCTGCCAATGCTATGGGGAATGCTGAAAAATAATGAATGTGCTCATCAGCTCTTCTTGCAATGGTATGTAAAAAAATAATAATCAAATAGTTTAAAATTTGAGATAATGAATTGCATTGCCAGCAGTCTATATGGTGTCTTGTTTTTTTAAAAATCTTTAAATGCATGTCTGCAGACAGAAGCTGTTCTTTTTGAAATTTTGTGTGGCACCTACTAATTGTACATACTTTGTCAATAATAAAATAATACGATAACTAGTTCTCATTCGGTAGAATAGTTCAGAAGAAGTGTGAAAACTCCAAATATTAGCCTCGCTGAAGAAGCAGATACTTGGGTATGATCTAATTTTGTGTTTGTGGTGTTGAAAGCTGATTAGCCAATGTAGAAATTTGCTTTGTTTGCCTGGGTACTGAGAGTGAACCTTTGATCAGGTGACGAAGCTACTGAGTTGCAAATTCGCCATCTTGAAAGGGTGGTGGCTGTTAGTCCCTCTCTGACCCTGACAAGTGATAATATTGCTTAACATTTCATATTTTGTAAGGTGCCAAGCCTGTGCTGCCCAGCACAAGACATTGTATGTATGTTTTTGATGTTTTAATTCTGTTGTAAATAAAGTTTTGCCAGTAAAAGTTCGAATAATATTTCCGTGGGCCTCGGCAATGTTTCATTTCCAAAGGAGTCGGTTCTTATGCTTCCAGTCGCTTCAGACTGCACAATATTTAATATCTGCGACAGGGAATGCCTTCTTTGGGGCTGTCGCCACCTCTGAACTTCTGAGGGAGGTGGAATTACCACTGCTGAACATAAGACCTCAAGGGGTCTGTAGGGAAGGAGGTGGTCTGTCAGTTATTTGAGGCACTTTAAAGGCTAGTGCTTTAAAGGCTAGTGTGAGCAGATGTAGGGCTTATAAATGAACCGGCAGCCAATGCAGTTTTTTAGAATAGGGCTTCTAAAGGAAACCCCAGCAAGTAATCTGGCCGTTGTGTTTGGGACCAGTTGAAGGTTCTGAGTCATCTTCAAGGGAAGCTCCCTGTAGAATACATTGCAGTCATCCCATCTGGAAGTTACAGGAGCATGGAGTACTATGGGCAGTTCATCTCTCTCTTGAATATTTTATATATACTCCAGCTGCCCCTGTGTGCTGGGGAACATATTCTCATATCCCTGACAGTAGAGATACGGCTTTTTATTATTATTAAGTGAACCCATGTTCAGGAATTTCCTTTCAAGTCTTTACACAGCAATGACCTTAGAAAGAAAGAAAAATATGATGTCTCTTGTTCTAGTATGTGCTTAGTTTGGCAGCAGCATTTCTTACACCTTGTTTGATAGATAAATATGGTCATTAACTTGATCGTATGGTCACTTTTTACTACTGTTCAAATATCTTCCTTCACAGGGCTAATGAATATGGACCCATCTTGCGTTTTAATGCCTTTCACAGAGTCGCAATATTGGTATTGAGTCCTGAAGGAGTAAAGGTATATTTTACTGTTTTCCCCTCTGAGCATGAAAATGAAAGTGATTTTTCAAAATTCCAGTATTCAGTGTATTATGCATCATTCCCTCTTCCAGGGAACTCTAGGAGTTGTAGCTTTGTGACAATAGTAGGTAACTCCTAACAACTCCCAACACCCTGATCAAACTACAACTCCCAGGATTCTTTGGGAGAAGCCATGACTGATAGAGATCTTGACTCTTTGTTGTTTTAGAGTCTTTGACTCTTTATTACAAACCACTTGAGTACATTTTTAAATATATAGTAAGTGGTCTATGTTGTTGTTTAGTCGTTTAGTCGTGACCGACTCTTTGTGACCCCATGGACCAGAGCACGCCAGGCACTCCTGTCTTCCACTGCCTCCCGCAGTTTGGCCAAACTCATGCTGGTAGCTTCGAGAACACTGTCCAACCATCTCATCCTCTGTCGTCCCCTTCTCCTTGTGCCCTTCATCTTTCCCAACATCAGGGTCTTTTCCAGGGAGTCTTCTCTTCTCATGAGGTGGCCAAAGTATTGGAGCCTCAGCTTCAGGATCTGTCCTTCCAGTGAGCACTCAGGGCTGATTTCCTTCAGAATGGATAGGTTTGATCTTCTTACAGTCCATGGGACTCTCAAGAGTCTCCTCCAGCACCATAATTCAAAAGCATCAATTCTTCGGCGATCAGCCTTCTTTATGGTCCAGCTCTCACTTCCATACATCACTACTGGGAAAACCATAGCTTTAACTTTGTTGGCAAGGTGATGTCTCTGCTTTTTAAGATGCTGTCTAGGTTTGTCATTGCATTGCTGTCAGCAAGTGGTCTATAAGAGAACTAAATTATCCCCACTCCCACCCTCCAACTTCACCACATTACAAGTAGCATGTTGATGGCCTTTCAGCTGATTCCCTGGTGGCCCGCTGGAATGCGGAGTTAACCAGGGCTATCGACTGTCTGGCTCCGAAGTGCCCTCTCCGATTGCATGGAGCCCGGACAGCCCCGTGGTTTTCTTCGGAGCTGAGGGCGATGAAACAATCGCTGAGACGGCTAGAGCGTCGGTGGCAGAAAACTCACTTCGAATCTGACCGGACACAGGTTAGAGCTCAACGTCGAGCCTACCAAGTGGCGATAGCGATGGCGAAGAAGACTTTCTTCACCGCCTCTATTGCATCTGCAGAAACTAGTAGCAGGAGACTCTTTCAGGTGGTTCGCAATTTAACGGAACCACCTTTACCACCGGGGCCTTGTAAAGACCCCAAGATCTCCTGCAACGATTTTGCGAAGTTTTTTGCAGATAAAATCACTCATATTCGGAAGGAGCTAGACACCACCGTGGGAGCAGGGCTGGGGCAGGAGAGTGCTAGAGCTCTGTCTGGTCAAGTTGTATGGAATCAATTTCAATCCGTTACCCCCCGAGGATGTGGACAGGCTGCTTGGATGCGTGAAACCAACCACCTGTCTCCTTGATCCTTGCCCATCCTGGCTAATAAAAGCAAGCCGGGAAGGGCTGGGCGATGGGCTCTGCGGGGTGGTGAATGCTTCCCTCTGTGATCCCTCACATTCCCAGATCCGCTGAAAGAGGTGGTCATTAAACCGCTTCTTAAAAAACCATCTTTAGACCCGGCCAGTATGGCCAACTATCGCCTAGTCTCAAATCTTCCATTCTTGGGCAAGGTGATTGAGCGCGTGGTTGCTGAACAACTCCAGGAGGATGCGGACCATTTGGATCCCTTCCAATCGGGATTCAGGCCTCATCATGGGACTGAAACTGCCTTGGTCGCACTGGTTGATGATCTCCGGCGGGCTAGGGACAAAGGTGAGAGTTGTTTCCTAGTTCTGCTGGATCTCTCAGCGGCCTTTGATACAATCGACCATAACATCGTTCTGGACTGTCTTGAGGAGCTGGGAGCTGGGGGCACTGTTATACAGTGGTTTCGCTCCTTCCTCCTGGGCCGTGTTCAGAAAGTGGTGGGGGGGATGAGTGTTCACTTGGGCCCTCACTTGTGGGGTGCCTCAGGGTTCCGTCCTCTCCCCCATGCTTTTTAACATCTATATGAAGCCGCTGGGAAAGATCATCAGGGGGTTTGGACTGGGTGTCCATCAATATGCAGATGATACCCAGCTCTACCTCTCTTTTAAATCAGAACCAGTGAAGGCGGTGAAGGTCCTGTGTGAGTGCCTGGAGGCGGTTGGAGGATGGATGGCGGCTAATGGATTGAGGCTGAATCCTGACAAGACAGAAGTACTCTTTTTGGGGGACAGGGGGCGGGCTGGTGTGGAGGACTCCCTGGTCCTGAATAGGGTAACTGTGCCCCTGAAGGACCAGGTGCGCAGCCTGGGAGTCATTTTGGACTCACAGCTGTCCATGGAGGCACAGGTCAATTCTGTATCCAGGGCAGCTGTCTACCAACTCCACCTGGTACGCAGGCTGAGACCCTACCTGCCCGCAGACTGTATCGCCGGAGTGGTGCATGCTCTAGTTATCTCCCGCTTGGACTACTGCAATGCGCTCTACGTGGGGCTACCTTTGAAGGTGACTCGGAAACTACAACTAATCCAGAATGCGGCAGCTAGACTGGTGACTGGGGGCGGCCGCCGAGACCACATAACACTGGTCTTGAAAGAACTACATTGGCTTCCAGTACGTTTCCGAGCACAATTCAAAGTGCTGGTGTTGACCTTTAAAGCCCTAAATGGCCTCGGCCCAGTATACCTGAAGGAGTGTCTCCACCCCCATCGTTCTGCCCAGACGCTGAGGTCCAGCTGGCGGTTCCCTCATTGCGAGAACCAGGCAGAGGGCCTTCTCGGTAGTGGCGCCCGCCCTGTTGAACACCCTCCCATCAGATGTCAAAGCGATAACTACCTGACATTCAGAAGACATCTTAAGGCAACCCTGTTCAGGGAAGTTTTTAATCTGTGATATTTTAGTGTATTTTTGGTTTCTATGGAAGCCGCCCAGAGTGGCTGGGGAAACCCAGCCAGATGGGCAGGGTACAAATAATAAATTATTATTATTATTATTATAGCTCAGGAAGGCTGCTGAATCACACACTTCCCAGCATCTCTGGTTTAATCCCTATGGTTCAAACCATTTGTTTTCCCAATAGAAGAATTCTGTACATTTGAATTAAATATAGCAGGGGTGCAGGAATTAGAATTACTAAGGAAATGGAAGGAGATGGATATGAGGGATATAATTCATTCAGAGAGCCTGCGTTCATAGATAGACCGATAACAAAAAGTTCAATTCACAGGCATTGCCTTGTGGTGCTTTCAAATTTGCCATGAAAAGCAATCATAAATTTTTACTCGGTGATTGCTGTGCTCCTCAGTGCGCTTTTTTGGAAGTAAAGTTCCCTGAGTTCAATACCAAGTAAACATGTTTAGAATTATTATTATTATTATTATTATTATTATTAATTAATTAATTAAATTTGTATGCTGCCCTATGCCCGCAGGTCTCAGGAAGGTTCACAGGATAAAATCACGATAGAAAAGCACAATACATCAGGCATGGGCAAACTCTGGCCCTCCAGATGTTTGGGACTACAATCCCCATCATCCTTAGCTAACACGACCAGTGGTCAGAGATGATGGGAATTGTAGTCCCAAACATCTGGAGGGCCGGAGTTTGCCTATGCCTGCAATACATCATCAAAATGAAAACAAGAACAACCCAATAATCCCACCCAACCCCACATTTTAAAAGGGCATTGAATGTCAGTCAGACAAAGGCCTGGTTAAAGAGGTACGGTTTTGCCTGTACAGTGGCTCCACTACTGGGTAAACTGTAGGTTTCCCTTTGACGTTCAAATAGCAAACTTCCCTGCTAAGTCCATCTTGTCTGAGTGCCAGCCTCATACCCAGTTAAACGTATCCCTCTCTTTTGGGAATATTTTTTGAATTTTATAACAAATAATGATGCAAATCTCATTCATCATGTTATTTACAATTATTCTCCCTCCCCTCCTCTGGACTTCCCTCAACTCCCCCTCTGCTCAGTTATTTAGTTTTATTTATTGTATCCTGATTTTCCTACACAAAAATAAAACCCCTTATCGTGTCTCTGAAATATCTGTTACTCAAATGAAATTGTGAAAGTTTACTCAAATCCTGCCAGTGAATCCAGTCCATTCTGTTGTTTCTGCAAATAAACTGTAAATGGTTCCCAGACTTCTTTTTGTCCTTCTCTCATAGTTTATCTGTTAGCTTAGCACCTTCTGCGTAGTTCATCACCTTTTCTTGCCATTGTTTCTTTGATGGTCTTTCTTCCATCTTCCAATATTGTGCAATCAAGATTCTTGCCGCTGTTGTAGCATACATAAATAATGTCCATTTTTCTTTTGGCAGCTCTTGATTTGAGATACCTAACAAAAAGACTTCAGGGTGTTTAACAAAATTCATTTTAAACATTTTTTTCAATTCATTATATATCATTTCCCAATATTTTAATGTGATAAAACGTTCCTTAATGTGATAAAACGTTCCTCCTTTATCACCACATATGATAAAACATTGCTTCCTTTTCCTTACATCTCCAACATCTGTTATTTTCTTTCCTAAACATCTTTGCCATTTTTACTGGTGTGACATACCATCTATACATCATTTTCATGTAATTCTCTCTTAATAGTATGCAATCTGTGAATTTTATATCAACTTTCCACAATTTCCCCCACACCCAGTTATACATATCTGAGGTTTCTCTGAATCAGCGTTTGTTGATTCTTCGTGGACCTACAGAATGTGTCTTACAAAAAGGCATTTAAAACTTTTTTTGGGAAATACTCTGACACCACTTATTGGGTGAACACGTTGAACCCTTACAAGGCAGAAAGGTGAAGACCTGCCAGCCCGCCCCAAATTTAAATACCCCAAATCCCACACTCTAAACACTGGCGAGATGGAGGAAGCCCTGTATATCTTATTCCCTCTTCACAATTTTAGAGGAGGGTATTCATTGTGACCACATGAATTACCATATTTTTCCTGCATACGACTATATTTTTTCCTAAATTTTTGAAGTTTAAAATAAGGGGTCATCTTATACATGGATAGTACATATTCTTAATTTTGAGTCCCCAAAAATAGGGGGCATCTTATACATGGGGGTCGTGTTATACATGGAAAAATACGGTATATGTGAATACGGACTGACAAAATGATTTAATTTTAGGAGTTCCTGATGTTACCACAATACCCAAAGGATTCAGTTTCATATGGACGTCTTTTTAATTTATGCGGTGTACGGTAGGTAAGATGTACATAGCTAAGATGTACGTGGCGTGTGGGATGAGAAAATTCCATTGATTCAGAAAAAGGTTGTGATCTTTAATGCCACCAGGCAGGTGAATTTCTTCAGGCTCTGTTATATGCAGAAATGGATAGCACTGAATAACTTGGGTTCAGAATTCCTTAAGGACCGCCTGAGCCTTTATATCCCAGCCCAGTCACTGAGAATATCCTGAGGAGCACTGTTCATTGTCCCTCCATCTTAACAGAGCGCTGACTGGCTTCAGCTGGAAGTTGAGTATTTTGCTTTGCTAGTCCCAGGCTAAGGGACGCAGGTGGCGCTGTGGGTTAAACCACAGAACCTAGGACTTGCCGATCAGAAGGTTGGCAGTTCGAATCCCCGTGACGGGGTGAGCTCCTGTTGCTCGGTCCTTGCTCCTGCCAACCTAGCAGTTCAAAAGCAAGTCAAAGTGCAAACAGATAAATAGGTACCGCTCCGGTGGGAAGGTAAACGGCGTTTCTATGCGCTGCTTTGGTTCTCCAGAAGCTGCTTAGTCATGCTGGCCACATGACCCGGAAGCTGTACACCGGCTCCCTCGGCCAATAAAGCGAGATGAGCGCCGCAACCCCAGAGTCGGTCACGACTGGACCTAATGGTCAGGGGTCCCTTTACCTTTACCTTTTAATCCCAGGCTATGGACCACCCTCACAGCAGAGATTTGGCAGTCATCCTTACAGCTAACTCTTGGGAGACCTACTTTATGTGGACAGGTCTATTCAGCTCTCATTCCCCCCCCCCCCCCCAGATGAGCCTGTCATTTTTAATGATTATTTTGTACACCACCTTGATATTTTCTATGAGTGGGCAGTATACACATTTTTTTAAATAAACAAATAAATAAAAAGTGCAGGAAATGCTGTGCGATCGAGGTGTCGAACCTATGAATTGGTGACAACAGACCCCCAAGTGCCAGATGGCATTTCTAAGCGGTTTCATACAGATATTGGAGCAGCATAGGAGACAAGATAAACTCAAAAGTCTAAGGTATTGACCCAAGAATATCCTATTGCCACTTTCTGGAACTGACACTTGAGGGAGTTCTGGAAGCTCTGTCAATTAGAGAAGAGGTCAGTTCTTCTTCAACTCAGTCTTGGGCTGATTAACATCCAATACCCTTTTAAATGTGTTACGGGGGGGGGGGTATTGTTATGTTTTTGTGCTTGCTTTTATTATGCATTTTGGGTTTTCTTCCTCCTGTAATGAAATTTTCTGTTTTACATTTTAGAATATTCCTTTAAACAATCTTAAAATATCAGTGACTTCCCTTCTTCTCTTTCCATGGTTCATTTTGCATAACTTAAATCCCTGCATATTTTACATAAACTATACCATTCAGTATTCCATTATTACAGTGATTCAGAACATGATTTCAAAACTGGTCCTGAAATAGTAATAAAAATTCTCCATCGTTTTTCAGATTTTTAGGAAATGGCTTGGTGACTGATCGTGATTATGACCACTGGCACAAGCAGCGGAAAATTATGGACCCGGCCTTCAGTCGCAAGTAGATATTAACTGAATGTCTTTTCTTAAGTGATGCTGCGCATTTCGGTTCATGTTAATAACCTAACCACCTATCTCTAAATGTGCTTATGGCTCAATTTGCAGATAGCACTAACCCAAACAGCATGAATGTATGAATGTGCAGGCTTTTGGAGAGGCAATCGTGACTCTTGTTGCTGCTGTGAGCTAATCAATGATTTGTCTTAGCGGGTTCTCTGAAACAGGATTCATGGTTTGTCTCCCTCCAGACAAACCATAGGCAGTGTAAAACCAAGGACAAACCTTGGTTGCAGTTTGGCGCAAGACAAATCATGAGTGTGGGTTTGGACAATATACTAAGACAAACCACAGCTTAGCTCACAGCAGCAGGAGGACCAGATGTGGAGAGGAGCAAAGTAGCCACAATCTCCTCTCTTGAGAACCAGCACGTTCATGCTAAGCTATAGTCCAAGTAGCTGTGCTGTGTTTCACCTCCATATTGGAGGCAGAAATAATTCTGTGTGTGTTGCTGGAAGCCACAGAAGGCGAGAATAACCTTGTGCTTGGGTCTTGCTTGCTTGGCCACTGTGAGAACGGAATGCTGTACTGCATGGGCCATGGGTCTGATCCAGTTAGCTCTTATATTCATTTCCACACCTTAGACAGCTTCCAGTTTGACCGCAATGTCCTGCCTTTGCTTGCTTTTATTAATTTCACAGTTACCTGATGGGCTTGATGGGGCCCTTTAACGAGCAAACAGAAGAGCTTATGAGGGTGCTGGATGAAAAAGCCGATGGAGAAACTGCAGTGGATGTGATGAGCCTGCTGAAACGCGTGACGCTGGACATCATTGCAAAGGTACTCGCCGGATGAATTTCCTGTTTCCATTAAGGAGCAGGGGATGCCTCTCATTCTGAGTCAAATTGAGTCAAAGGGCAGCACAAAGGACAAGTTTAATATGGGAGAAAAGGGTGTTGGGAAGCCCTCCCCTTTTTGGGCTAACACATAAGAGAAAGAAAATCTTACATTGAATGTCTGTTGAATAGAGCCACAGCACAAATAAATAATTTTTGCCAAGTAGCCAGAGGAATGCTGCAATTCACCAGCTCAACTTTCACCCAGCTTCATAAGACATGCAAAGCTGACATCAGAATAATAACAGTGTGTTGTAACTATTTTTTTAATTGCTGTTGCTGTTTTAATTGTATGGAATTCATGTTGGCTGGCTTTAATAGTGTTTAATTTTGGTTTCATTTTTGTATATTTCTGTGCCAGGACCTTCAGGTGAAAGGCAGGCTATATATATGTTAAGTAAATATATAACAAAATGTACACACGCATACACAGCCTGTTGTGTTTCTGACCAAGAAGCCAAGGGCTTTTTAATGTTCCTGTAACTTTTTGGGAACAAAGCTGAACCCCACAGGTATAATGTACCGAAACATTTCCTCCTCTTTGGTGTTTAAAAGGCTTGAGAAATAGAGATCAAGCTTGAACTGCAAAGGAGGATGGCAGAATGCAAAGATGTTTTAGATCCCCTTTCTTCACATTTTCAGGTAGCCTTTGGCCTTGAACTGAACACCCTGCGTGATGAGAGCACGCCTTTTCCGCATGCGATGTCCATGATCATGAAAGGACTGGGTCAGTCACGCAATCCATCATTTAAGGTCAGTGCAGGCATTTCTGGTGGAACTCTGACCCTCTCTGAAGCATACATTATTGCTTGTCAAGCTTATTCCAAGAGTCTCGGACAAATCCGTTTGGGCAACTGGCAAGTGATGTTATTACTTAGTTCTTTTGCACCCCAGCATCCCTGCGCCTCTAGATATACCTTGAACATTTTTGCTTGGGCTTGCCCTGTTCTTAGTACTTCTTTCCAGACTGTCTTGTTACAACTGCAGGACCCGCATAGATTTTGCATAGCTGTTTTATTGCTGATCAGTCAGCGATCTCTGATATGTGGGAATGGACCATTCAACACCTGCTGGTTGCTATTGCATTCACAAAGGATGCTTGTCTAAGGGATCATGAACCGCCAGTGGGCCACAGCTATCTTCTGTCTTAGCAGGTGGCTTTTGTTGACAGCTACGCCGTCCAGTAATATGTTCTTGGTTTTGCTCTGCTCTGCTCCTCATGATAGTATCTGTTATCTGTCCAGTATCTGCCAAAGTACAGGAAAGAAGTGAAAGGGGTTCAGGAGAGCTTGCTGCTGCTGCGCCGTTTTGGCAGCCAGTGTATCGAACAGAGACGCAAAGCCATCCAGAATGGGGAGGAGATCCCATTGGATATTCTGACTCAGATACTGAAGAGTGCAGGTAGGAGACTCCTCTTTTTTTTTTTTTACATATGCTTTTTATTAATTTTCTGGTTTACACAAACAAATACAATAAATTTCATCCATCGTCCACTCATTTCCTTATCTGCCGCTCTGCCAAGCCATGACTTCCCTCGCTCCCTCCAACCGGTTTTCCTTTTTCAATCTACTTCCCGCAGTCTCTTCTTATTTTCCCAGGCCACGCCGTAAGATTTATTTCGGTCTTGCTAGTGTCTTCAGGTTCCTATAGTTATTATTTATATAATCCATAAATTTACTCCAATCTCTTTGGAATTTTGCTTCCTCCTGGTTTTGGATCCTGCAGGTCAGTTTTGCTAGTTCCACATATTCCAACATCTTCGCCTGCCACTCCTCCATGACTGGTAATTCTTCTACTTTACATTTTTGGGCAAACAAAATTTAGCAGCAGTCACTGTATACATAAATAACCTTTGATCCACTTTTTCAATTTCCTCTCCCATCAAGCCCAGCAAAAATGCTTCTGGCTTTTTGGGAAAGGTATATTTAAACATCTTTTTCACTTCGTTGTAAATCATTTCCCAAAATGATTTTGTTTTCTCACATGACCACCACATGTGGTAAAAGTCGCCATCCTTATCTCTACACTTCCAGCATAATTTACTACTCATCCTAAACATTTTTGCCAATTTCACAGGTGTCAAGTACCATGGGTACATAATTTTCATTGTATTTTCTTTTAAGATGGTACGTGCTGTAAATTTTAAGTTCTTGTTCCACAATCTCACAACATTGAGTATGATGCATGGGTAGGAGACTCCTTTTGAAGGAATCATAGAATTGGAAAGGACCAAATATAGGATGGGGAACACTTGGCTTGCTAGCAGTACATGTGAAAAGCATCTAGGGCTCTTGATGGACCATGAGCTGAACATGAGTCAACAGTGTGATGCAGCAGCAAAAAATGTGAATGCTATTTTAGGCTGCATCAACAGATGTATAGAGTTCAGATCAAGGAAAGTAATAGTACCACTCTATTCTGCCTTGGACAGACCACACCTGGAATACTGTGTCCAGTTCTGGGTGCCACAATTTAAGAAGGATGTTGACAAGCTGGAACTTGTGCAGAGGAGAGCAACTAGGACAATAAGAGCTTTCTGACAGTAAGAGCTGTTCGACAGTGGAAAAGTCTCCCTTGGGAGGTTGTGGACTCTCTCCTTGGGGTTTTTAAGCAGAGGTTGGATGGCATCTGTCATAGAGGCTTCCTTTTGGGCAGGGAGGTCAGCCTCACTCTTGGTTTCCTGTCTTGACAGCTGAGGAAGGGGACTGCGATGCTGAAATTCTCCTGGACAATTTCGTCACTTTCTTCATTGCAGGTTGGTAAATCTATATTCCTTTTTTCCTTCCATCCTTTAATTATGAACTGACCCAGACCTTGCGACCATCATTTGAGGCCCTTCTTCATGGGCCTCCTATGTGAGAGATCTGGAGGGTGGCAACATGAGACCAAGGCCTTTTCTGTGGTGGCTCCCTGCTTGTGGAATGCTCTTCCCAGGGAGGTTCGACTGGCGCCTTCATTATATATCTCCAGGCACCAGGCGGAAATGTCCCTCTTCAACCAGGCCTTTGGCTAATTAAACAAACTGTGGCCTTTTAAACTGAGTGGTAGTGGTGTTATTGTTTTTATTTGTTATTACGGTATGTATTTTTGTGTTGTAAGCCAACCTGTCATCTTCAGATGAAAGATGGTATAGAAATTTAATTTGTTGTTGTTTAGTCGTTTAGTCGTGTCCGACTCTTTGTGACCCCATGGAACAGAGCACGCCAGGCCCTCCTGTCTTCCACTGTCAGACTCATGTTTGTAGCTTTGTGAACACTGTCCAACCATCTCGTCCTCTGTCGTCCCCTTCTCCTTGTGCCCTCTATCTTTCCCAACATCAAGGTCTTTTCCAGGGAGTCTTCTCTTCTCATGAGGTGGCCAAAGTATTGGAGCCTCAGCTTCATGATCTGTCCTTCCAGTGAGCACTCAGGGCTGATTTCCTTAAGAATGGATACGTTTGATCTTCTTGCAGTCCATGGGACTCTCAAGAGTCTCCTCCAGCACCATAGTTCAAAAGCATCAAGGAATTTAATAGATTGTAATAATAAAGTAATTAGATTCCCTGTCCTGCAGGTCACGAGACCACTGCCAACTTGTTGTCTTTTACCATATTGGAACTGGGACGGCAACCTGACATATTGAAGAAGTGGGTGAAGTTCGCCATTCCCTTTTATTCTTCCTTTATTTGTGTTTCTATTTTTTAGCAGGTCCCTCCTACCCATTGATGGTCCGTTGAGTTATTTTATGCACTCTGTGTATGTCTAATGTTATATAGTGGTACCTCAGGTTACATACGCTTCAGGTTACAGACTCCACTAACCCAGAAATAATACCTCGGGTTAAGAACTTTGCTTCAGGATAAGAACAGAAATCATGCTCTGGTGGCGCGGCGGCAGCAGGAGGCCCCATTAGCTAAAGTGGTGCTTCGGGTTAAGAACGAACCTCCGGAACAAATTACGTACTTAACCTGAGATACCACTGTATCCAGAAACTGGAGAAAGAAGGAAAAGGAGCTCAAGGTGGTGCACAGAGTTCTCTTCCTCCCCATTTTATCTTCACAACAGCCCTGTGAGATAGGCTAGGCTGAGAGTGAGTGCCTGGTCCATGAGCACCTAGTGAGCTTCATGGCTGAGTGAGGATTTGAACCTTGGTCTGCCAGGTTTTAGTCCAACACTCCAACCATTATACGGGTTGCATCTCCCTTCTCTCTAAATGTGTTGAACTGTGTCCTGGATTGTAACCACCCAGGGCACCTAAACTGGCTATGATTTGGGAGCAATTATTTCTTATCTCTGGACGAACCGAACCAATATGCATTTTGACTGTGTGAGTGAATTATGGTGCTGCTTAGTCCTAGGAAGGTACCGTATTTTTCGTTCTATAAGACACACTTTTCCCCTCCTAAAAAGGGGAAGGCTGTGCAGCTATCCCAGAAGCCAGAACAGCAAGAGGGATCGCTGCGCAGCGATCCCTCTTGCTGTTCTAGCTTTTGGCTTAGCTGTGCGAAGCCTCTTCAGGGCAGCGGGATGAAGGCTGTTCTGGCTTCTGGGATTCAGAATATTTTTTTTCTTGTTTTCCTCCTCCAAAAATTAGGTGCGTCTTATGGTCTGGTGCGTCTTATAGAGCGAAAAATATGGTAAATGCAGATACTTTCAAAGGTAGATGTCTGCCTTTTAGCATAATAAACAATCCACAGACATTTGAGTAAAATTTCTCATGCATTTCCTTCTTAAGACTTCAGGCTGAAGTGGACGAGGTCGTTGGGGTGAAGAGAGATGTTGCCTATGAAAATCTCGCACAGCTTAAATACTTATCACAGGTACACTTGGAGAATGGTCTGAAAAGATCCTAGATGCCCAGCCATTAAGAGTAAGACATTGGTTTTAAGATGAAACTTGAGGCCTTGTTTCACAGCAAAGAATATCTCAAAGCTCTTTAGCTGTAATATTAACACCGTGAGAGAGAAAAAATCTCAGTTTCTCGTAAGGAATTCTGACTGTGCAAAGAAATCTTACCTGCCGCATCACCCTCCAGAAGAATAAATGTGATACTGTGATACCTTTTTAACTGTTCAAACCCTGGATATGCAATGACTCTAATTCTTCAGATGCAATGGATCACAGGTCACCAGCCAGTGGTTAGGGATGGTGAGAGGGCACTGCATTAACTATCTCTTCCTTACAGCTCATTACTATGTGGTCCTTTCGTTCGGGCATGATGGAATAAATATGCCTCTGTTACTCATTTCTTGTGCACAGATCTTCTAAGGTTGTGCTTCCTTTATGCAGTGGTACCTTGCTTCTCAAACATAATCCATTCTGGAAGTCCGTTCGACTCTCAAAACGTTTGAAAACTAAGGCGTGGCTTCCAATTGGCTGCAGGAGCTTTCAGCACACAAGCGGAGGCCGCGTCGGACGTTCAGCTTCCGAAAAACGTTTGAAAACCGGAACACTTACTTCCAGGTTTTTGGTGTTCAGGAGCCGATTTGTTCGTCAACTAAGCTGTTCGAGAACCAAGGTTCCACTGTAAATTCTATAAACTGTTCTGTTCTATATTCTGTTACCGTTGCATTTTCTGAGCACTCAGAGAACATTGTTTTGATGGAGGGGGGCTGCAATCCTTTCCCTTGCACAGCATGCCAGTTTTTGCTGTGTTTGCCCTGTCTTCTAATTTTCAGTTTTTAAAGAGCTAGGAGAACTGGCAGTCTCTCCGGGGGACTAGATAACAAACTATTGCGGCTAGCCTACTTCTCGAACGTTTTGGCTCCCGACCGATCAAAACCCAGGAGTGAATGTTCTGGTTTTCAAACGTTCTTTTGGAAGCCGAACGTCCGACAGGGCTTCTGCGGCTTTTGATTGGCTGCAGGAGCTTCCTTCAGCCAATCAGAAGCCGCACTTTGGTTTCCAAACATTTCGGAAGTAGAACAGACTTCCAGAACGGATTTCGTTTGACTTCCGAGGTACGACTGTGCTGTTTCATCTTGTGAAACTTTCTTAACTGCTCATGGATGTGCTTGAAGAAAAGAGGGAGCAGTCAAACCCAGGGAGATAATTCTTGTAACACTAAACCATGGTTGGCCATTGCCTCCAAAGCAGCTCATTGAGACGTACTTCTGAGTAGGCATGTGTAGCCTTGCGCTGTAGATTTCTTTTTTCATTCCCCTTCCACAAGAAAAATACAAAGTAGGAAACTTACAGGGGAATTAAGGCTGAGAACAAGTTATTAGTTCAAATAGCCCCAATAAACTTGTGACTGAACTGACTTTCTATGGGAAGAATTCCAGATGAAAACCCAACCCTTCCATTTAACAAATCATGCTAGTTGTTGAAAAGAAACGGCTCTTTTTACCTTTACTCTCTTAGGTTCTCAAAGAATCCCTGCGGTTATACCCACCAGCTCCAGGAACTGTCCGCTGGACTGAAAAGGAATGTGTCGTTGAAGGAATCAAAATTCCAGCAGAAACCACTTTAATGGTGAGTCTTGTTTGAACGCCATGTGCTGTTATCTAACACATTGGAATTCAACACCAAACTTCCCCTGATGCAACAGACTTTTATGTCCAGGGCAATGTATGTGCTGTGATTCTCTAAGAGGATGAGAAAGCAGCAGAATCTGCTCATGGCTTGTGGTGGGGATGGTGAATGGGGAAAGGGCCTTCTCAGTATTGGCGCCCGCCCTGTGGAACGCCCTCCCATCAGATGTCAAGGAAATAAACAACTATCTGACTTTTAGAAGACACCTGAAGCCAGCCCTGTTTAGGGAAGTTTTTAATGTCTGGTGTTTTGTTGTATTTTTAATATTTTGTTGGAAGCAGCCCAGAGTGGCTGGGGAAACCCAACCAGATGGGCGGAGTATAAATAAGTTGTTGTTGTTTATTATCCTTACTGTGGCAAACCTAGGCAAGAAACATAGTAATATCTCAAAGACTGTACTGAATAATTTCTTGGTTCCTTGCACCTCTCTTGCATCTCTCTGCGATGAATAGTAATAACTGCTGAATAGGGCCATGTGTTAGGGTTGCCATATTCCTAAAAGTAAAATTCCTGAGGCCCACAAAGTTGTTTAGCTTTTTTTTTAAAGGAAACCACCAAAATTATTGAGCTTTTTTGGGGAAACCTCCCCCCCCCCCCGAGTGATTTTAAGCTTTTGAAGCTGTTTCCACTGCTCCCCCCACCGATGCCATTTTTACACCCAAAAACCAGTCTACCATGCATGGCTAAGTTAAAAAAAAAAAGTTACGCAAATCTGCTCCTTAGAATGACTAGCAGAAGCAGAATTAAATTGTGCAAGCTGTAAATTATGTGAAATGCAGGATGACATGCAAATTAACATACCTCGCAATCCTATACCTGCCTACCCTGTCAAGTAGAGGAGATTACATATTGCATATAGGATTACAATGTTCATTTCATAATTGATACAGGTTGCAGTATTGGGTTTCTGGATTGTTGCAGAATTTTTCTTCTTCTTTTAATCTCATAATGATTGGTTTTGTACCCCACTTTACCAGGCAAAATTTCCACTCAAAGCAGCTTTTAATGTCTAAAATAGCACAATAGTTTAACAAAATGACGTTAAGCTATAATGAAGCAATGAAATAATAAAAGGGGGGGAGAAAACGCTAACTGATAATTGTATGCTAGGAAATGTGTACTTAGTGGGGGTCTTCAGTGTGATCACTTATAGTTATTATTAAATGCTTTTAGTATTTCTTTGCTCACAGTTAAGTTGCCTTGAGCCCTTTAGGAATAAGGCGATGCATGTTCTGTGCAGGACTAATCGGGGAAAGGAACCAGGACTTGATTAAAATACTGTCTGCATTTGCCTCTAACTTTGAACAACTAATGTTTTTGAAGAGTCATATATACAAATGTAAACTGCTCTGTTCCCTTGGCAGTTCAGCACCTATGTCATGGGACGTATGGAAAGGTTTTTCAAGGATGCGCTGGTCTTTGATCCTGAGCGATTTAGCAAAGACCAGCCAAGGTGAGCCCCTTTGTTATTTCTTCTAACAAAAATACGTGGTGGCTGTCATTGAGACATACTGCTAATTCTTACGATTTTCAGAGGGCTTGAAGAAAATATCAGAATTTTTTGAACACCAAACACGACATTAGGACAGGTATTGAAAGTGTCTGCCGGGTAGAGGTGTAGGAAGGCATCCATTTCTATTGCAACCCATCTTCATTATTGTGGCAGTTTGCCCTCCTAGGTGTGTGAAATCATACTGGGTTCAGAAGGAAAGGGTTAACTAAGTGTAAAATGACTAACCAATGGGAACCCAAGGGGAGGAGTTAGGAGTTAGAGTTAGGGTGGTTGAGAAGTCAGTCTGGAGTTAGAGAAGAGATGGAGAGGTTAAGTCTGTGGGCTGGGCTAGTCTGATGTGAGAGAGTGAGAGAATTTGTTAAGAGGAGTCAGTCAAACAGTTGATATAATCAGTCATAAGGTATTAGGAAGGTATAGGCCAGTACAGAAACTAAAGTTAAGATACTGACAGGATTATTTTATGAGAAACCATAAACTTGTTAATGTTTATAACATAAACTTGTTTATTTGGTTCAAGTTTAACGACTGTCTGGACTCAGTGTTTTACCCGAGAGTAACGGGTTGGTGGCAGCGGGGAAGCGAGCACAGTGGTGGCACATGGATCAATAGACCATTAGCTCGACTTCCGGGTTAGCGCCATCGGCGAATGGCGGAGTTCCTCCGACCGGAGGAACTGGCTCTGTGGAAACTGGGTCTTCCCACCGCGGCGAAGGTGGGGACCCGCTAGAAATCCCAGGCGGAGGAAGCCTGGGAACGTGGGGTTCGGCAGGGCACCAGGAGCGCCCTCCCTACTCACCAGGAACCCCATTTTGGGGCTCCGGAGTGAAGTGGGGTGAGCGGCGCGGTGCTGCAAACTGATTGCTACTTTCACGGAGTGAAGCCGCACAGCAATCGCCGGAGAGCGCTGACTTTTTCCTGTGGACAGTTGGATTTAAAACAAGTACCCGTGAGTAGAAACGGAAAATTCGATCAAGAAATATCTTAATTTGGCACCGAAGCGGGACGGTTCAAAACAGGAAGTCCGCCTTCCGCTTTTTGTATATAGACTGAAGCAAAATCCTTGTAAGCTAAAGCCTGGAAAGTCGTTAAAAAAGTCTAAATTTCCTTCATTTTAAAACTACTGAAACCCCCTTGGAAGCAGGAGAAAAGGGGGGGGGTTTGTTTAACGCCTGCAGGAGAGGGAGTGAAGAAAGATAAGTTTCCACCGTCTCTAACCTGGGAACGGGGTGTCAGAGACAGAAATTTTTGGAGAGGTTCATTGACTGTGAATGGAATACTTTGACAGATAGCTAAAGAAGAGAAATAAACTGATTCCAATGTTGCCTTTTGCATTTTAAAGAAACAAAATATCTGAAAAATGAAAGTAATTTTCCTTTGTTGGACTTGCCTTAAAAAAATGGATACAAATAGAAATTGTCTCCTCTAGAGGGAGCTTGCTAAATTGTTGCTGCAGTCTACTTGAGGACTCTACAGCTGTCAGATTAAGATCGTGGGATCAGTCCTTTTTGACCTTGACCAAATATGAGCTGGGAAAAAGTTTTGGTGCTTGCTTTATGCAAGACAAGTGGTGGATTTGATGAATGAGAAAATGGATTTGATGACTGTTGTGGTTAATAACTGAACAAACAGGGAATATTGATACAGAAATCATTCAGGGACCAACTCAGGAACCTGTACTGACTGGGCAAGTGCAGAAGATAATGGAGGAGGTTGCGGTTGCACCTCAAATAATACAAATGGAGAGACCCGAGGCCCTACAGGAGCATAAGCCGCTGTCTTTGAAGATTGAAGTTGGAGTTGGCCAGGGGGAGTCTGGAGCTGAGGAGGTTTTTAACTTTGGAGAGACCTTGAAATATGCTTCTAAATATTTTTTGGACTACATTGATGACTGTGGGGAGTGGGACTGTGGGGAATGGGCTGGTTTGATGAAGGGAGACAGAGATAATTTTGGGTTGGAATCCCCCAGAGCCCTACTCCTCAATGAGAAAGGAAAGAAATTAAGAAAGAGACCAACAAAAGACAAGGAAAAGTGCAAGTATAAACAAGAAGAAGAAGATCTGCAGAAGGGACATGGAAGAGACTTAAGGGCCTCGGACATAAGATCACCAGGTTGATGGACTAGATGGAATGGACAGTAAGGACTGACACGACCCGAGACCAGGAAGAAGAGACGTTGGATGAAGAGTGGAAGAAAATTTATAAAGAAATTTTTTTCCCCTAGGGAATTAGCCTAAAATTAATGAATATTAGGGAAAATGTTGGAATGAAACTATATGACTCTAGTAGAAATGATATCAGGAGTTATGTATAATCGAGTTTTAAGCTTTATGCTTTAAAGTATTTTTTGGTAAGATAAGGGTAAATAAATTAAGGTAATTTGAATAACAGAATATGGGGAAAAGATGGAAAGGATTTGTTGAGTTAATTAATAGGTTAAATTGTTAAGATAAATTATTTAACAAAAATTGAGAAAGATGGAAAGAATTTGCTGAAATAACTAATCAAACTAGAATACAAAAAGGGAGGTGTGAGGAGGTCAATGAAACAAGCAAATGGAAGTTAAAGATATGTAACATGGGATTTGTGTCTTTTTTTCTTTCTTTTTTTATCTTTTTGCTGTATTGTTGCATATGTTTTTATGTTTTTATGTTTTGCTTTTTTAAAATGTATTGTAGTGTTGTTTTTAATTTTTTCCTTTCTTTTCTGTAACTTTGAAATTATTAATAAATATTATTATTATTATTTTTTTAAAAGGATCAATAGACCGTTAAATGCCTGGGGACCCTGTGTGATCGCCACAGTTGTGTGCAGTGCTGTCTCCAGTCTGCTGCAGTTTGTCATGTGATTAAAAAACTTACATTATTCACCTCGCTGTCTGCTGCGGTGGAATTTCACGTTGTTAATTACGTTATTCCATCCCATTCATTTCAGTGCAAAGGAAATGCAATGCACACAGAGAACCAATCATAATCAATTGCATACCACTTGCAGACTGAAAACAACAGCAACAGTGAATATTGATTGTATTTGCTGGATTGATTTCCATTCGGCACGTGGAACGAATAAGCAAACATCAAATTCTCCTGTGTTTGTACCACCAGACTATAAAATTTTCTGCCACGTGTCGGACTTTTTAGACCTTTCCCCTTACTTGTTGTGATGGGATGATGAGCTGCTTGTGCGTAAAATCGTATCCCCTCAGAGTTTGTTCAAGTCCACAAACCTCTGTCTGTGACGGAGCCCCTCAGACATGGCTACTCTAGTCACTAGCAGATTCCGACAGTGGTTGCTTTCGTAATCGCTTCCAACATAAAAGCTCCTTAACGGAAACACGTCTTCTGGAATCTCTGCGTGACAGTTTCCGGCGAGGAGTGGGTGTTCTTACAGGAGGTCCTGAAACCTCTCCACTGTTTTCGCTGGAAGTGTCTCTGAGCCATCCCTCCAGCTCAGCTCCTCTCCCCTGCTGGTTCCCTCTTCAGCTGCTGCGTCTCTCCCAACCTGTGTGAGCCCTTTCACCTCCCTGTTGGTTCCCTCTTCAGCTGCTGCGTCTCTCCCAACCTGTGTGAGCCCTTTCACCTCCCTTCCGTCCGATGGCAGTTCCCTGACACTTGTGATAAAAACTTAAGAGTTTCCAGTAAATGGCAACATTCACAAAATTATTTCAGTTATTTCGGGTTGCTATGTGACCAGGGATAAAAACAGGGTTGGCTTCTTTCTGTGCTTTTTAACAGCAGCTTGATCTGTAGAAATTAATTGACAAAGCTTTTTTGGGCGTAAGCAGAGATCAGGAAGTGACTATGACTATTGTCAACCTGCTATTAAATACAACACCTAAATGGGAAGGTTCAGTCATAAAGCAAGGTCCCAGGTTCAGTTCTCAGCATTTCCAGGTTGGGCTGGGAAATATTCCCTGCCCGAACCCCTGAAGAGCTGCTGTCAGCCAGTGTAGACAATACTGAGCTAGATGGACCAATATCTGACTCTGTATAAAGCACCTTACTGTGTTCCTATGTTCATTAGCAGCTGTAATATATGCTGTTGCTTAGAAGGAAGCCTTTCTGGTGTTTTCAAAACCCTCTTATTCTTGTCTGTCTTGTTTTTGTGATGGTTTAGGCCCTCCTTTTGCTATTTCCCATTTTCCCTGGGACCTCGTTCCTGTATTGGGCAGATATTTGCACTGGTAAGTAAAGCAGTCCACTGGTCAAGTGATGCAGAAGATAGGTCCCTTTGTTTGAATTGCATCCCCTCCTCTTCTGCTTTTATGGAGTCCTACTTACTGCTGTGGGAGGTGGGTGGCGCTGTGGGTTAAATCACAGAGCCTAGGACTTGCCGATCAGAAGGTCAGCGGTTCTAATCCCTGCGACGGGGTGAGCTCCCATTCCTCGGTCCCTGCTCCTGCCAACCTAGCAGTTCGAAAGCACGTCAAAGTGCAAGTAGATAAATAGGTACTGCTCCAGCGGGAAGGTAAATGGCGTTTCTGTGCGCTGCTCTGGTTCACCAGAAGCGGCTTAGTCATGCTGGCCACATGACCCAGAAGCTGTACGCCGGCTCCCTCGGCCAATAAAGCGAGATGAGCACCGCAACCCCAGAGTCGGTCACGACTGGACCTAAATGGTCAGGGGTCCCTTTACCTTTTTACTACTGCTGCAGGCAGGAGTGGAAGCTGAGTTAAGGTACTAGTGGAGTAATAAGATGGGAGACCCAGTGGCGATCTCAAGGATGCCTCAAATTTTTAAGTTGAAGAAGCACCATTTTATAAAGCAAAGATGAAGAACCTCTAGCCCCACCCCCACCCCCCGGTGTCGTTGGACTTGGACTCCCATCAACACGATCCAGCATGGCCAAAGCCATGGTTTCGGAAGCTGGTGTCACGGTCCGGTTCATGGGCAATCGAAGTCCTGGCTGGGGACGTCGGGACCGGGGGCAAGATGGCGGGGTGGGAGCAGGAACGGGAGTCCAGAAGCCAGGAGTCAGGAAGCCAAGAGTCCAAGGGTCAGAGAACTGGGAGTCAAGAAGCCAAGGGTCCGAGGGTCAGGAAGCAAGGAGTCACAAAGGCAGGGGTCCAAGGAGCAAGGAGTCAAGGAGCCAAATGCAGCAAGGCAGGGAACGTGTTGCTGTGGCAAAGAGCTGAAGGGAAATGCTGACCTTATATCCCTTCCCAGCTCTTGTCACCAGGTGCTGTGAGTTATCAATCGGCCTCACCTGTGAGGCCTTGCCTCTTCAGAACAAACTTAGGAAGGCCTCAGTCCTGGTCACAGGGCCTGGCTCCCTGCACGCACCCCTTCTTTCAACAACCCATAGTTAAGATCAACCACAGTTTAGGGTTCCAAACAGAATGCTAAATGATCAGCTTCCAAACTGATGGAGAAGAGAAGGGAGCATGTGAGTTCAAGGCTTACTTAGGCTCATTCTGGTCATTCTAAACTATGGTTTTAACATCTGGATGGGGGACCTCAGATTCGAGAGCTGAATGCAGCCCATCAAGCCCTTCTATCTAACAAGTGGCTGGTGGCTGACTTGCACATGTAGTTTTTAAGAGCAAGGTGTCTCCCCAATCTGGCATGCACTCTGGGAGCGATGTACTCAGTTTAGGAACTTCGTAGTCACTGTGGTTTGGGATTTGTGCAATCAGGGTGTAACCAGTGAGGAAATAGCAATATACTGGGAAATGGGTGTGAGCAATGTAGGGATCTAAGGATTTCTTAAAACAAGAAACTGTGTACAGGACAAAATTGTGTAAATTGAAGGAGCTCTTGAAATATGCTCTAGGAAGGCTCCGATTTAATTTGGATTGCAAAATACATTATTAATTAAACACGCTACAGTTGTGGGAAGCAATAATAATAATAATAATACAGTGACATCTTACTTTGTGGGAAGTTGTGTTAGCGCATAATTGGGAATTGGTAGGTTTTGTTATAAGGATGACCTTGTGGTGATTATACACCTAAAGTTGGCAATTTTGGGGGAATGATAACTGAGACAAATCAGACGTGTTAATTGTGCAGTTACCATTGCCCCCCCCCCCCGCATTTGAACAAACCATGCTAGGTTTGCTTTTTATTTTTAGAAGGTCCTGCAAGCACTTATGTGCTAAAGATGTGGGGTATTTAATGTTTAAACCATCAATAACAAGTATACAATGTTAAATTAGAACAAGAAATGGTAAGGGTTAAGATTCCACAGAAACAGTGAGTGCTTTTTCAAGTTGAGATGATATGATGAATGTCATCTTACATTTTAAAAAGCAAAAATAGCCATGCTGGTCCATAAGAAAAAGTGGTCAATACCTTTATTAGGATCAACAAAAATGTCACGAAATAGTGGCATGGCTTCATGTTCTCCAAAACGCTTAGAATCAGGTAGAATTTCCACTAAATTCCAGCTCCATTTTTCTCAGTAATCTTTGCAACCACAGCTTTAATTCAAATGCATTTTTAAAAAACTTATTTCCAACTTATTTATACAGTGGTACCTCTGGTTACGAACTTAATTCGTTCCGGAGGTCCGTTCTTAACCTGAAACCGTTCTTAACCTGAGGTACCACTTTAGCTAATGGGGCCTCCCGCTGCTACCGCGCTGCCGCTGCATAATTCTGTTCTCACCCTGAGGTAAAGTTCTTAACTCGAGGTACTACTTCCAGGTTAGCGGAGTCTGTAACCCGAGGTTTTTGTAACCCGAGGTACCACTGTACACTGCTTTTCACCACAAATGGTCACAAAGTGGTTTTCCACTACCAACAATAAAACTATCCATCCATCAAAATAACACAACTGTTCAAAACAAAAATCACAGGTTAAAAACACATTCAGTAAGTCGACATGGCACAACTTGCTTAAAACACCCACTGAGTGCAGAAGGAGAAGGAGGAGGAGGCATGTCTGATCTCAGCTTAGGATGCAGGGCCACAGAATTGGGCCCACAACACTGACTGCACACTGGATACAAGCTTTGCATCTGAGCCATGGGAAACCACTAACAGAGACTGTCCTGAAAATCTCAGATGGGGAAAGAGATATAAGGTATCAAGGAATCCAGCTGGCACTGTAAAGAAAGAATTCAGAGTGTACTTAGAGCGTGTTCCTAGTCCTTCCTTTCTGAAGTTGAATTGTTAGGCATCACATGACATCAGGCGGTCAACAAGTACCCACCAACCTGTCAGAAGTGCAGAGCGTACCTTGGTTCTCAAACTTAATCTGTTCTGGAAGTCCATTCCAAAACCAAAGCATTCCAAAACCAATGTGTGTTTTCCCATAGAAAGTAATGCAAAATGGATTAATCTGTTCCAGACTTTTAAAAACAAGCCCTAAAACAGCAATTTAACATGAATTTTACTAATGAGACCATTGATCCATAAAATGAAAGCAATAATCAATGTACTGAACTATAAAATAAATAAGACAGTATTGTAGATGATATAAATAAAAATTATTTTTTTCCCTTACCTGCACCAATGATAGTCATTGTTTGGATGCGGGGGGGGGGGGATTGTTATCCATTTCCTCAGTCATACAATCAATCAATCAATCACTCGCTTAACTGGGTTCCACACAGTCACAAAAACAAATTAACCGAAAAAGCTTCAAAAACAAAAGCACCAAACTTAATCTGTTCTGGAAGTCTGTTTGACTTCCAAAATGTTCAAAAACCAAGGCGCAGCTTCTGATTGGTGCAGGCACCCCGGAAACAATATCCGGCTTCCAAAAAACATTTGAAAACCAGAACACTTACTTCCGGGTTTTTGGCATTTGGGAACCAAGGCGTTTGAGAACCAAGGTACCACTGTACTGGATTGGGGCTGCCGGTTGCATCCTGATTTCAGGTTTAACTCTCTGTATTGTGGTCCAGGAGGATTTCAAGGCAAGTGTTCTCTAACCCCGTGTGTCCAGAGAATATATAGATATATTTGAGCACTAATTTGAGCAAGGGGGAGAGTCTTGCTGCTCTCAGTAGGTGGTGGCAGTCAGTATTAGCTGGTAAGCTTCCCTTATTGACCACCTGGGGAGAAGGGCTTGTGAAGGGACCACAAGAATGTCACACAGAGTCACTTGGAAAGACAGGATGAAGATGCAATAAAATTAAACACACTGAGCTCACTATTCTATTTTGGTTTTGTTTGCATTTTTGCTTATAACAGATGGAGGCTAAAGTGGTGATGGCCAAGTTCCTGCAGCGGTTTGAATTCCAGCTGGTCCCGCCTCAGAGCTTTAAGATTCTGGACACAGGAACACTGACGCCATTGGATGGTGTGGTGTGTCGGCTGAAGCCACGCCGTCAGATGGGCGGGGAAGAAAATACTTACTAGAATGTGTTTAAAAGTGCACTTTATACACGGAGAACTGACATACCCCCAACCCCTGTGGGTCAGGCTGCCCTCCAGTCATTCACAAGATGCTTTTATGTAAAGCAGTATCATGGGTTCACATGGTTTGAAATCAAAGGTGTGGGGCTTTGCGAGTGCCGCCAATCAGTTGATCTGGTGCTTGCCAAGAGCACAAAGCTTTGTAGATGCCAATGATCTGCTTGGACCCCCTCATCTCTAAAATGTGGATTTTACAACCCTAACCGAACAGTGTAAGACACCACAATAACTGTTGCAGTGCACTTTACAAGCTGCAGCCAGCTTCCTAGTCATTTTTGCACTTTTTTGTATTCATATAAAATTAGCTGAGAGCACTTTTTAAGTTGATGGGTAGTGGTGGTTTTCCTTTGGCCGCAGATCACCTTCTGCTGTAAACTTTTCAAAGCTTAGCAACTGTGTGAAAAGCAGAAGGTGGCAACTTTAGAGGTATTCGCTCCTGTGTGAAAACGAGGAATGCTTCTGAGAGGTTGGCACTAGTGTGTTATCATACAAAAACAAAGAATGCATACTTCTTTTCCTGTAGGACTAGGGGTGGGATTGTTGCGTGATAACGCTGAGGCCTGGTGCCTCCCCGCAAGGCAGCGTTGCCTGCGATTCTACACTCCAGTCTCCTATCACGCTGATGTGGCCCATATCCTGAGACATGAGCACACAATGAGCAGAGTTCAAAACTCCTCAGCCGTGAGGAGTAACATCTAAGCCTAATGTATTGCAAATTAAATCAATCGTAACAGAACAAAGAAAACATGGCCTCTCTGTCTCTTCCTCGGAGGTAAAGGTAAAGGGACCCCTGACCATTAGGTCCAGTCGTGACCGACTCTGGGGTTGCGGCGCTCATCTCGCTTTATTGGGCGTGGGAGCCGGCATACTGCTTCCGGGTCATGTGGCCAGGATGACTAAGCCGCTTCTGGCGAACCAGAGCAACGCACGGAAACACCGTTTACCTTCCCGCCACAGCGGTACCTATTTATCTATTTGCACTTTGACGTGCTTTCGAACTGCTAGGTTGGCAGGAGCAGGGACCGAGCAACGGGAGCTCACCCCATCACGGGGATTCGAACCGCTGACCTTCTGATCGGCAAGTCCTAGGCTCTGTGGTTTAACCCACAGCACCACCCGCATCCCTTCTTCCTTGGAGAGAGAACTGCAAAAGCAAAATCAATACAGAGCGGAAACAGCGTATCTCAATTTCCTCTCACAAGACTCCCAAAATCAGTGCTGGAATGTAAACAGACATGTGACATATAACAATCCCACACACATACCTGCATCTCGGGAGGAATGGAATTCTCAACATGGATTCCCCTAACAAGCTCCATCAGGAGAAGCCCTTCACAAGCACTTGCACTTAAGAAATGGGTGCCCCCAAATTGGTTCTGCAGCTGCTTGGGGCGAACCCCAAGAATAGGGAGGAGTACTCCATGTGCCAAGCTGAAATGCTTGCACAGATGGAGCATTGCACAGATGGCGCAAGCGTTTCATTTCCTCCGTTTTTTCCTCCTATGCAAAATTTAATCAGTTAATCAACTCCCACCCACGTGATTGGGTGATTCTGGTTTGTTAAATGGGACGCTGTAACCAGGTTTTACAATATCCATCTGTTTCCCATCTGAGAAAAGGGAGCAAGCAGTGAGACCAAGCCACTGGCGGACTAGTCCTTTCCCATTAAATCAGGGGTGGACACCCTTTGGCTCTCCTGATTCTTGTTGGACTTCAGGCTCCCATCATCCCTGCCTACTGGCCATGCCAGCCAGGGCTGATAGCAGTCGGAGTTCACAACAACATCTGGAGGAGCTCATGCTAGCCACCAATGCACTAAAAAAAGTCTGGAAACTTTCCTTGCAGCCTGTGAGTCTCCCTAACACTGAGAGAAGTTGTTTCTACAACTGCATACAGTGGACCAGTGTGATTATGCCAATGTGTTTTGCATATATACGGCCTATACAGCCTAGGACCCTCGTACCTACAGGACTGCCTCTCCTGGTATGCCCCACGGAGGACCTTACGGTCTTCAAACAAAAACATCTTGGAGGTCCCGGGCGACAGGGAGGTCAGGCTGGCCTCAACCAGAGCCAGGGCTTTTTCGGCTGTGGCCCCGATCTGGTGGAGCGCTCTGTCACAAGAGACTAGGGCCCTGCGGGACCTGACATCTTTCCGCAGGGCCTGCAAGACAGAGCTGTTCCACCAGGCCTTTGGCCAAGGCACAGTCTGACCCCCTCCTTTGGTAATCCTCATAGAACTCTAGCCCAATGGTTGCCATTAATTTGATTCTGAATTGATTTTAGAATGAATTGATTTTAGAATGTATTTTAATTAATTGATTTTGATTTTATGTAAACTGTGTTACTTTTACTGTTGTTAGCTGCTCAGAGCCCGGCTTCGGTTGGGGTGGGCGGGATATAAATAAATTATTATTATTATTATTATTATTATTATTATTATTATATCTTGTTCTACTTTGCTTCCAAGAAAATACCACTGTCCTGCAATCTCTTGGCACTACTTCCTATTCCCAGATGGACAGCTGAGGGCTCGGCCATGCTTCTTCAACGCAATTCTAAAATATAGACGTGCTTTTACCCTTGCAAGATTAAATATACTGCCTTCGGCTGTACTTGAGGGACGATTCCAACAAGTCCCACATGAAAAACGCTTATGTCCCTGTGGGAGATGGCAGTACCGAATCGGTGGCGCATGCCCTTCTGGCTTGCACTAAAAAGACTTGAGGAATGAGGTTATTGCCCCTCTTTCATTGTCCATTCCGGGTTGCCCAACTACGCCACAGTGTCCTTTCTCTTGGCAGATCAAGATGAGCAGGTGACAGCAAAGGTTGCAAGGTTTTCAGCCGGGGCAATTAGAATAAGATCCACTATTTGACTGTTGATTCAAAACACTAAGATGTATTTTATATAATTGACTTTTTAATCTTTATTCTTTATATATTTTATTGTTGTTTTACTGCTATGGCCGGTGGCTGATGCAAATAAAGATTCATTCACTCCGTGCTTAGAAAGCATGGAATGGAGTGGTTTTCTGTTTCATCCATGCTTTCTAGACAAAGGTCCAAGAAATTTCCTCCTTGCTCCCACTCCTTTGCAAGGGGAAAAAACCCACTCTTTAGTGATAGATTGGAACAAATGGCAATCTGGGGGGGGAATCTGAGCTGAGCTGGGATAGCTCAGGCAGTAGAACACAAGACTCTGAATATTAGGGTTGTGTGTTTGAGCCCCATGTTGGACAAAATATTCCTACACTGCAGGGGGTTGGACTAGATGACCCTCGTGGTCCCTAACAACTGTATGATTTTATGGTTCGAATTGCTGTTTGCTGTAATGGAGTTTTAAAGGGTGTTTACTCTGGGGGGCGGAGGGAAGCAGCAGGACGATAAGAAGTGTGGATGAACCCCAAATATTTGAACCGAGTCACTCATTCAGTTCAGAAGCAACGTGGGTTGCATTGAATTGTATAATGAACTTAGTATAATAAATGATTCTTAGTATAATAAAAGTCTAAATGAGGCTGTGTACATTGATTTTTGGGCTTAGCAGTTTTAAGTGGACTAAAGAAGATAGCGCTGGGTTCGAAAGATGTAGAATCTGTGGCAGCATAATTAAGAACTTCGCAAGGTTTTTAACAAATTGTATTCAACAAATTGCATTCAAGTTGTATTCAAAAGGTTTGAAAAGGGTTCAATGCTTTAAGAGGAGTGCAGAGAGCAAGAGATGGTGTAATTTGGTTTTGGCGATTGCGTAAATGGTACAAAAAGGAACTGGAGATTCAAAGTTAGGTTTGCAAGAGAACGGCAGCTACGGAACTGCAGTGAAAACAGAGATTGTGCAAGTTGATTTGAAAGAACTGAAGTGCAAATGTTGAAAAGAAATAAGCAGTGGAATTTGAGTTGAGGAAAGAGTGAGAATGAGGAAGTGGAGCTGAAAAAAAATAAAGATTTAAAAAATGGATCTGAAGGAAGTGGTGGATTTAAAAGAAGGGAAACTGAAAGGAGGTTTAATAAGTAGTTGAAATTATATGAAACGGAGAAAATACTGATATATAAGCTGAGAAAGCACTCAATATACTGGGCTGGATCCAGAGACTTTTGCTCAAAGAACTTCCTACTCAGAAGAACAACATATCCTTTCAAAATGTGAATGTGTGAAAAACTTTAAACATGAAACTTTTTTGGTAGTCTAATGTTAGGTCACAACTACTTTGTTATTGTTTAGTCATTTAGTCGTGTCCGACACTTCGTGACCCCATGGACCAGAGCACGCCAGGCACTCCAGTCTTCCACTGCCTCCCGCAGTTTGGTCAAACTCATGCAGGTTCGAGAACACTGCCCAACCATCTCGTCCTCTGTCGTCCCCTTCTTCTTGTGCCCTCCATCTTTCCCAACATCAGGGTCTTTTCCAGGGAGTCTTCTCTTCTCATGAAGTGGCCAAAGTATTGGAGCCTCAGCTTCAGGATCTGTCCTTCCAGTGGGCACTCAGGGCTGATTTCCTTCAGAATGGATAGGTTTGATCTTCTTGCAGTCCATGGGACTCTCAAGAGTCTCCTCCAGCACCATTCTTCGGTGATCAGCCTTCTTTATGGTCCAGCTCTCACTTCCATACATCACTACTGGGAAAACCATAGATTTAACTATATGGACCTTTGCCGGCAAGGTGATGTCTCTGCTTTTTAAGATGCTGTCTAGGTTTGTCATTGCTTTTCTCCCAAGAAGCAGGCGTCTTTTAATTTCATGACTGCTGTCACCATCTGCAGTGATCATGGAGCCCAAGAAAGTAAAATCTCTTACTGCCTCCTCTCACTACACCATACCTTTAAAACACATGGCTTCTCCCAAAGAATCCCAGGGACTATAGTTTATCCCTCACAAAACTACAATTCCAGGCACCCTTAACAAACTACAATTCCCAGGATTCTTTGGGGGAAGCTGTGCACCCTAAATGCATGGTATTGCCTGTGACCTGAGCCTTTAATATTATGCAGGAAACTTGGTTAGTTTTTGCAGCAACAGGTCTCCAGAATTGCTTGGCTGACATTAAGCACAGTAATACTGGTTTGCCATCTAGTGGTTGTCTGGATTTCTTTTTTTTAGGGTCTCAAAGCAACATGAAAGTATCTCATAGTTTCAGTGAAAACGTTGATATAGGAACCCTGGAGGAAAAGATGCTTTGAGAAGGAAGGTGGAGTTTGGGCAGATGTTAACAATACTTTTCACATATTGGGTGAGCGGAAACTTCTCACTAGTAAATAAATAAATACAGGAACACACTCATTACAGTGGTACCTCGGGTTAAGAACTTAATTCGTTCTGGAGGTCTGTTCTTAACCTGAAACTGTTCTTAACCTGAGGTACCACTTTAGCTAATAGGGCCTCCTGCTGCCACCACCGCACGATTTCTGTTCTCATCCTGAAGCAAAGTTCTTAACCCGAGATACTATTTCTGGGTTAGTGGAGTCTGTAACCTGAAGCGTCTGTAACCTGAGGTACTACTGTATTTATAAAACCAAATCAGGGGTAGCCAACCTAGAACTCACCAAATGTTGCTGGACTCCAGTTCCCATAGCCAGCGGTCAAGGAGTTGTTGACCAGTAAAATCTGACAGGCACTGTGCTGGTTATCTGTGAGGCAAAGGCTAGTAGAAAGTTACAGGAGGGGTGGGGGAGATGATGCTTTCTCTTATCTTTAAAATACATTATTGAGGTCATTAAGGAGTGGGTGCCAGAAGCAAGTCAGCTATAATTCGCACAGCTTCCTTCTCAAGCAACCTGAGACTGTGTCATCTTGCCTGTCTCTGCTTGGCCCTCTTCATACCTCTTTGGATTCTGGAAGACCTGGGGAGAGGGAGGCTGCTTGCAGCAGGAGGGGGAGACTCCCTGGCTTCTTCAGCAACTCTGCCTCTTGGCCTCCCTCCTCATCTTCCACTTCTGCCTGCGCTTCTGGGCTGCTCTCTGCCCCAGCCTCTTCCTGCTCACTAAACCCTGTTGCCTCTTCACATTGTGACATCACCTTCTCCCGGTCTGCTCCCTCTGACCACTCATCGTTGTCCCACCACCATTCCCTGGGCTCTGAGCCATCTTCCTTTGGGAGTTCACCAGCTTGTGCCTCCCACCACTTGCCTGCTTCCAGCCAGCCCATAATGTATGAGCAGGATGTTAGTTTCTGTTTGCCACTGTGCAGTGCTTTGGAGTCACAAGACTCTGTTTTGCGCTCCACACATTCCAGACTGTTGAAGTCTCACGGGCGACAGATGTAATGTTTACTGGTTTCCTGTTCCTTTGTGTTCAGTTGCTCTCTGCTTTCACAGAGAGAGGATGTATTTCTTTTCTGTCTGCGTAGCTTAGTAATAAAACCCTTTAGCCATGTAGCTCATACTATCTCATCCTTTCGCATGCTGCTTTGAAACTCTGCATAATGGGGAATGTGCCTGGAGCCTTATCAGAGGCTCAGGTTGTTAATCACGTCGGAGGCGATTCCGGAGGAGCTTGGAGGAGCTCGGTCGAACACAGGTTCCGACACAGAAATGGGGCACTGGAGGGCTGTCTTTCCAAATGTGTCCTTGTCCCATTGCTCCAAACCAACGAATGGTGTTCAGGTTCTGAGGGCAAATTAATGTCTCCCCTCAATCCAGAGGCTGCTCCTTCCTCACGGAGGGCTTCTGATCTGGAGGCATTTAGATACATATTGCCTCGGAGCTTCTTTCAGAAAGGGAAAGTCATGTTCTGGTCCACCCCCACCTCGAAAAGAATATTGTTGAGTTGGGAAAAGGTTCAGAAAAGAACCTTTCTGTTACTAATTAGTGCAAGGATTTGTTTCAATTATGTGTGTGCACAGTCTTAAGATTGCAATACTAAATACACAGAGGACAAAAAAGGTTCTCTTGAGTGCAGTGCAACTTGCTTCTGAGTAGAAATGCACAGAATTGCACTGCAAAGGAAGTGTCCACCTGAATCATAGCTGAAGGGGAGCCATCGTTTTGCGACATAGGGGAAACAATCCTTTCAGACACTGCGTATTAGGAGGGGAATTCTACAAACCCTGGAAAAGGAAAGGAAAATATTTTGATCCTTGCATAAAGCCTTTTTTTTTTTTTTTTCTTCTCCCAACATTCAACACAGCAGAAAATGGCACAAACATCATTACCTTTAATCATCTTACTTCTGGGTCTATACAATCCGGGAAATGTGAAGCTTTAGGCCAACCTGGCCTTGACTCAATGTTTTGATGTCCTGGTTTCCTTCCTCTGCATGATGCATTAAAACCATACTGGCCTTGACAGTCCTTAGTCTGGATTTCCTGACGGTTTTCTCAGATTGAGTCATGTCTTGTGGGTTCTTTACCTACTTCCCTGCGACTCGTGGTGTTTCAGTTTTCTAGTTAACAGCGCAATAAAAATGATCGGATGAAAGACTGAATGTGTTTGGGATGCACGGATTCAGGTTTACAAGGGGGAAAGTCAGGCTGCCCCAGATTTGATTACTGTCCCAGCCCAGCTCCCCCGTGCCAAGGGGCTCACAGGCCTCACAGTGCCACTGCTGCTACATCACTCAATTTAAAAAGCACCAACTTCTAAAATAAGGGTTCCTAAACAACCAGAATGTGATGGGCTCAAACAGGTTTTTATCTTATTAGCAGGTTGCTGGAATTGGGGGGTGCAAAACCTGAAAGAAGAAGAGAACACATCCAGGTGGTTTCTTGAGAGCCAGTGTGGTGTAGTGGTTAAGAGTGGTAGTCTCGTAATCTGGGGAACCGGGTTCGCGTCTCCGCTCCTCCACATGCAGCTGCTGGGTGACCTTGGGCCAGTCACACTTCTTTGAAGTCTCTCAGCCCCACTCACCTCACAGAGTGTTTGTTGTGGGGGAGGAAGGGAAAGGAGAATGTTAGCCGCTTTGAGACTCCTTAAAGGGAGTGAAAGGCGGGATATCAAATCCAAACGTTTCTTCTTCTTCTTCTTCTTGCACGGTGAGGGCACGACTGTTCTGCTGCAGTAGACACCCCTATGAATCAAGGTGTTGCATTACTTGCAAAGTCAGACATCTGAAGGCATCTGAAGGTAGCCCTGCTTAGGGAAGCTTTTAATGTTTAATAGGTTATTGTATTTTAATATTCTGTTGGAAGTCGCCCAGAGTGGCTGGGGAAACCCAGCAAGCTGGGCGAGGTATAAATAATAAATTATTATTATTATTAGTCAGGTATATATAGTTATAAAGAGAGCAGCACACCTGGAAGCCTGCCAAGCAACTTGCTAAACAGCACTGAGCCAATAAGATACGTGTGGCTATGATCAGTGCCAGATTTACGTATAAGCTAAACAAGCTATAGTTTAGGGCCCCACTCTCTTGGGGGCCCCCAAAAAAATGTAAAGGGGGAAAAACTGGATGTACATTTCCAAAATATAAGATAAAAAAACAAAATAAAACCTACATATAGCAACAGTGTTTTGTGGGCTCCTATTTGTTATGTGCAAATGGCTTTAGATACCTATTAGGTCCATAAATTACCATATATAGCATCTATTCAGTGACATTTGTTGTTGACAAAGGACAGCAAGACATATAAAGGGCCCCATTACCTTCAGTAGCTTAGGGCTTCATCAAACCTAAATCTGGGGCCCTGGCTATGATTACGTACAAACAATGCTCAGCAAATGCAATGTTGTTGTTGTTTAGTCGTGTCCGATTCTTCGTGACCCCATGGACCAGAGCATGCCAGGCACTCCTGTCTTCCACTGCCTCCCGCAGTTTGGTCAGACTCATGTTTGTAGCTTCAAGAACACTGTCCAACCATCTCGTCCTCTGTCGTCCCCTTCTCCTTGTGCCCTCCATCTTTCCCAACATCAGGGTCTTTTCCAGGGAGTCTTCTCTTCTCGTGAGGTGGCCAAAGTATTAGCCACAGCAAATGCAATAAACACCAGTTATTGGTGCTGCGATTGCCATTTCTTTTACATGGAAGCACCTTCAATAGCAGTCACTTTGGAGTAGGCATGATTAAAACTGTTGTCACATTGCATGCTGTTGCAATCCTGTCTGGTCCATGGGCCAAATTTGGTGCTCTAGGCCTCCCCAATTTTTCTTGTGAGGCTGTTTCCCCCAAACCACACATTTTCCCCATAACAGATCTACCTGAGGGAGAGATGGTCAGGTAGCCAGATTAGCTGCTTGTGCAGCCAGTCCCTGCAGAAAGCAGAAGTAATAGGGACCTCCATCTTGCTTGATCACCATCTCCCCTCACCAGTACAGGCCAACCTTTGGCAGTGGGGTGGTGGAACCCACTTGCCAATCACCCCATCACATCATTGTCAGATGACTGACAGGTGGGTGGTCCCAAAAGATCCCTAACTCCTGCTATGCAGGTCTACTTAAGAGGTAAGCCCCACTCACCTCAGTGGGCATTATTCTCAGGTAAGTGTGTATCGGACATTGATTTCTCCGCCACTGACAAGTCCCACCTTTCATTTATATGAAAAGTTTCTCATAGCTGTCGAGATAATCTTTAAATTGCGTAGACAATGTTTCAAAGGCCAATAATAAGAATTAAACAGACACACACCTTTTTTAAAAATAAGCGACAATTGTAAATATTAAAAGACCATCTCCAGATTTTCTGAATTACAATTTTGAGAGAGGAAAACAAAAACACAGAGGAATACAATTTTCTGCATACCAGCTACCTGGAAACATGAGCTGGTGAAGTGTTAACTGTTCATCACAAGCAATGCTATGGTTTCTTGCATATTAGCTAAAGGTAAAGGGACCCCTGATCATTAGGTCCAGTCATGGACGACTCTGGGGTTGCGGCGCTCATCTTGCTTTATTGGCCGAGGGAGCCGGCGTATAGCTTCCGGGTCATGTGGCCAGCATGACTAAGCTGCTTCTGTTGAACCAGAGCAGCGCACGGAAACGCCCTTTACCTTCCCATTTATTACCTTACCTATTTATCTACTTGCACTTTGATGTGCTTTCGAACTGCTAGGTTGGCAGGAGCAGGGACTGAGCAATGGGAGCTCACCCCGTTGTGGGGATTTGAACCGCCGACCTTCTGATCAACAGGCCCTAGGCTCTGTGGTTTAACCCACACCCTGCTGTTTATAATGTTTCCCATCAGTTACCTTGGGTTATAAGACCTTGCATCCACATTAACAGTCATGCATCTTTCAAGCACTTAAGAATTTCTGAGCTTGGGTGGGATATTCTCCATGATATTTCAGTTATTTCTTTGTAAAACGTGGACCACAGAATATAAATCCTTACATCAAAGAATAATATTAAATCACCATGAGATGTTTGCCACGTGATCTTATTTTTAATCCAGCTTTCCAACACAATCGTTCTCTTATTTACAATGGAAACCTTTAAAAAAAAAAAAACAGAAACGAATGCTGGCTAGTTACATATTACTTCCATTTGTAAAATGGCAAGCTTTCACTGACCACAGATGTGGTCAGTTTAGAGACTGATGTACTGCTTTTGTACATCTGGTATACACAAATAATTGGCTAGATCCAGACTTTATTCATGATTAAGCGGTTGAAATCAATGGGAGATGCCTAACTTAAATCTCATTGACTTCAATGAGTCTACTCTATGGAAGTGTAAGTGGAGAGTGAATGGAAACTGATAGCTGGGGAATATGATGCTCTGTTAGGTGAAGTCAGACAGAACTGCTTCCAGATGGGGGCTTAATACTGTAAACATGTGGTTCAGGTAGTGCAAACAGTTTTCTGGCATCAGTCTCACCCTCCCCACCCCGAATTTATCATAAAGGTAAAGGTAAAGGGGCCCCTGACCATTAGGTCCAGTCGTGACCACCTCTGGGGTTGCAGCGCTCATCTCGCTTTATTGGCCAAGGGAGCCGGCGTACAGCTTCCGGGTCATGTGGCCAGCATGACTAAGCCGCTTCTGGCGAACCAGAGCGGCGCACGGAAACACCGTTTACCTTCCCGCCGGAGCGGTACCTATTTATCAACTTGCACTTTGACGTGCTTTCGAACTGCTAGGTTGGCAGGAGCAGGGACCGAGCAACGGGAGCTCACCCCGTTGCGGGGATTCAAACCGCCAACCTTCTGATTGGCAAGTCCTAGGCTCTGTGGTTTAACCCACAGCGCCACCCGCATAAATATGAATTTATATTTTTCACCAAAAGGGTAATCCAGACTGAATGCAGAGGAAAGGTGGACTGGCATTTTGAGGCCAATGACATAGTGCAGGGAAAAGCTTGCATGCCTTAGAAACACCCACCCCATGATAAACACTAGTCTGAAAGAGATAGGGATATGGTATCAAATATTTGTTAGGGAGAAGCAGCCAAAATTGTTGAGCTTTTTTTAGGGGGGGGCAGAGAGCCATCTGTGTTAAGGGTGCCGAGAGCAATTGAGGAAAACCCTTTTCATCTTGCAGAGCTACATTTTGCAGAGTGGTTTTAATGAGCAATCCCTGTTCCCAGAGAATTCTGGGAAATGCAGCTCTCTGTAAGGAACAGGGGTCTCCTAGCAGCACTCAGTCCCCACAAATCTATGCAGGAAGCCACGATGGTTCAAAGTGCTACGACGCTGATTTAAACATCTAGTGTGGATGGGGCCGTAAGTCTGGATCTAGCCATTAGGATTTCTAAACCAAGGTGTGTTAATTACTCATTAATGGTGTGGGTTTGCTTGTTTATTTGACACAACAAGACTTGGTACTATCCTGTGATTCCACTCTCCCTACTGTTCAGTCTCGAAAACGTCTTCGTGACTACATATGACTCCCGCGTCTTCTTTGTGGGAGCAATTGTGCCTCCCAATGTTTGCGTGGGAGCATTCCAGGAGCGTCTTCTCACGCCCTGTGCACTGGACGTCATCAAGGAGAATGGGAAGCGAGTGCCCCTCCCCGAATGCCGCTTTCTTGGTTGCCCTGATCACAAAGGCAAAGCCCAACTGGCGGCACACGACCGCGGCTGCCTTCGAGTTCCACAAGTCGTCGCACACGGTGCCCCATTCTCCATTGATAAAAATCTCAACCCTTCCCCCATCTTTCCCCTTCGCGTTGCCGTCCATTATCCGGACTGCACCATTCCGTGGCTCCAGGGGAGCACTGGTGGGCTTCTTCCTCCTCCTCTGGCCTCTTCTTCCACCGGCCCTTCCTCCCTTCCTGGGCTTTGGGGCTCTTGTTCTCGGTGCTGCCGTCGTCATCTGCACTCTGTTCTGGTTTCTCATGAGGGTCAAGAGTTGCTCCAGCCAATCTGGAGTTGTCGCTCGAGGAGGTGCTGCAGTTGCTCTGCTCCTGGTTGGAGCTCTAGTCGTGGCTCTTAGCTTAGGGCGCTGCGTTGGCTTTTTAATTATAAGCTCTAGAGTGCAAAAACAGAGATGTGGGTCAGCATTTTAAACAGACCCCTGAAGACCCTGGGTCCAGAAAGCATCCTCTGCATCACTGTTAGGAACAAGCCAGGAATTGCCTGGAATATTCAGGACCCAGGAGATTCAGATCTTCTGAATATTGAGCGTTCATCCCGATTTTACATGGGTTTGTGTGTACCGTGGTATTTTATGTATTGGGGGGCCGCCAGGACAAGACAGTGGTACCTCGGGTTAAGAACTTAATTCGTTCCAGAGGTCCATTCTTAACCTGAAACTGTTCTTAACCCGAAGCACCACTTTAGCTAATGGGGCCTCCTGCTGCTGCTGAGCCGCTGGAGCACGATTTCTGTTCTCATCCTGAAGCAAAGTTCTTAACCCGAGGTACTATTTCTGGGTTAGTGGAGTCTGTAACCTGAAGCGTCTGTAACCTGAAGCGTCTGTAACCCGAGGTACCACTGTATAACACCAGTCCTAAAGGATCTTCACCGGCTCCCAGTACATTTTCGAGCACAATTCCAAGTGTTGGCACTGACCTTTAAAGCCCTACACCCATTCACAGAAATTGGGTTCTTATTGGATAAAGGCGTGGAACAACACTGCAGGAGAGCTGGGGTGGCCTGCAATGGCACAGGGGCAGGGGCCCAACCAGTTCTATGATTCTATGGAGCCTGGAGCCAGCTTCTAACAGGATCGTATTTGCTAGGCTGCAACTGCTCCCCTTTACCGAACTGCCACACTTGCCGCAGGAAAACCCACATGGCTAGCTTGGAGGATGTGGCAATGGCATTATTATGCCAACACCGCAAGCGGAAATGCAGGCACATGTTTCTGCGGGCTGGGATATTTCTCTCTCAAGATTTCACCGTGAACCAGTTCAGTACACCGCCTGCCATCTACCCGCTCTTCAGAAAGCATCTCAAACGCATTGTTCCTTTCCTTTCCTTTTTGCTGTACCCTTCATTACTACTTCAGATTGGCTCATTACAGCCTGTGGGAGAGCCAGCTTGCCTAATATGCCAGATACGCTCATCCATTGGTGGCTGAAAATATCGAGCATTCAGAGCCTATTCTCTTCCGTAATTGGAATGTGAATAAAGGGAGAAGAGTTGCTAAGGGCAACCCATGACACATTCTGCGCAAGGGGACGACGTCGAACCTTTTCCTTTTCAGTTCTTAATGAGAAAGGCAGCAGGAAGAAGACCTATTTCCTTTTACCATCACAGGTTCCAAAAGCTACTGAGCTGTTTTCTCCCTGCTATTTTTCCCCCCATTCATCAGCCTCAAGATCTAAAGAAACAGTCTTCAAAGGGTGTTCAGTGTTCATGCCACAGTTGCAAAGAGCCTATGGGAATCTCCTTGATTCGAGCAGCATATTTTTTACATGACTTTCACAACTATTAGAGTGATGTTTCCTCTAAGAGAAAAGACCCACTTCTGCTTCGTACTACAGAATATGTAGACTGAAGAACTTTTTACTGGTCATAACATGGATGAGTATTTTATCCACAAAATGAGAATGTCTGTGCAATTCTTCTATAAATTGCCTTTTGCCTTGTTGAGACTAGCACTTCACAAGAAGCTTCAGAGTAAAACTTCCTGTATGTTTTAAATTATGGTTGCAAATTTTTCAGTGGTAATTTTATTGTAATTATATTATGAATATAAATAAATATAAATAAAACATTTTAGTGCAAAGGCATCACTTTTTGCAAATGAAAGAGATTTTGACCTTGGAAGGCTTGCAGTAAATGAAAACGTCGGCAACTCACCCTAGGAAGTTTTGAAAGGACATTCATTGTTTCGTTTGCACTACAAATGCAGAATGAGCAAACAAAATTCAAACACCAGCAAAGAGGGCCAAGGCAGCCATTTTTATTTGTGAGAATGGAGCTCAACTTGCCATTTGAACGGTCAGTTTTCTTGCATGCAGCCATGCTCGCTTCCTACTTGAAACTACAAGCTTGAATGAAATAGAATTTCTTTTTGTTTTATGTTCTAAACTCTGCATCCAGTTTCTTGGCTTGTAGCCTCCATCAGCCCCCGGCCCCTTGAAACCAGAAGCGTTCATTAAAAATTCTTGTGCGAACCCGAACTTTGCCCCTCAGAAATCCCCAATGTGAATATTCATAAATAAAATATATGCGGCACTCACTTTCCTTTGGAACAAACTTTGTGAGCTTGCCTTTCACTTTCACTGGTAGAGGCTCAACGCGGCATTTCCCAGGCGGTGCTCTCCTGATAAAAATAGGAAACAAAAAAGAGATTATTATAATGAAGCCTAGCCCTCCTCCCCCTCATCCCCCAGTGAAATGTTAATGGTTGTGAGAAGAATAAAGACCACAGAACAAAAAATCAAGCCCTAAGACTTGATTTTTTTCTTTCATATCAGAGAATAAACATTTTGGAGCCAAAACGCACTGTGTCTTACCGTGATGTGTCAACCATTTTGTAAACTACACCATTGGGAGCGGTGGCACTCGGGACTCCGGTTGACATAAAATAAAGTTCTCCTTCATGAAAAAAACAAAAACAAAAGAAGGCGGCATGAATCTTTCACATGTATCCTGGGTGCTCCACCGAGTAGTTTACTATCACAAAGCTAAGTAGCACAATGAAGTTTGTCAGCAGCAAACTCCAAAACCAATGCATGGGGATTTCTTATGCATTCTCCAGATTATCAATTTGATTTAAGTAAATGAAGACTTGTGTCGTGATCTGGGAACTAGAGACCTTTTCAGTGGTGGCCTCGTATCTGTGGAATTCACTCCCAATGGAGGGAAGTGTGAGACCCGCCCCCCTGCTCCACTTTACTGGATTTTTTTTAACCAGTTCAGTTCAGCATAGCAAGAGAGTTCCCCTTCATGTATGTTGAAACTACTACCTTATTTTCAGATAGCCTTGTTTTGCTTCCAGGCATAGGTAAAGGTAAAGGGACCCCTGACCAGTAGGTCCAGTCGTTGACGACTCTGGGGTTGCGGCGCTCATCTCACTTTATTGGCTGAGGGAGCCGGCGTACAGCTTCTGGGTCATGTGGCCAGCATGACTAAGCCGCTTCTGGCGAACCAGAGCAGCGCATGGAAACACCGTTTACCTTCCCACCGGAGCAGTACCTATTTATATACTTGCACTTTGGTGTGCTTTCAAACTGCTAGGTTGGCAGGAGCTGGGACCAAGCAACGGGATCTCACCCCGTCACGGGGATTCGAACCGTCGACCTTCTGATTGGCAAGCCACCTGCGTCCCGTTGTTTTGCTTCCAACCTGATACCAAATGGGTGGTTTCATGTCTATTATTGTACTGCACACCTCATACAGCTCCTAAGCTCCAACTCTCTACCTTGAGACTCTCATTCCTTAAAATGACATCCATTTAATGGCTATTTCAGTGCTATCCCGTTTTTAAAAACGAATGGTCCATCTAGTTGTTCTCCATCATCTGTTTGCAGCAAGTGCCATCTATTTGAGTGCCCAGAACCACCACCAGCCCTCAGTATAGCTCAGGGATCTTGGCAAAGAGTCACAATTGCAGACGTCAAGAAACTTCGGTTTACAGTTGCTGGGAGCCAAAACTCGTAAACTGCAAAATTGTGGATGCTGCTGCTTAGCAACAATGCTCAACACTGATGGGGTGACGCTTTTGCCTGCATGTGCTATGGATTGTAAAATGAATTTTCTCTTATAAACCCGTCTTGAGCGAATCATGCTGTAGATCTAATCAACAGAACTGCCCAAGGGAGCGTCACTATCTCAAAGGTCCTTCCTCTTGTCCCTGAAGCCTCCAAATCCACGGACCAAGGAATCATCCACATAACTGAGCACCCTCGGTTTTATTTGTCATATAGAAACTCCGACAGTGGCTATTATCATTAGTTTCCAATTTCGACAACTGAAAGCTTATCTTTTTCAAGAGTTAGCCTTAACCAATGAAACTGATTGAGGGTTGATTTGGGATCACGCTTCTTCATGAAATGCACAAGTAATTTATGGAATTCATTATTGCGAGATGTGCTGATAGACTTTTTTAAAAAAGAAAAGAAAAAGAAAACCCACAATGATTAGATAGATTCATGGAGAATAGAAACAGGGGCTAGCTAGGATGAGCCGAAATGGAACTTTCATGACTTAGGGCATCCCAGGGGCCAAAGGACAGGGAAGTTCTTCCTCTCCAACTGCAGAAAGGGAGGCAGAGGGAGAGATCCAGAGATACAAGCAATCCTGTTGCGGGGTAGAGAAACCTCTGCTGCCATTACCACTTCACTGTCACTGCTCCAATGGAAAAAAATATGTCATCCCAGGGTGGGTGGAAAACCTGCAAAAAGAACTGTAGAAGAAAACACCATCCAAATGAAGAGGATGGAGGAGAAACACAGGCACCTGACATGGCAGAAGCTCTCCAGGGGTATGAGAAGGAGCCTTTCCAAGCCTTGCCTGGAGAATGACAAGGACTGTACCTGGGCAAAGCATGTGCTCTGCAACTCAACTGTGGTCCCTGCCCAAATCATAATGGTGTGTTGCTGTAACAAATGTGGGGGTTGCTCGTGCGCAAGTTGGTGCCACTCCTGGCTAGGTTGCCTTGTTAAACTTTTCTGTCTGGACAGCCCCTGCACTTCGTGGCCGCTCAGTCGCTAGCAGAATCCGTTAGTGGGCATTTCTTAAACCTTTTCCAGCATAAAAGTTGTTTGACTCCAAGTCTCCTCCTACTCTCTCTGCGCAGAAGTCTTCTGCGCAGGGAGGGCGTGGGTAGTGGAGGACCCGTGCTCTCCTCGCTGATCTCCGGCGAGGAGTCCTGGAGCCCCCTCGCCGATTCCCCCATCTGCCCCCCTTTATCCTTGGTGTTACGCTGATTTCTTTCCCCAGATGGTGAGCTGCCTCTCCCCCTGCTGGGCCCTTCTCCAGCATCGCTCGAGAGCCTAGCCTCCGCCTCTGGCTCCGATGTCAGTTCCCTGACAGTTGCCAAACTGTCTTAGCAGTGAATACGTCTTACAGGAGAAAGGCGATGGAGTGGAGAGAATAAAAGCTTGATGGATCAATGGCACACAGTTGCAGCGGACCTAAGGTGGGCTGAGGAAGAAGGCTTTGGAGCAAAGAATCTGGCAACCGAGGAATGAAGAATTACGTTTGTCCAAAGAGAAGACGAAGAAGAGTTTGGATGTGATATCCCGCTTTATCACTACCCGAAGGAGTCTCAAAGTGGCTAACATTCTCCTTTCCCTTCCTCCCCCACAACAAACACTCTGTGAGGTGAGTGGGGCTGAGAGACTTCAAAGAAGTGTGACTGGCCCAAGGTCACCCAGCAGCTGCATGTGGAGGAGCGGAGACGCGAACCTGGTTCCCCAGATTACGAGTCTACCACTCTTAACCACTACACCACACTGGCTCTCTGAGAGGGTTAGCCACAGATGATGTTTAGCAATTTAGTGCTTACCGGCCTCGTCTTCAGCAAAAGAGATGATATACTGATAGTAGTTATTGATAAGTCCAGGAAACATGCAGGTTTGACCTGTTCCCATGCATATTTCATTGTACTGCCAATCCCCAGTTGCTCGATTCTCTTTCAAGGACATGAGGCGCCTGTAAGACAAAAAGCAAATGAGGAGCCCGGGGTGGGGCAGGTGCTTATTAAGTTGCATAAAACAATTTGAGAGAGAACTTTGTTTACGCCTGCTCCAATCAAGATGGTTAAATGTGTTTCCTCCCTCTCTCCAGAACACTGGGTGCCTTCAACAGCAAATGGGAACTGAAGATGCACATAAGGACTGCCTGCATTTCTGGCACAGCTGAAGTGCACTCCTGAGCCAAATTAATTTGCAGCTCTGACCGCGAGTGATGAACATCATTTGCATATTGAACAGGGTGGGTGTCAAGCTATAGCTGAAGGTCAGTCTTTGTTCTACAAGGATAAGAGCATAACGAATTTTTTACCTTTTAAATTGTCTCCTTATTTCCAGTACCTAAACCCTACTGCCATCTTGATCATGAGGACTAGATACCTTTTTTTTTTAAGAGGCAAAGGTGGGATTCCTTGGAGCACATAAGCCATGGGAACTTGCACATGAAACCCATAGAATATATATTGCTAACTCCAGTTAAACATTGGCATATAACTGGTCTATTAAAGTTAGGACACTCGTGAGCTATAAAACCATGAAGGCTAGAAAGGCCACCTGTAATTGGAAGCAAAGTATTAAGCACTGAGAATATATCAATCTGTCAAACACTAATTTAACTAAAGACAATTTTTTGAAAACATTTATGGCAGGGCAAAATATTCAGATTCCTCTGGACTTAAGTTAAATATAAATCTGACTGCATGCAAAGCATGTTTACACATGGAACAGCAACATTAACCCCTCATCCTACTGTTACCTTCACAGACCTGAACATTCGTACGAATATAAAGACATAGGCTAATGGGATACACGAGTCAGTTGTGGTAACATATTAGTGGCTGAACACTAAGCAATCATTGGCAGATTGGTAAGTGTTTACAGTGCGATAGGTTTTTGCATCTCATACTTGAAAATTCTGAGAGGAGGAATTTCCTTCAGTATGCATTTAAAGCCACAAGATATATATAACTGGCGCTTTCTGAAACAATGATGTAAAGCAAAAACAGAGTTATCCTTCAAAGTTCATGCTGATCTGAATTTTCAAATGCATTTTTCCAGCCAACAATGTTTACCCCAAAAATGCACATATTAAGGGAAAGTCTGCATTAAAATGTGCTTATTAGGAGAATTCCACATTAAACGCGGATGGATTTTCATGAGGATGTTCTTTAAAAAATATAAGTAAAATAAAATTGCTGCAAAATGTAGAGAACTGAATTTAAGATGGGGGGGGAATGAGGAAACTGGGAGATATGAAATTGACAGATCCTCTCATCCCTGATTTTAGCTGGAATTGTTTGTTGCTCATCTCATGGCCGCTCTGCCTGTCACTTACCCGCTCATAAAATCTCCAAATATGTACACCCCATTCAAGTTTGGAGACTCACAACCCCGATAGACATAGCCTCCCGTCACCGACTTCCCTATTTTGTGTGGATAAGCATATATGGGGAGAACATCATCTGCAGAGTGGGGAAAAGAGAATTATCATGCCTGGAGGATGCAAATCAGCCATTCATATATCACAGTTCACTGAAGGCTGGAAAGCATCACACTGAATTCTGTTTCTTATTCTACAGCCTGCTTTGTTTTAAACCCCCATAGAGTAGAAACAGTGTTAGAAACTGAGATGTGAAAGCTAGGAGCTAAATGGCGCCTTAAACTTAGGTTATGGGCACAACAATGGAATATCTAGGCTCACTTTTTTAATATAACAAGAATACAAAGCTGAAAATGAAGGAACTGCAGCTAAAATATTATGTTCATTTTTCACATGGACTAGTCCTTCCCCTGCCCACCCCACCCCCCTTATATTCTTAAGAGGGTCTCTTCTCCAGTGTTCAGAAAGTAGCTGGAAGTGGGGAGACAGAAAAAGGTCCTCCTTTCCTTCCAATCTGCAGTTTTAAATATGAAATCTTAGGCGCAGTACTGCTCCCAGAGCTCAGAAACGGCTCGCGATAATGAAATTCCCTGTCGTAAAATGAGCCTAGAACAATGGGAGTTTCGAACACTGAGTAGAAACAAGAAGGTACCGTATATTTTACAGAACCTTCTTCCAAAGACTGCAGCGTTTATAGGGCTCCTCTACCAGCAGAAATATCAGGGTTTTATTCCCCAAATACAACATGGTTTAACTCAAAATCCAGTTTATTTTACCACTTAAAAGTCCCCTAAGTAATGTTGCATTGTCTACTTATTCTAGCTATGGATGTTCCTAGCATGAGCAGGAACATAGGAACCTGCCATATTCTGAATCAGAGTAAGTCCATCTGGTTCAATATAGACTACACAGACTGGAAGCAGAGAAAAGTCCCAGCCTTATCTTGAGACACTAGGGGACTGAACCTGGGATCTTGCACATGTGCTTTGCCACTGAGCTACAGTCCTGGCACAAACATTTCTAAGGCAGTGCGTGGGAGCTGGTTTTGAGGCTCTGCTGCAACCTTTACGAATGTATAATACATCATAGCAACATTTACGAACTACAGTGGTACCTCGGCTTACAGACGCTTCAGGTTACAGACTCTGCTAACCCAGAAATAGTACCTCGGGTTAAGAACTTTGCTTCAGGATGAGAACAGAAATCGTGTGGCGATGGCGCAGCGGCAGTGGGAGGCCCCATTAGCTAAAGTGGTGCTTCAGGTTAAGAACAGTTTCAGGTTAAGAACGGACCTCCAGAACGAATTAAGTTCTTAACCTGAGGTACCACTGTAGAGCCAATCAGCGTTTTGTGTGGGGCTTCTGTTCCAGACCCCTTCCCCCCATGCATCGGCAGCGCATGTGTAAGCCCGCCACTTTCCATGATGTCTTTATCTACTTCCAGATTCAGCACCATAGGCATGTGCACAATCACGTGGCGTTCAGACACTCCTAACCTAAGATTACCAGATTTTTTTCCCCAAAGAATCCGGGGACACTTTTCAACTTCAATGGATTTTGTATGGGGACTGATTTGTAAATCCAGGGACTGCCCCCGGGAAACGGGGACGTCTGGTAACCTTATCCTAACCGGGAGTTCCCTATATTATAAACTGATACACACACAAATGTGAAGTCTGCCCCAGACCTCTTGGCTTCTATAAATAAGTCGCAGCAGCGTCTACAAACAATTTTTCACAGCGGAAGGGCACCCTGTTGGATCATTCTGCTTCTTCCAACAAGAATGGGAGGATAACCTGATGAAAGAATACCAGCCTAAATGCACATGATGTCTGAGCTCATAATGGCTTCTTCACTTATAGCACCATCTGATTTATTATTTCAATCTGGTGAGAATTAAAAGGAGAAGAAAACTGCAATACTGCTTATGAGCGTCAGTCATTGGGATACAGACCCATGCTGACATTCATCCCTTTTGTGCAGATACAGTTAGCCAATTTAGTTCAGATGACACTCTAGTCTGAAGCCTAGACTTGCATGCTGGCCGACTGATCTGAAGTCTAGATTTTACAACTTTTCTCTACTGACCTGGCTCAAAGTTTAAGAAGCTGGCTTGTCTTCTAAGCAGCAGTGACAGAATTTTATAAAGGACAAGGTAGCTTTTTAAAATCAACAAACAGAATGACTAATCTGTGCATGGGATTAAGAGTTTAGAAACTAGGTTTTTATTATTCTAACTAGACTGTGATTCTAAGCATTCTGGAATCAATTTCCAGTGAAATCAACGAGGCTTACTTCCAAATACATAGGTTTAGGCTTGGGACTCCCGCATATTTATCCCTTATGGTAAAAAAATAATAAACGCATTTCCTAGGGAAAAAACAGAACATGGAAGCCGGTAATATGTGCCTCTGTGGGATTTTCATTAAGTAATAGTCTGGACAGCAGAGCTAAATTTGTCTTTTCCACATATTTGTCGAGTCCATAATGCAACCACTCTGAAAATCTGGCATACCAGGGCATCATTAGCAACATAGCTGGCTAAGAAGTGGAACAGCAGCAACGGAACAGCAGCTCAGATTCCTTTTCCACTTCTCACTCGCTGTATAATCTGAAGAGCAGCAAGTCTGCTTCAGCACATTCTGCAATTCAGTTCCTATCCTCCTGGCCTGAAATTGTGACTGGAAAGTCTGAAGCTAGGTCTGCGGCTTGTGACTCTTCAAGCCTGAACAGAGCCTACCAGTGGCCAGATTGCTCACCAGAACAAGACGGTTTGAGCATATTAACACCAATCCTGGCACAACTGCACTGGCTGCCGGTTAGTTTCCAGGCCCAATATAATTGCTGGTTTTGACCTATAAAGCCTTAAACAGCTCAGTGCCTCAATTCCTTAAGGTCCGCCTCTTCCCATAAGAACTGACCTGGTCCCTGTGCTTGTCATCTGACACCCTTATAATAATAATAATTTATTACTTTGGCTTCCCCAACCACTCTGGGCGGCTTCCAACAAATTATTAAAATACCATAATACATCAAACATTAAAAGCTTCCCTAAACAGGGCTGCCTTCAGATGTCTTCTAAAAGTCTGGTAGTTGTTGTTCTCTTTGCCATCTGGTGGGACGGTGTTCCACAAGGAGGACGCCACTACCGAGAAGGCCCTCTGCCTGGTTCCCTGTAACTTGACTTCTCGCAGTGAGGGAACTGCCAGAAGGCCCTCGGCGCTGGACCTCAGTGTCCGGGTAGAACGATGGGTAGAACAATGTTTCTCTATGTTTCCTTCTCTATGTTTCCCATCCCAGAGAGGTTTGAAGGGTAGTAACAAGAGAACGAGCCTTTCCTGTGGTGGCTCCCTGATTGTGAACTGCTCTCCCCATGAGACTGTCTTGGCACCATCATTACATGCCTTTAGGTGGCAGGCAAAAACATTCCTCTTTACCCAGGTCTATGGCTATTAATTAATCTAAGGCCTGTGAAAGTGTGGGGGAGAGGACTGTTATTATACTGACTATTTTATTATAAGGCTGTCTGCCAGTATGCTTTTTATTATGTTTTTAACATTGATGTTCTGAAATGTGTTTTTAGTGTTGTTCACTGCCCTGGGATCTTTTGATAAAGGGCAGTATATAAATTGAAATAATAATAATAATAATAATAATAATACCAAAGGTTTGTGACATCTCCATCCTCTTGATGTCCCAAGACCATCCCTCCATCCATATATATATATATATATATATATATATATATATATATATATATCTAGTGATCTAGCTGCATGAAGCCTGATGCATCATGAGCCCAAACTGCGTGCTTCCAAATGGGTAATCCAAATTTCCAAAATCACCAAAGCAATTCACTGTCCAATTCAATTAACTCAGAAGCCATAATCACCTAATGAGGAATTGGTGCAAAGCTTTTTGTCGTAGCAGCTAAACCCTTCTCTTGCTCTCCAGCCGTAATTTTTCCCTTTCTCTACTATGTCGATTTCTTCAAATTTATTCTGCCCCACGTCGCCACAGAAAAGCCGGCCTTTCCCTTCCTTTGTGTAGGGGTCACCTCTGTCGAAAGAGCAGCGCCACATATTCCTCGCCCCATAAGCATAGACTTCTGGCCGGGCTTTTGGCTCGTTAATGAAAGGATTGTCCGGAGGGATTCTATAAAGAGGCCCATGGTCGTTGTTGTCCACATTGATCCGGAGAACTTTGCCTAACAGCGTTGACCTGTCAAAGGCGAAACACCAAAATAACCATCTGTTAAAACTTCCCCTTCCATTAGATTATTGCAATACACAGCAGCAAGGTTTCCATAAGCAGGGAGACTAACAGTGCATATAAATTTTATTAGGAGTTCAAACAGATGTTTCTGAAGATTTTGCACGGAAGTGCTACGGCATATTAAATAACCAGAAGTGATGTGGTAAATGAATCAAGCGTTTCATTAAGCAATGGCTGGTCTCTGAGATGGGCTGCATAATGTGTGCAAATGTATTATCAGCTGACTGTGTTTTTGTCTGTTTTGATCCCATTTGAATTGTGTGCTTCCTGAATGTATTTTAATGTGTTCTGCTACTCACCCAAGTTTTCTACTAAATTCACTGGAAAGGTGAATTAATAAGCATGCATGTCTTTCTTCCTCACAAGCCATACCGGGTGAGAAGATATTGTTAAACCCTTCTACTTATGTAAATAATAGGTGGTTTGGAATGCATTCTTCCTCGCAGAAACCCTAAAAATTGGGGAAATGACTGGCAAAAGGGCAACATTCATTTTGCTCTGGAGACTGCCTGTGCCATCACTGGGCTTTCTAGTGAGACTACCAAGCTGAGAGTGTTTATTCTGGACATTCACACACCAGAACTTGGAGCAAGACCATCTTATTTCAAAGGGGCTATTGAGAATGTTTCCCAAGGATATGCCCTTCTGCGGTCATCCGTGTGACATATTTAAACTAGTGGCTTTAATGATTTCTTTAAAATCTTCCTTGGCTACTGACTGAAGTGGGTATCAAGCTACCAGAAAAGCAAGCTCAGTTCTGGAAAACAGTAAATTCAGCTTTTTGAATCATATTGTAAGAAAATCATTATATCATATATGGGACAAATATAAGAATTTATTGGAAAATAAGACCCCTTGGTGGATTTCACCACTAGAAGTGTTAGCGGTCAAAAAACTAAATATGGAAAGAGGTTGGTTAACTTATAGAAAGTTGTAGATAGAGGAGGGAAATCAGTTGAACTTGAAGAAAATATAAAACATTTGTTTACTGATTTGCTCCAATATCACCAACTAAATGATATATTTAAATTGGATAAAAAAGTGGGTTATGGGAAAGAAATCTCAAGATTACTGTCAGGGAACTGACATCGGAGCCAGAGGCGGAGGCTAGGCTCTCGAGCGATGCTGGAGAAGGGCCCAGCAGGGGGAGAGGCAGCTCACCATCTGGGGAAAGAAATCAGCGTAACACCAGGGATAAAGGGGGGCAGATGGGGGAATCGGCCACGGGGCTCCAGGACTCCTCGCCGGAGATCAGCGAGGAGAGCACAGGTCCTCCGCTACCCACGCCCTCCCTGTGCAGAAGACTTCCGCGCAGGGAGAGTAGGAGGAGACTTGGAGTCAAACAACTTTTATGCTGGAAAAGGTTTAAGAAACGCCCACTGATGGATTCTGCTAGCGACTGAGCAGCCACGAAGTGCAGGGGCTGTCCAGACAGAAAAGTTTAACAAGGCAACCTAGCCAGGAGTGGCACCAACTTACGCACGAGCAACCCCTACATTTATGACAATTACAAAAAGATCTGTTGGAAAGTAATGAAAAGGTTCTGTCAAAAGTATATAAAATGTTGTTGGAGTGGGAGACTAAAGATGAAGAAGTGAAATCGGTAATGATACATTGGGCAAAATCCGTGGGGTATAATATACAATTTGAGGCATGGGGAAAGTTATGGAAGGTTGATTTAAGATTTATTTACCGCATGCTGTTCATTAAAGGAGAAATATATGAAAATGCTGTATAGATGGTATTTAACTCCTACAAGACTTGCAAAAATGTCAAATTTGTGTTGGAAATGTAAAAATAATGAAGGTACATTTTTCCATATGTGGTGGACCTGTAAATTAGCAAAATCATATTGGGAACTGATATACAACGAATTTTTTAAAAAGTTTAAAATAACCTGTATTAAAAAACCAGAGGCTTTTTTATTAAGCATAATAGGAGAAGAAATTCCAAAAGAGAAAAAGGTCCTATTTATGTATGTGACAACAGCGGTGATAATGTTAAATGCCCAGGGCTGGAAGGAAAGAAGAACCCCATCAAAAGAAGGATGGATAAGGTAATTAATGGACTATGCCGAAATGGCGAGAATGACTGGGAAGATCAGACACAAGAGGACAATAATTTTTTTAAAAAATGGGCTCCTTTTGTAGAATATCTGAAGGAGCACTGTAAACATTTAAAAACGTTAGAATGGCTTAGAGTAACACTTGTGATGTATCAGGGAGAGATTTTAATAAGAGAGGTGAATAAATCAGATAAAGGTACAAAGACGCAGAAAAGAAAAAAGACAATGATTGGAAACGGGGGGAGTGGTTGGGAACCTCTTAAAGATATTGTTTTGTGTTTTGGAATGAATGCAATATGTAAGCAAAAACTTTCTAAAATCATATATATATATATATATATATATATATATATATATATATATATATATATATATATAATTCAGCTGAACTTTGAATGTTAAAATCCCTGGGCACTAAAGGTAAAGGGACCCCTGACAGTTAAGTCCAGTCACAAACGACTCTGGGGTTGTGGCGCTCATCTCGCTTTATTGGCCGAGGGAGCCGGCGTTTGTCCGCATACAGCTTCCGGGTCATGTGGCCAGCATGACTAAGCCGCTTCTGGCGAACCAGAGCAGCACACGGAAATGCTGTTTACCTTCCCACCGGAGCAGTACCTATTTATCTGCTTGCACTTTTGGTGTGCTTTCGAACTGCTAGGTTGGCAGGAGGTGGGACCAAGCAACAGGAGCTCACCCCGTCACGGGGATTCGAACTGCCAACCTTCTGATCGGCAAGCCCAAGAGGCTCAGTGGTTTAGAACACAGTGCCATCCGCGTCCCTAACTTCAACAGAACTTCAACAGAACTTACATACCACTTAATTGTAAAAAAACCCTCTAAGTGGCTTGCATAAAATATACATTAAAATTACCGATAAAAGACAGAGGTTAAAAACAAGTTGATATTCAAGAAAAGTTCAAAATGTAAATAAAACCAGCAGTTAAATGCATACACAAACAAGTTTTTAGCAGGTGACGAATACAATACAGTGAATATGCCAGCCTAAAGTCTTCCCTGCACCAATGTATTTTATTAAGGCTTTTCATATACAACACAATAAACAAAACAAATGTCTGCCCAATGTCAATGGGAGTTCTGGAATGCAGGTGCTGCCACGCTGAAATACTGATTCCTTACAGGTGTGCAATAGGCTTGTGTCTGAATCAGTCGTATTTAATGTGCCATATTCACAGCTCAGAAACTTATGGTGGACAATATGCTCTGTACAACATTAGGCTGCTGGTGACAAATACTGGCAAAGAGCTAGTGCTTTTGCATTTGGAACCAAAGGTACCTTTTTTTTGCACTAATTGTACAAAAGTTGGCAAATTAGGCAGAAATTTGCCAGATCACAAAATACACAAAATCTGCTACATAAGAGAATGCCACCATGCCAGCCTTCTCCAAGCTGATGCCCTCTGGATGTTCTGGACTACAAGTCCCATCAGTCCCAGTCTGCATAGCCAATGGTCAGGGATGATAGGAGTTGTAGTCCAGACCATCCGGAAGGCATCATGTTGGGGAAGGTTGCATTATTGCACTGAGTTGCCCAGCATGCAACCTGAGGTCAAGAAAAGCAATAAAGGTATGTACTACTGCTGAACCTAATCTGACTTCTACATAAAATCAACAGAGTGCAGCCTGCCTGCCCCATTCCCAAATAATATCGTGTCTGTCCGACTCCTACTTGTTTTGAGCATTTCCAAACAATCCAAAAGGATCACCGGCCATTCCCCCATCTCCAGTGAAGATATAAAGATAACCATCATCTCCAAACAACAACTCGCCTCCATTATGATTGGAAGCAGGTTCATCTATCTCGAGAATTACCCTGCAGAGAAAAGAGAGAGAAATAATCATAGCAGCAAAACATTTGCAATACAGATGAACACTACAACAAAACAAAGTCTGTTGACATTTGTTAAGGACTGGAAACTTGTTATGGACTTTTTGTGTGTGTGTGAAACAGAAAATGGACTTGTAATATCGGGATTTGACGACTGAAAAAGAAATACTGGTTTATAGAAGATATAATGGTTGGATTTTAAGGAATGAATATTATAAGTAGTTGCAGGACAGCGAGCCAAAAGTCCTTTTACTCTTTTCTATCTTTCTGTAGTCCCCCCCCCTCCCCACTTCTTTCCCCTTTCTCTTTTTTTGAGTCTCTCTTTTTCTTGTCTTTTCTTCTTTCCGACTTTGTTCTTTTCCAAACTAAGTAGCTGTTTTATCTTAGCATACTATAAAAAGATACTTTGTAATGGGTGTGTATTTTTTGCATATCTATGAATAAAATAAAGGTAAAGGGACCCCTGACCATTAGGTCCAGTCATGGCCGACTCTGGGGTTGCAGCGCTCATCTTGCTTTATTGGCCGAGGGAGCCGGCATACAGCTTCCGGGTCATGTGGCCAGCATGACTAAGCCGCTTCTGGAGAACCAGAGCAGCGCACGGAAACGCCGTTTACCTTCCTGCTGGAGCGGTACCTATTTATCTACTTGCACTTTGATGTCCTTCAAACTGCTAGGTTGGCAGGAGCAGGGACCCACCAACGGGAGCTCACCCCGTCACGTGGATTCGAACCACTGACCTTCTGATCAGCAAGTCCTAGGCTCTGTAGTTTAACCCACAGCGCCACCCGCGTCCCACATATCTATGAATATGTATTAATAAATAGGCGCATATATATATGTGTGAAACTCTGGATAAAATGTTCATGAACTGAATGCATATATGTGCTGTCCAACTCCTCTTTTGAACTTGGCAATAAAAAGTGCAAAGGTGTTTGGTTTTGCTTTGACTGAAGACACAAAGCAGGACTGGGAAACCTTGACTCTCCAGCTGCTGTTGGACAGCAACTCACATCACCCTTGACCACCAACCATGATGGCTGGAGCTGATTGGAGCTGGAGTCCATGAGCACCTGAAGGACCACAGCCTGACCATCCTTGACAACGTCGCAATTCTTTACAGATCCTATCAAAAGAAGGTGGCTTGTTTTCCTTTTCTTTTTTACTTTGTTCAAACCAGAGTACAGCATTTGTAAGGAATTATAACTGTTGGTTAGATAAGCATGGATACATTTAATATGTTAAGGATGGGTGAATCTGTCCATTTTGGTTGCTTTCCGTTTCCCACTTTCCCCATCTTAAGTTCATGAATCAATTTGTGTTCCATGAAAAAGGTTTACCTTTTTTTTTTAAGGCAGAACGTAAAAGTATGGAAACTGTATTCCACAAACCACAAAAGCAAAACTGAATGAGGCAACACTTGACTTTATGAAGATAAGGCCAAGATCCTTTCGTTCCCACCCTTCCCCCAGACGTTGTTCATCTTCAAAGCGTTTCAGCTCTTGAGTTGAACCAGCACACATACACACACCACAGAGCTGCCTTAGCAAGAATACAATGCTATATACAATATGCCTCACAAATCTCCAAAGTGGTTTTATATACCGTATATAATGGAGCAAGATGAATACATGCTTAGTAGGGAATCCGAAGGAAACACTGTCTGGATTTTAAAGTAAAGGCAAAACACACAGTGAGCCATGCTTGCAGGATAAGCCTATAGTTCCTATCTGGAGGACATACATAAAAGGGGTAGATAACCACATTCAATTAGCACTAGAAACAGGTCTTAGAGTCATAGAATTGTAGAGTTGTAAGAGACCGCCAAGGGTCATCTTGTCCAACCCCCTGCAATACAGGAATCTCAACTAAAGCATCCATGACAGATGGTCATCCAACTTCTGCTTAAAAACCTCCAATGAAGGAGTGTCCACAACCTCCTGAAGGAGTCTGTTCCACTGCTGAACTGCTTTTACTGTCAGAAAGTTCTTCTGTATGTTTAGTTGGAATCTCCTTTCTTGTAATTTGAAGCCCATTGGTTTGTGTCCTACCCTCCAGAGCAGGAGAAAACAAGTTTGTTCCCTCTTCCATGTGACATCCCTTGTGATATTTAAAATACCTATCATATCTCCTCTCAGTCTCCTCTTTTCCAGGCTAAACATACCCAGTTCCTTCAACAGCTCCTCATAAGGCCTGGTTTCCAGACCCTTGATCATCTTGGTCACCCTCCTATGCACACGTTCCAGCTTGTCCATATCCATCTTAAACTGTGGACACAGTACTCCAGGTGTGGTCTGACCAAGGCAGAATAGAGCAGCACTATTACTTCCCTTGATCTGGACACAATACTTCTGCCAACATTGAGAGTGAGAGCACCCACTGTGGTCTTTAAGGACATAAGAAGAATCTTGCTGGATCAGACCAAGAGCCCATCTAGTCCAACATCCTGTTCTCACTGTGGCTGACCAGATGCGTTCTTGGAAGCCCACAGTCAGGACCTAACCAATACTCTCCTTGCTTATGGTATCCAAATGCCAGTACTCAAAGAGACGAACTGCCTCTGATAGCAGAGGATGAACACAGTCCTCATGGGTAGTAGCTACTGATAGCCTTCTCCTCCATGAAATCTGTCAAATCCTCTTTTAAAGCCATCCATAGAATCATAATTTAGCTAGGCGCTGATTGAAGAAGTGCTTCCTTTGTCTGTTCTGAATCTTCCCAACAGTTAGCCTCACTGGATGACCCTGAGTTCTTATCTCTCTCCAGTTTCTCCATCCCATGTGCCATCTTAACGTTTTGTTATCATGTCCCCTCTCATTCTGTCCGCCCACCCACAGGCATGCACACACACACACACACACACACACACACACACAAATATTTGCTGGCCAAGGCACAAATCCACTTAAAGACCCACTTCTACCTGCAGTGATTAAAGTGGGCTGGTGTTGCTTTCCACCCTTCCTCACTGCTGTTTTGTCATGATGACCTCACGTCGAGCTAAATGTCTGGAGACGCCCAAAGTACAACCAAGCAAAAGGCAGTCCAGCTGGAACTGTTCTGCTGTGTTCCGAGAGCCCAGACGGTTCAATGAAAAACAAAATGAAGGCCACCTGACGTTATCTTTTCCTACTTGCTTTCCAAAGACATGCTACTAAACGGCCACAGTTGCACATCTAGTTGCATCAACCTGCTTTGCACAACTAGCTCTGCCATTTGAATCGCTGTTTCCTGTTCAATGTAAGGAAACCTGGTCTGTTGCTACTCACCTAGCTATGCCACACCTCAGCTCCAGGCCAACTGACCCCCTTGTCCAACTTTTCCTGTTTTCTGTTGAGGGTCCTAGTGTTTGCCACTACAGAAATCACCTGATTTTGGGCAATTCCAACCTTGATGAGCAACCCTTCCATACCTCCCTCAGGTAAAAAAGATAAAGGACCCCTGGATGGTTAAGTCCAGTCAAAGGCAACTATGGGGTTGCGGCGCTCATCTTGCTTTCAGGCTGAGGGAGCCAGTGTTTGTCCGCAGACAGCTTTCCAGGTCATGTGGCTATCATGACTTTAACCGCTTCTGGCTTAATGGAACACTGTGACGGAAACTAGAGTGCACAGAAACCCCATTTACCTTCCTGCTGCAGCAGTACCTATTTATCTACTTGCAGTGGTGTGCTTTCGAACTGCTAGGCTGGCAGGAGCTGGGACAGAGCAACAGGAGCTCACCTCGTCGCAGGGAATCGAACCGCCGACCTTCTGACCGGCAAGCCCAAGAGGCTCAGTGGTTTAGACCACAGCGCCACCTTTTACCTTTACCTCCCTCAGGTAGACACCTCCCCACCAGTGCTATTTTTTCCAGAAAAAGAGGTCCTGGAACTCACCATGAATACCTCCCTCGTTCTCTTAGAATGGCAATGGCGTCCACCTAAGGAGTGCTGGAACTTCTTAGTTCTGGCCGAATAAAAACCCTGCCCCCCACCCTACAAACCAAGAGGCTTTTGCAGGGCTCAGGTGGTTACAGGGCGAAAAACGTTGTGGGAATATTTCCTTGCATGAACTTTATTAACTTATCTTAGCATCCAAGCCAAAATATTCACCATGCAGCCCTAGCGGTAGGAGGGGGCTTGCCTCCCTATTTTCTTCTGACAAAGGTAGCCCTAAACGCACAAGAGAATCTCATATTGGTGAGCAAACCAGACCAGGAATATTTTAGGAGAGTAGAGATTGTCAACTGTCCTGTCCTACTGGTGCAAAGAGGTGCCCTTGGGTGTGGATGGCTTCCCTTGCAGTCCCTTCCATTAGGCAGGCAGGGTCATGAAGCACAGACAGAACAGACCTAACGCCCGTCAGGTCACTGGAGTCAATCACCACAGTGGGCTCGAGTCCTGGCAGCAAAGTCATGGGAGGCAATAAAACATACTTGAGTTCTCACGCATACATCACAATGCTATCACCCCTGCCTTTTGAGCAGCAACTTTGCTCTTCACAAACTAAGTGGGAACTGCAGCAAACATCAGTGCAAATGCGCAGTGAAGAAGGGAACCGAGAAGCACAGGGATCTATACATGCCAATGTGCAACGCAACAAGAACATCTTTCAGCTGGAGGCTAAAACTGAAAGGGATTTATCTGAATTCTAAATATTATTTCCTATGGACAGCTCTGCAAAACTTTTTGGCCCCTTGAGAACACTTAAAGCATGATTTGTTTCTGTTCATGCAATCTTGAGCCTATAAAGGGAATGAAAGTCATCTTGACCAGGGATGGGTGGCCTGTTGCCCTCCAGATGATGGACTACAGTTCCCATCACCCTTGACCACAGGCCATGCTTTCTGGGGCTGATAGAGGAGTCGAACAGCTAGAGGGTCACAGGTTCCCTATCTCTGATCTAGGACAAAACCACTGAGCCGCTCCGTACTAATTCTTCTGCAGCTAAACAGCCATTATCCAAAGCATTGCGTGCCAAAAGCAAAAGGCACTGGAGCCATAGGTGTCTGTAGACACAGAACAGTTTAGTAAACACGCCCAGATGTCTGAAACCAAGCCAGCTGAACCACATGCTGCAGAAAATGAAAATCCCCAGGAGGGGAACACTCATTTGCAGACTCTAGTATGGAGTTTAGTATAGTAGAATCTAGTTAGCCACTATATTTTCTTGGCCCTCTGACTCATGTCAATCTTAGCCTATGTCCATCTTCAGTTGTGGTGATGGCCAATGAAGGGATCTTCAGAAAAACCATTTTACCTTTTTTATTTTATTTTATGGTGCTCCTCAGACTGGGGGAGCAGTGTATTCCAGAAGCAGCCAGGAAGCATCAAAGACACAAGCTGCACTTCGTCTATATGTTACTTTTTCACACTTTCCCACTCTGGGTGGCTTGGTCTATCCATGCATCAGACTGTAGCTTTCTGTCTGCAATGGAAGCATGCTAAGATGCAGGTAACAGAATGTGTTGCTATTAGGTTGTGTACACATTGCCATTTGCTCCGACTCCAATGCGCTCCCATGACTGACATTCAAAGCCATGTTCACTTGATATTACCTACAATCAATAACTAGCCTGCATTTTCTTGAAAAACGACTGCTTTTTAAATGCATTTTCCCTGTAACCAGTTTCCATCTGATTTGAAAACGGAAACTGCGGTTAAGCTGAGATGTGTACATTTGAAATAGCCATCGCTCGTGCCCAGATGACAGCTTCATGAATAGGAGTTATGGGGGGTTGCAGGCCTGGGGAAACCAAACACGTTCGGTGGTACCTTTGTTTACGAATTTAATCCGTTCCGGAAGTCCATTCTTAAACCATTCTTAAACCAAGGCACGGTTTCCCTAATGAGGCCTCCCACCGCCAGTGACCTTCCACCGTTCAGATTCCGTTCTTAGACCGAGGTAAAGTTCTCAAACCGGGACACTATTTCCAGTTTTGCAGAGTTTGTAAACCAAATTGTTCTTAAACCGGACTGTTCTTAAACCGAGGTACCACTGTACTGTACATTGAGTGAATACATCCCTGCTCCCTCTCTAGCGTGTACAGCAATATGTACATGTGACTTGAAACACAGCATGCAGGGATGGGGTGGGATAGCACTTGCTGTGTTTTAAGCCGCTAATGTGTACACAGCCAAAGAAATCCTTAGATGTGCATGTTTGCCCTCCAGCCATCTTAAATAAATGTGACAGATAAAGGTGCATACAATACCTTTCAGAACCGTGGTCCACAGAGTTCATGTCATCAGGAGAAATTCTGAACTCACTGATTCGGATTCTCTCTTCATACTGCACTTCAACTGAATAGTAGACATACACTTTACCATTAAATTTGAATTTAGGATGGAAGACTATACCTAGAAAACCTCTCTCATCTCCTTCCCAAGGTGAGGTCAGTACAGCTTCACTGATGTTCAGAAATGGTTTTTCAAGCCGTGACCGATCTGGGAGGTAGGTCCAGACTAAGCCAACTTGCTCAGCAATGAAGAACCTGTGCGTTCCGTCGTTTGCATGCACCATGGCCACTGGATTCCTAAGCCCGTTGGCGACCTCAGCTAGGCACAACTGTAGACATCCTTCTGAATCAGCAACCACTACCCCAAGGTTTTGATTGAGATTGTTATTGACCAGGAGGTGGGGGAAGCAGTAGTCGGTGTCGTCGAGGGACAAATAACGACAGAACTTTGCCATGTTGCCTTCCAGGGACAGTAACTCTTCATCTGGGGTAAGGTAACGGAACATGGCCCTGCAGGTTTGCCACACTTGTACGCAGTAATCTTTGCATAGTCCTGGCACAGTTCTCTCTGGAGTGGAAGGGTCTTCAGCATCATACAGGTGAGCAGCATAGGGGGAGCATTCCTGCAGGTAAAGGGAGAAGCCTGTCAGTTGTTTCTATTCATTGTATCATTAGCCCAAATAAGAGACTCTGCTTTGGCTCACTAAAGGCCAAACTAGATGTGATATTAAATGCATGAATGCATTAACACAGGGTTTCCCAAACCTGTGTCTCCAGTTGTTTAGGGACTACAACTCCCATCATCCCTAGCTAGCAGGACCACTGGTCAGGGATGATGGGAACTGTAGTCTAAAAACAGCTGGAGACCCAAGTTTGGGGAAACCCAACCTTAACATGTCTAGAGTCCTCACCCCCACAACTAACAGCCATGCAGGGAAGCAATCAAAACCATAGGGAAGTGGGGATTAACTCTCTCTCTCCCCCCACCCAGTGTGATCCCAAAGGAAATTGCTCTCCACTGCAAGCTGCTATTGACACGGGGGGGGGGGGGGCTTTGATAGGCATCAATTTAAAGCTTCTCTCCTGGAGCTATTGGAGATGTTTTCTGGAAACAATACTGGGTTAGATGGTTCAAAATGGTACATGACAGCGTCATATGTCAAGATTAGCTCTGTGCTTTGGATGTTTGGAGACCAGTTTACTGATCACGAGTAAAGCCATTATTTAAATATTGTTAAGATCCCAAAGTTCAAGATACTTTAAGTGTTCTAAAGCTGCAGCTATGTTGATTTTATAGCATTTTAGTATGCTGAACAACAACAAAAAGATCTTATTAGTGTGCTGCAACTTCAGAAAGAGAAAGGCTTGTTGGACGTCGACTCATATTTCTGCATGCAAAAGCAAAAAGATATAGATGTGGGCATTAAGCTACTTTTATTTTTCTGCAACTACAGCTGAAACTTGGGGAGTTTAGCACACGGCCCAATGTGAGAATGTTAGTCATCTGTCTCGCCACAAAGAGACAAACAGAAGGCATTTAGAGAGAAACTGACTCAATGATTGCTTTACCATACACCAAGATTCAGTGGGATATCTCCATGCCATGTGGTGGTAATCTAGTATTTTCTTGCAATTGGTTTCAGGACAGAGCTCATCTGGGTTTTAAGGCAACGGCTGTATTGATTTCACTTTCTCCTATGAGGAAAAACCTTCCGGGTCAGCGCCATCGGCGAATGGCGGAGTTCCTCCAACCGGAGGAACAGGCTCCGTGGAAACTGGGTCTTCCCGCCGCGGCGAAGGTGGGGACCCGCTAGAAATCCCAGGCGGAGGAAGCCTGGGAACGTGGGGTTCAGCAGGGCACCAGGAGCGCCCCCCCTACGCACCGGGAACCCCATTTTGGGGCTCCGGAGTGAAGTGGGGTGAGCGGCGCGGTGCTGCGAACTGACTGCTACTTTCACGGAGTGAAGCCGCACAGCCATTGCCAGAGAGCGCTGACTTTTTCCTGTGGACAATTGGATTTAAAACAAGTACCCGTGAGTAGAAACGGAAAATTGGATCAAGAAATATTTTAATTTGGCACCGAAGCGGGAAGGTTCAAAACAGGAAGTCTGCCTTCCGCTTTCTGTACATAGACTGAAGCAAAAACCCTGTAAGCTAAAGCCTGGAAAGTCGTTAAAAAAGTTTAAATTTCCTTCATTTTAAAACTACTGAAACCCCCTTGGAAGCAGGAGAAAAGGGGGGGGGATTTTGTTTAACGCCTGCAGGAGAGGGAGTGAAGAAAGATAAGTTTCCACCGTCTATAACCTGGGAACGGGGTGTCAGAAACAGAAATTCTTGGAGAAGTTCATTAACTGTGAATGGAATACTTTGACAGATAGCTAAAGAAGAGAAATAAATTGATTCCAAAGTTGCCTTCTGCATTCTAAAGAAACAAAATCTCTGAAAAAATGAAAGTAATTTTCCTTTGTTGGACTTGCCTTAAAAAAAATGGATACAAATAGAAATTGTCTCCTCTAGAGGGAGCTTGCTAAATTGTTGCTGCGGTCTACTTGAGGACTCTACAGCTGTCAGATTAAGATCGTGGGACCAGGCCTTTTTGACCTTGACTAAATATGAGCTGGGAGGAAGTTTTGGCGCTTGCTTTATGCAAGACAAGTGCCTTGCTGGAACAGATGCATGAGAAGATGGATTTGATGAATGAGAAAATGGACTTGATGACTGTTGGGGATAATAACTGTGGACAAACAGGGAATATTGATACAGAAACTATTCAGGGACCAACTCAGGAACCTGTACTGATTGGGCAAGTGCAGAAGATAATAGAGGAGGTTGCGGTTGCACCTCAAATAACACAAATGGAGAGACCCGAGGCCCTACAGGAGCATAAGCCGCTGTCTTTGAAGATTGAAGTTGGAGTTGGCCAGGGGGAGTCTGGAGCTGAGGAGATTCTTAACTTTGGAGAGACCTCGAAATATGTCTTTAAATATTTTTTGGACTACATTGATGACTGTGGGGAGTGGGACTCTGGGGAATGGGCTGGTTGGATGAAGGGAGACGAAGATAATTTTGGGTTGGAACCCCCCAGAGACCTACTCCCCAACTAGAAAGGAAAGAAACTAAGAAAGAGACCAACAAAAGACAAGGAAAAGTGCAAGTATAAACAAGAAGAAGATCTGCAGAAGGGACATGGAAGAGACTTAAGGGCCTCGGACATTAGATTACCAGGTTGATGGACTAGATGGAATGGACAGTAAGGACTGACACGACCCGAGGCCAGGAAGAAGAGACGTTGGATGAAGATTGGAAGAGAATTTATAAAGAAAACTTTTTTTTCCTAGGGAATTAGCTCAAAATTAATGAACACTAGGGAAAATGTTGGAATGAAACTATATGACTCTAGTAGAAAAGATATCAGGAGTTATGTATAATCGAGTATTAAGTGTTAAGCTCTAAAGTATTTTTTGGTAAGATAAGGTTAAATAACTTAAGGTAATTTGAATAACAGAATATGGGGAAAGGATAGAAAGGATTTGTTGAGTTAATTAATAGCTAAATTGTTAAGATAAATTATTTAGTAAAAATTGAGAAAGATGGAAAGAATTTGCTGAAATAATCAATTAAACTAGAATACAAAAAGGGAGGTGTGAGGAGGTCAATGAAACAAGCAAATGGAAGTTAAAGATATGTAACATGGGATTTGTGTTTTCTTTTTTCCCTTCTTTTTTATTTTTCTTGCTGTATTGTGGCATTGGTTTTTATGTCTTGTTTTTTTTCTCTTGTTTTTTCCCCCTTCTTTTTTCCCCTATGTATTGTAGTGTTGTTTTTAACTTTTTTTCTTTTTTTTCCTGCAATTTTGAAATTATTAATAAATATTATTTAAAAAAACAAACAAACCTAAGATAGCATGTCCTTAAATCTGTTATTCAGTTGCAATTCAGCCAGCAACTCCAAACTGCCTGCGCCGGGGAGTTTGATAACTGCCAGTTCCCACAAGATCTCCTTGCAGCCAGAGGAAAACTCTCGCCTCTGGTACCCAGGAATGTGCATAACTTATTGTCTGAACTTATTCAGATCCAATGGTAGGTCTGCACAGGAACCTTGTTGGTTTTGCTTTAAGACAGGATTATAAGATACAAGCAGAAAAAGAAGATACAAAACAACCTTAAGAGCAAGCTTCCTCAAACTCGGCCCTCTAGATGTTTTTGGCCTACAACTCCCATGATCCCTAGCTAGCAGGACCAGTGGTCAGGGATGATGGGAATTGTAGTCTCAAAACATCTGGAGGGCGAAGTTTGAGGAAGCCTGCTTAAGAGGATCCTGAGTCCACAATGCAACTTAGATCTTACACCAGGGGTAATGTTTTAGAGTATGTGTGGAACACAAACAGCAAATCTTCAAAAGATAAAGGACCTACAGACATGTTTCAAGAAGACAGCTTAAAAAAAAAAAAAAAAAAAGCAACGCATTACCATGCCAAACAGAACCAAGGTAAGAGGCACTGCGTATGTCCTTTTACTTTCAAAACCAGCATTCTTAGCTGGGGTGATGCATCTGCTGCATATACACACCACACTGCCCTTGTTCACACATAACACTAAACCAAACCATGGCTTAGCATAAATGAGCAAATGTGTAGACTCCTGAGAGGAGCCAATGGCCACTTCCTTCCTCCCCGGTGCTTTTGCACTCGTGGTTTAACTGTCCTTGACAAACTATAGACTGTAAGTTAGTCACTGGTTACAGCTTATGGTGTGTCTGTGCTAAACCATGGTTTGGATCAGTGTTGTGTGCAAAACAGGGCACACACACACTGAGAGATGAGCGGGGTATAAATATATTATTATTGTTGTTGTTGTTGTTGTTGTTATTATTACACATAGCACATTCCTCACTACGTAAAGCAAAAATTCTGCAATTTGTATGCAGTATGCAAATTTACATCTGCCTGCCTATTTTCAGTCATTTATTCTGTTTTCATTACACTTGAGAAGCCGTAAGAAGCTATTCTGAAATAGTGACTTCTGAAATACTGATTTCAGAATACAAAAAGCCCTACTGAGCTTTCACTGGATATCTCCAACATCAGTTAAAGCCTATTCTAACAGGCAACAGAGTTTAAAACTTTTTTAAAAGAAGAAGGTAGATGCTGAAATTTGCACACAATATTAAATCACATGCTTTTTTCTTTTTCTTTTTTTGCCTTGGTGAAGTAATTGCTTTACTCAAGTATTCACAATTGCAAAGCCGTCATCTGAATATTGAACCCTAAAGTAAAAAATAAAATGCATGCAGTGCCTGCTGTGGAACATCTGTCCTTACAATCAACCAATTGAAGAATTGCATCTGGTTTGCTGACTTTAATTTGGTGCTCTTAGTCATATTTTTGGCTGAATTTCACATGCAGCTGGGCCAGCTGAGGACAAGATGTAAAATTCCCTTACATACAAAAAAAAAGTAGTTAAAAAACCCCAACTCACAGAACTAACAGGGTTTGATTCACTTAAATAAATTAAGAGCCCCGCTGCCTGGATCGACATGGGTCAAGAGACCCCACACTGTGATTAGGATTAGGAAATGTGATTCACTGTGATGTAAAAAGTTCACCTCATTGGCTAAAATGTTCTATGCATTTAAGCAGCTGTGATCTGTCTCAGATTTTATTTTCCCTTAAGAAATTAACCAAACCAGCTGGATTCAAGGAACTGCTTGCTCTTGTTGTAGTGTGATTTGTTTATCTATGATATCAGCTTGGCAGCTCCAGCAAAACTTCTTAGAAAACTGCTGTAATTTCCTTTTATTTGAGTACTATTACTATCGGTTCCCATCTGCAAACTACAGTACTACAGGAAAGCCAAACAATAATCTCCGTCTTCTTTGCTAATAATTTAACCATATTGGTACATAACGCATGCAGGGAAAGTTGCATTTTGTTGAGCACAAAGGAATTCTGCAACAAAATGTTTCAGTATACAGTGATCCCCACCCCACCCCCAATATAAAATTCTGGCTGCTTTTGGAATATATGACATTTGGGTCCAATATGAAGTTGCAGTACTTCCCTTTACATAATTCATTAAATTGGGGAAAACGGATCCATTGGGATTTGTAACCGAAATATGTAATCTATCACTTTGGTCCCCAGGTGGGGCTGGGAAGGTTCTCTGCCTGAAACCCTGCTGCAAAGTCAGCAAAAACAATGCTGAGTTAAACGCAAAGCTGCATAAGATGTAACTCAACATGTAGATGTTGATGTAAAGCAGCCTCCCATGTTCCTCTGTCTGCCAACAAAGGTCCGTATAGTTAAAGCTATGGTTTTCCCAGTAGTGATGTATGGAAGTGAGAGCTGGAGCATAAAGAAGGCTGATCGCCGAAGAATTGATGCTTTTGAATTATGGTGCTGGAGGAGACTCTTGAGAGTCCCATGGACTGCAAGAAGATCCAACCTCTCCATTTTTAAGGAAATCAGCCCTGAGTGCTCACTGGAAGGACAGATCCTGAAGCTGAGGCTCCAATACTTTGGCCACCTCATGAGAAGAGAAGACTCCCTGGAAAAGACCCTGATGTTGGGAAAGATGGAGGGCACAAGGAGAAGGGGATGACAGAGGACGAGATGGTTGGATAGTGTTTTCGAAGCTACAAACATGAGTTTGACCAAACTGCGGGAGGCAGTGGAAGACAGGAGTGCCTGGCGTGTTCTGGTCCATGGGGTCACGAAGAGTCGGACACGACTAAACGACTAAACAACAACAATGTTCCTCTGTCATATATATTTGTTTTCAAAATTTCTGACAGTAAGAGCTGTTCAACAATGGACTCCCTCAGAAGGTGCTGGACTTTCCTTTATAGAGGTGTTTAAGCAGAGGTTGAATGGCCATCTGCCATGAGTGCTTTAGTTGAGATTCTTGCACTGCGGGGGGGTTGGACAAGTTGACCCTCAAGGTCCCTACCAGCTCTTAAGTAAACTCTACCGCTAGTAACCATCATTCTCCACCACCTGACCTTTAGAAAAGAAGAACATTAGGGAGTGGGAAATGTAGCTGAGTCATCTGATATACACAGCTCGACACACAATTCTCTCTGAATCATCCCATCTTTGCAGAACAATGGACCTCATTTCAGCGTGCTTGCACATAAATACATGTTCTCCATTCTGGCACTTATTCCTTAAATCAAAGCCTTTTCTCTGTGTGTCATAAATAAGCTTTCATCAAGCAGACCCTTCTGTGTTTCTTGCCATCCCTTGCCATTCTTCGACAATGCCTTGATTGCTTCCCAAGGCTGCAATTCTGCACTTGAGATTAACTGAGCTGAAGGGTCATGAACATGAATAAGAAATCAATCCATCAGAACGTGTTATTCCATAAGTCTCAATGAATGGATGGGAACAGAACAAGAGCATTGTAGGACTTTTTATTTAGCCAGTGTAGGAAGAACTCACTGTGCTCAGGACTGCAGCCCAGGAGAGGTTTCACGGCCGTCAACGCTTTATGTAACTAATGAAATCTTTAGTCTGGGTGATAGTCAACATTAGTCACATTTAGAGTAGACCCATTTATTTCAGTGGAACTACTTTTAATATGACTTAGATATTACCCTCTTACTTAGGAATTAAGGGCATTTGGAGGTGGGTGTTGGTTTCTGTAAGTATAAAATAAGGATGTATCTGATTTTGCCCTGGACCAGTTGAAAGCATCAAGGAAAAAAAACCAGTAAGCAGTAACAAATGTTAACATTATTTCCCATGGATAAGGGTTTATTTCCTTAATGTGCAAGCTTGTTTTAAGAAAAGGCCGATCCACACATGCACGTAGACAACTCCCTCCCAACCGAAATCAGAAAGGCACCCTTACTTGCTGAACTTCAGGAACATGACTAAGACTTTCTTGTTCCAGCAAGCATTTTAAGGTAGCATCCAGTTCTATTATAAACCTTTATTTGTTTTATTGTCCAGTTTTCTGTGGATTGTTCTTACATACGCTGCTTAGAAATGCAAACAATTAAGAGGCATATAAATGTCTTAAATAAAAAATTGAACTCACAGCTGAATTTATCAACAGCCTCCACTGAAAAGGCAACATGGCTGAAATGATGTGAAACTTCTATAGTTGTGGCATTCACACATGCAAGTCATCAATCTAGGCGATGAACATGCACATGTGAACCAGTGCCCTGAGATATTTACTGCATTAACCATGACATCCAGTGCATTCCACTGAGTTCATTGGGACTTGCTCCATCGGAAGGCTGTGGACTCTCCTTCCTTCAAGGTTTTTAAGCAGAGGTTGGCTGGTCATCTGTCATGGATGCTTCAGCTGAGATTCCTGCATTGCAGCAGGGTTGGATTAGATCAGGCATAGGCAAACTCGGCCCTCCAGATGTTTTGGGACTACAACTCCCATCATCCCTAGCTAACAGGACCAGTGGTCAGGGATGATGGGAATTATAGTCTCAAAACATCTGGAGGGCCGAATATGCCTATGCCTGGACTAGATGATCCTCAGGGTATCTTCTAACTCTGTGATTCTACTCTCTAGTAAAGCAAGATAAGCTTGCAACCTAGGAGGGTCAGAGATTTTTTTTGTACTAGTGTAATCCCTTTAACTCCCTTTAGGAGGTTCATTTTCCCCATCTTTCCAGGAATGTAAAATATCACAGGGGCAAAAACATAGGGCTTTGACAGTCTATTTGAGGGCTATTGCCAGGGGTGCAGATAGACTGTTTCTTTCGGCTATTGCAGATGGAATAGATATTGCAATGCGATCAACATTTCATTCTATTCCTGGAAGAGAAACAATGTCATATAATAAACCACAACTAAATATAGGAAGAGCTGGAATTTGGAGTATTCACATTCATACACAGAGACACTTGTCAAAATAATGTGACTAATGAATACATTTTGAGGAAAATTACCATCTGTGTGTCTGAGAAGCAGGACCTAAATCAGTCTAATGGATTCCTGTAAATTATTCATCTGCTATAGCATAAAAGCATAAGCACGACAAATGGCTGAAAGTGGCGTGTATGGGATTTAAGAGCTGTGGACGATGCAGTTTTTTGACACACAAGATAAGGAACAGAACAATGGCCGTAACCTATGACCTTTATCTCCAGATCTAAACACCACAAACACACACTGCAAATTTGCCACAAGCCCTCCATCAGCAATGCCCTGCAAGAACTTGACAACTCTTGCACCTATGGTATTCCATGCTAATCCAACTCAGAGTAGACCCACTAAAGGTAATGGACTTAGCTATCTTAGGTTCATTACATTCAAGGAGTCTATGCTGAGTAGGACTTAACTGAATACTACCCTTGGCATTTACAACAGATGCTTCTTTTTAGTCTCCATTTATCCCAAATACAGTCGTACCTTGGTTGACAAACGCCTTGGGAGCCGAACGTTTGGGCTCCTGAACGCCACAAACGCGGAAGTGAGTGTTCTGTTTTGTGAACGTTCTTTGAAACCCGAATGTCCGATGCGGCTCCCATGGCATCCATTTGCATGTAGGAAGCTCCTGCAGCCAATTGGAAGCCGTGTCTTGGTTTTTTAACATTTTCAGAAGTCGAAGGGACTTCTGGAACAGATTCCATTTGACAACCAAGGTATGACTGTACACCTGTCTAAAGGTGTTTCCAGACCACCTCATCCTGATTCGTTTGCAGGGAGGTTAAATGATATTTAGTGAGCATGCATACTTATGTATTTGTGGAAAGGTTAGATATTGAATCAAGTAAACGTTATCTCACACTTTATGGTGCATTTTCCCATCACATTCCTTATCGCAAACAGTTCAAACTTTTAGGGAAGCGAGTTTGTTGGGCAAAACCTCCCAAACAATTACAAATTGCACAGCCTGAATTTGCCAGTGATCTGAATACCGCTTAAAACTAGTGACAGTCTGGAAATGCCCTAAGTTATGCAACTTTCACGGCCAGTGCAGACAACATGTTAGCTTTCTCTAAATGACGAGGGAGAGATCCAGAATCCAGAATCATACGCCAACATGCTCATGTCTTCTTTGGAGAAAATTCCTCCTGTTTCATTGCAAAATAATAAAATATGATGTAAGACCTTGTGAATTAATATAAACATTTAACAATGTCTTCTGAATCATTTGTTCCTGCCTAGGATAAACTAAGAGTTCAATTAGCTCAGTTGGTTAGAGCATGGTGCTGATAACACCAAGGTTGCAAGTTTGATGGGATAGCTGCATATGCCTGCATTCTAGGGGGTTGGTCTAGATGACTCTCAGGGTCCCTTCCATCTCTACATTTCTATGATGCTAAATAGCCTTTAGGTCCCTTTCCACTATGCAGCCCTGTGACTCAATAGGACTCAACATGATCAGTTTTCATGTTGCAGATATGAAATGAAATAGAAGCAGCTAACACACTGAAAGTCCATTTGTGAGTCCATTTTGCCAAAAGATGTATAGAATGAAAATATACAAGGCGCTGGTATTCTCTCCTCTTTTTGGCAGACACTTACCTAGTACACATTCTACTATGGCAAGGGTACAGGAATAGATTCAGAAAAGTATGGAAAATCAAGCAAATCTCCACAATGCCTTTCATGTATTGGGGTTTTCAGGTGTTGTTACCATCCTCTGGAACAGGGACTGAGCACAGAATGGACAAAGCAAGCAAAGAAAATTGCTTGGCAAAGCATATCCTGTAGAAATAAGAATTATACAGCCCGTTCATTGAGACCTGTCCAATGCACCTGGTGCTGGAGGAAAGCTCATGGCTTAAGAACACACAGAGTCCTGATATTAATCTATGTTACCAGCATGTGTTTGGTCCAGCAAGTTTTGCAAGCAAGACAAGGAGGCTGCATGATATTATGAAGAGCAAAGAGCTTCTTACTTTGCCCAGCAGATTCTAAAAGGAGGGCTAACTCACAGGGGGGAAAAAACCCTCAGATCATTCACTTTGTTGGAGAAGGTGCATGGACAGAGAAGGATATGATGTCTAACAGTAGGGAAACAGCATCATCTCTGTGTGTCCTTCACCAGCCTAGCTGGTGAATATGGAACCAGACAGAATGCTGGTATCACTTGGATAGCCTACTTTTGCAAAATCCTGTAAGAAGGATCACAGCTGGCTGCAATGAAGATAACTTTGACATTCACCTCTAGGGTAAAAGCAGAGTGTAGGTTATACTTCATAAAGATGAACTGGGTGCAAACACATATGGGACAGTGGAGCATCTATCCCATCTACCTAAATATGCAGAATGTTGAAGGATGGGCCTATCTGTTTGTGAGGAAGGATTTCTAATGGAAGTGCTATTTCACAAGGCAGGACCGCCCTTGCATACCCTTACAGGGGACTGGCAGTGGATGAAAGGATTATAGGAAGCTGCCTTGTCCATCAACTCCAAGGATGGGGAACCAGTGACCCTGCAGACATGGATAGACTGAAACTGCCACCAGCCCCATCCAGCATGGCCTATGGTCAGGGATGATGGGAACTGTAGTCCAAATACAGCTGGAGACCCAAGTTTGAGAAACCCTAATGGAAGACTCCAGCTGCAGCTTAGGCTGCAGTCTTTCTCATCATGTAATACCTGGACTTTTGGATTAAACCTGGCTGGGTGGGACAATCTGCTTTATCCCTTTTTCTGCAGCAGCTGAGTGAAGAATGCCAACAAGACAAGGCAGCGCTGTCCATTTATTTATCCAAGCGTGGCTGCTCTAGGTGAAAACAGGGGACGAAGCTTGGCACATTATTCCTTGCGTTTATATCCCAGCTGCCCTGCAAGGAGTACATCGTTCTCTCCCCCTGCTCCATTTTATCCTCACAACATCCCTGTTAGGTAGGTCAGGCTGAGAGGGAGCCATTGGCCCGAATTCACCCAATAAGCTTCAGGGCTGAGTGGGGATTTGAACCCTGGTCTGTGGGTTAAATCACAGAGCTTGTCGATCAGAAGGTCGGCGGTTCGAATCCCCGCAACGGGGAGAGCTCCCGTTGCTCAATCCCTGCTCCTGCCAACCTAGCAGTTCGAAAGCATGTCAAAGTGCAAGTAGATACATAGGTACCGCTCCGGCGGAAAGGTAAACAGCGTTTCCATGCGCTGCTCTGGTTCGCCAAAAGCGGCTTAGTCATGCTGGCCACATCATGTGGAAGCTGTATTGGCTCCCTGGCCAATAAAGCGAGATGAGCGCCGCAACCCCAGAGTGGGTCACACTGGACCTAATGGTCAGGGGTCCCTTTACCTCCCAGGTCCCACACTCTAACTAGGTCCCTCTCACTAGGCCTTGGGGTGGTGCGGGTGGGAGGAAAGGGACGGGCCGCGTGGCCCCACCAGGCTCACCTGGCACAAGAGGTTCTGCAGGTGGCTGGCGCAGGCGGCGTAGGCGGCCTGGTCGAAGTTCTCGGCCACTCGATAATAGCGCTCCAGCAGGGCGGCGTCGCGCTCGGCGTCGCAGCAGCCGAAGTCCGAGTACTGCACGCAGAAGTGGAGCGGGCGCGGCGGCTTGAAGGGCGGCTTGAAGTCCAGGCACTGCGGGTGGCCCCACAGCAGCCCCGGCAGCGCGTGGAGCAGCGCGAGGAGGAGCGGCCACGGGCGGCGGCGCCCAGGAGCAGCCCGCGCCATGCTTCCCTTCCTCGGCGCTGCTGCGCTCAGGACAGGCGCGGGCTCCTGGCGGCGAGGAAGCGGCGGCGGCAGCTCCGGGGCTCGCGCCCGGCCATGGCCCTCGGTGGGCGGTGAGGGCTCACGCGGGCTCTCTTGCAGCCGCGAGTTGCGAGGGTCTGGCGAACCCCTTAGCCGAGGGGGAGACGGGGAAGGCGAGAGGCAGCAGCCGCCTCCTCGGGTTGGGCAGGGAAGGGAGAGGACGCTGCCCTGCTGCGCCCTCAGCGCGCTCGGAGGACGGCTCGGACGCAGCGCCGAGGGCAGAGGGGGCAAAGGGGACCTGCTCGCTCGGCCGCCCCTTTGCTCGCAGAAGCGCCTCAGACCCAAAAGGAAAAAGCTGAGGAGGACGGCGGAGGCGCCGCCTTCTCCCCGCTCGGGGCGGGTAAATAGTCGCTGGAGCGGCGCCCGCCGAGCTCGCGGAGCGCCAGGGAGAAGGAGACACGTGCCTGGAGGAGCGAGCGGCGCGGAGGAGACCAAGGCCGGCCGCAGCCTCCGAACTAGTAGGCACCAGGCTTGAAATAAAGGGCACCCAGCCAAGCATCCTCCCATCCCCAATGTATCCCCCCCCCCCCTTAAGAACTCTAAATATATATATTAGATAGGGCAACAGGGACAAACTGGGATAATAGGGCGTCAAAAGATGGCACCCCTTTCCTAAATAGTTCTGATTTTCACAATAACTGCTCTTGGTACAATTAAAAAAAAATCTTCTCAATAGGCACCTGTATAAATATAAGTCTTCTTGTTATTATTTTGCGTCCTCTTGGCTCGGGGCCCTGTGCGGAGGAACCATCCGTACCACCCTAAACCCAGCGCGGATGCCAAATTATATGCTGTTCTTGCTCTCACCAGAAACCATGATGGTCAGCAACTTGTGCAAATTCAAGATGATGAGTCTATCCTTCCAGCCACTAGGTCTATGCTCTGTCTCCACTGTCTGAGGCAGTATGCTTCTAAATTCCAAGTTCTGGAAACTGCAGGAGTGAATTATTGTTGTTGATGATGATGTTGCTGCTGTATTGAATTTGTTAGTCACCTTATCTTGCCCAGGGAAATCCAGAGCAAGTGAGGGGTAAAGGTAAAGGGACCCCTGACCATTAGGTCCAGTCGTGACCCACTCTGGGGTTGTGGCGCTCATCTCGCTTTACTGGCCAAGGGAGCCAGCATACAGCTTCCGGTCATGTGGCCAGCATGACTAAGCCGCTTCTGGCAAACCAGAGCAGCACACGGAAACGCCGTTTACCTTCTTGCTGGAGCGGCACCTATTTATCTACTTGCACTTTGACGTGCTTTCGAACTGCTGGGTTGGTAGGAGCTGGGACCGAGCAACGGGAGCTCACCCCGTTGCGGGGATTCGAACCGCCGACCTTCTGATCAGCAAGTCCTAGGCTCTGTGGTTTAACCCACAGCAACAGAGCAACTTACAAACAGACAAAAAAATAACAACCCCACAGATACATGAAGAAGGCTCTTGAACTCAGGTCCTGCTTGCAGACTTCCCAGGGGCATCTGGTTGGCTACTGTGAGAACAGGATGCTGTTAGTATTATGGGCCATTGGCCTAATCCAGCAGGGCAATTCATAGGTGCTTATTACATACCATATTCTTAGAACCATAGAATTGTAGAGTTGGAAAAAGACTCCCAAGGGTCAATGAAGGAATCTCAGCTAAAGCACCCATGACAGATTCCCACCCAACCTCTGCTTAAATATGCTGTAGTATAGCACATTATATTATGCTGAAAACCTTTCTGTTCTGCCAGGCTTATTATGCAGGCCATTAAATGGTTGGGCGATTTGAATTTAATTTAATTTTAATATGTTTTTATTGTATGGTTTAATGGGTGGTTGTTCCAATTTACTGCGATATTGTTTATGAGTATAGAAATTACTTAATAAATAAAATAAATAAATCATAGAATATAAATCCCAACCCCTTCCTGAACTTCAGTTGGCCCCTTTTGTGTCATTTTTTTCTTCTTCTGGTGCTTTCCCTCTGCACACCCCTAAACAAATCAGTGCAGGGATCATTCATGGAATGTGGGAAGGGATAATAATACCTAAGCAAGCAGATTATTTCTCTACCAAGGGCCAGTTGAAGACACGTGCGTGTTCTTGCCAAGCCACTCAGGAAATCGAACGCAAACAGAAGTTTTCTGCAGCCAGTTCTCTGAACTCTGAAATTCTGGAGTTTCTGCTGTAATTTCTACAGCTTTCACCTTTTTCCATGTGTTTATTTTCCTCCTTAAGTGACGCAAGTACTTGCTTAAGTCGCTGCTGTTGGAGGAGGGTCTTCAGAAAAAGACTCCTCTGCTTTTGGTTGGCATCCGTTTGTCTCGGGAGACAATGGAAGAGTGTGCCAGAAGTGGATTTTGGGGAGTGCGGCCAGTTCAGTTGCACTGGGCGCAGAGCCTCAGGGGCACCACAACTATGATTTAGCATGGAGCGTGAGAGGCAAAGGGCACCAGATTTTGGATCTGCACACAGCACTCTTGAAATTTGAGACCCTACTGAGTGCACCTTTGGGAACTACTTTTCTTTTATGGTGTTCTACAAACCTAGACAGCATCTTAAAAAGCAGAGACATCACCTTGCCAACAAAGGTCCGTATAGTTAAAGCTATGGTTTTCCCAGTAGTGATGTATGGAAGTGAGAGCTGGACCATAAAGAAGGCTGATCGCCGAAGAATTGATGCTTTTGAATTATGGTGCTGGAGGAGACTCTGAGAGTCCCATGGACTGCAAGAAGATCAGACCTATCCATTCTGACGGAAATCAGCCCTGAGTGCTCACTGGAAGGACAGATCGTGAAGCTGAGGCTCCAATACTTTGGCCACCTCATGAGAAGAGAAGACTCCCTGGAAAAGACCCTGATGTTGGGAAAGATGGAGGGCACAAGGAGAAGGAGATGACAGAGGACGAGATGGTTGGACAGTGTTCTCGATGCTACGAATGTGAGTTTGACCAAACTGCGGGAGGCAGTGGAAGACAGGAGTGCCTGGTCCATGGGGTCACGAAGAGTCGGACACGACTAAACCACTAAACAACAACAACTTGTGCGTGGTGGGATGGTGTTAGGGCAGCTGTCAAAAGCTTTGGAAGGCAGGTTGTGCCAGGTCCATCTCCTTCCTTCACTGAATCTGTGCTTCAGCTGCACTTCTTGTGCTAGTTGGGGCTGATGGGGGTTTTAGTCCAAAACCTCTAGATGGCACAACATTGGTAAAGGCTGTTCCAAGGCCTTTGGGTCTCTCTTTTGTTTCCCCTGCCAGTTGTAAATCTAGTGTGGCTTCCATATACTTTTTTTTTTTTACAAGAAAACTTAAATAATTTGTAGAATTATATGTCTATCATCTCTATTTTTTATGTTTCTGGGAGTCTTGACATTAAGAACCACAGTGGCATGGAACAAATCGTGTTACAACAGGCATTTCCATTACAGCCCCCTTTTTTGAAAGACAAGGATCCTCAGGCAGCATTCTTAGCTATTTCAGTCGTTGCAAAATGTAAAATGTGGCTAATAAAAACAAGCTAAAACCTGCACAAAGCCTCCCCTAAAGTATATAACCATAGATGGAAAGTGCCATAACTGGAATTGCACTTATGGCTCAATTAAAAACACAGAGGCCTTTGAAAAATTTGGATTCAGTGCATGCTTTTTGGCTTGACAACGCTTCTCCAAAAAAGGTGAGCGACATTATTGTAGCCAGCAAATACCCGAGTCCACAAACCTGTTAAGACAAAGTATTTGGAAAAGCTGATTCAGTCCTGTTGGAAGAAGGTGAGACTAAATGGGCTTAAGCCAAGATTATCCCACTTGTTCATGGATTCAATAAAGTTGTTTTGCAAGTGGAAAAGCTGTTCACTGTATGAAAATGGGGAATGCAAAAGCACAAGTGAGCCACTCTTCTGCTTTCTCCATTTTCTGCAAAGTGGAGGACTTCAAAATGAGCCTAAGAGGGCAATTTCTCACCTTATTTATTTAAAAGCATTTAGAAATTGTTCAATGTTTTTAAAATCTCTTAAGTGGTTATATAATACTGAGACAAAGAATATCATTAGGGGGGAAAATTCAACATAAAACTAATGTAACAGTAATATATTTATACGTATATTAAAACAAATAAAACAGGAATTCAGGAGATTCAAGCACTCTTATGGGCTGGGGAAAGCCTGGGGGGGGGAGAAGTCATCACAAGACATCTGAAGCAACTGAAGATTACTGCTTCCCATATGGTGGAAAGAAGAGTGTTCCTTTTCTGGGGCAATAGCAGAAAATGTCCATTTTCAGGTCACTGGCCTATGATATTCTGTGTGGTTCAGTGCAGAAAGTTAAATTTCCCCCGATGATCTAAGTGTTCATACAGATCTATATACAAGAATATTTGTGCTTTCCTGTAGCTCCATCCTATGCTGCCCTAGGAGTGAATCTCCTGTCTTCTGCAGAATTTCAGTTAGCTGTAGAAGGATTCCTACCCATGTATTATTCCCTGCGTGTGTGAACTGTGCCATAGCATATTACAGGGGAAAGCTCCAATTAATATGGCATACCTGTAGGTTTGCTTAATTTTATTTATTTAACAAAATCAGTGCCGCCACACAAGAAGACCAATTTCTTACAGCTGTGGAGTGAGTATTATGTGGCAAGGCCACAGACTGAAGCGGTTGAGGGAACACTTGTGGAATAAAGTGATCCCACAAGAAAACTGGTCCCAAGCCATTAAATGCTTTATACACACCTTGAACTTAAGTGGCCTAGTAACAAATCTGCAACCAGCCACCATGCACCATCTGCAGCTTCCAGGTCAGGCACAACAAGGGAAGCCCCAGCTAGAGTGCTTTGCAGTAATCCAATCTTGAAATCACAGTTCATTTATTTTCTTATTTATTTCATTGGCCAGACTCAGAGCTGCTTATTTTTACCACGGTGGTGGCCTCATGTGCCTTCAGAGTCATATGCTGGGACCACAAATGGAGTGTGTGACTGGGCATCTTGTGACTTCTTCGAATTTTTAGCTAAAGGGACACTTCCTTCTATTTAGAGCAGCCAACCAGGTCAGGGAAGAACAGAATAAGCTTCTTCTGCCTTTTCCAATCTGTCCTCCTCAGCAGCTGCGTCTATCTTCTTCAAGTAGCACTTCCTAATTGGCTCTCGAGCAGCCGTTCGTCTCAAGCAGACAAAGGAAAGAGCCCACAAGGAACTACTGTTCTAAGGAAGCAGACACAGTTGCAGAGGAGTCTCCTTCAGAGGAGCTGGAGAGGAGGTGAACTGTAGAAACTCAATGACAGAATCAATCAGAGGTACTGCCAGGCAAAGTACCTCCCCATGCCCTAACCACTTGTCCTTGGTTTTGCCTCCCCATTCTTCTCCTGCCTGCTGTCAATCTTCCTTGACCAGTCACCATT